TTCAAAGATTAATTTTAGTGTCATTTTTTTTGAATTATTTTAGAAATATCAAATCATAAATAAAATATTTGCAATTATTATCGATAATGCATTAAACAATAATATTATGTTATTGAATATTCAAAATTTTATTTAATCTTTTGAAATTGGTAATCGTATTACAATTATTAAGATTTTTTATTTTGTTTATGTCATTCAATTCAGTTTTAAACAGTTTTTCGAACAAATAAAAATAAATCTGAAAAATGATATAGTTGAAATACAATGATTTAAAACATAAAATCAATTGATTTGCTCAAAATGATAAAAATAAAAGATTGTTGATACATTTAATAAAATCAGTTTATAACTTTGATATAATGAAAGTTTATTCATTCATTTAATTATATATAGATATGAGATTTAATTATTTTTATTAACGCGAGTTTTCAATGTTTAAAATTATTCTGCAAATTTTAAATTACATCAACATTTTTTGTGTTAATTCAAAACGTTAAAACATGTTGAAATTCGATCTTTTTTATGTTTCAATGTGCGAAATGTCTATAATTTATATTTAATAAGTTTTGCATTAAATATAAACATTTGCATTTGAAGTTTGATCAAGAGCAATGATATTAAATTGATTATTTTTTTTATATTATTCAATCTTTTTTTCAATTCACGAATGCGTTTTCAAAGACAAAAAATGTTATAATATATCTTATTTTTAATATTTATAACAAATCTTTTGGCTATTTCAAAAGATCTATTAATCAGTTTAGGTATAAAAAGATAGTTTGAAAAAAGATGATGCTAAACGCATTTTATATAGTGAAAATGAAGCTTTTTTAACATTATAATAAAATAGATGACATTTTTGACAATTTTTTTATTATTGAAATAATATTTGTGTTATAAAGCAAACTTTAATTTAAAAAAAAGATTGAAACAACAAATGGCGTGATCGATATCATTAGAGTTTTATAAATTATTTCGAATTTTATAAGCAATGTTTATTACAGAATTAGATATTATTAAAAATTTATATATTCACAATGAAGAACAAAAGACAGAATTTCTCAACGAATTTTTTTCTATCTACGAGATAGAGACAGCAAAGGAAAAAAAAAATGAGAATTTAGAGAAAATTGAAATAGGGCCGATTAGTGACATTGAGAAACAAAAAAATGAAAAAGTAATAGTGATACAGAGCCATATAGAGTCTAAATTACTAGAGAACATCACATAAATATGAGTTTCAAAAAGATTCAGAAAGAAAAAGAATAGGAAGAATGATGAGTTTGAATATCATTAATATATTAAATTATTATTTTTTAAATAATATTTTAATAATTAATCTCTGCACGCTGATCGCTTTAGCAAATAAAAATATAAGATATAATTAGACGAAATAGACATTACAACGAATCAATGATTGTTTTTCAAGAGAAATAATATAAAAGAAATATTCAATATTATAGCTAAAAAATGCATAAGTTATGCAGTCATGAGATCGGTGCATGTTTGCACTGTTTAATCTAGTTTGGAGGTCCATTTGGGCCCCATCTAATGGTCGTGGGCCCCTGGGCTCTGATGAAGTCTAACAAAAATACAAAGTTGAACAAATTCTACAACATAAAAAAGTCAAAGAAAAATCATACTATTTGATAAAATGGAAAAAATACAATATTTCAAAAAACACTTGAGAATCTATCAAGAACCTGATGAAGTGTTATTGACTAATTCAACAATATTATCAACAAAAAAATTAAAAAATTTTCAGAAAAAAGAAAATAATTGTGCAATCTTTTTTGCTATCTAAATAAAATCTGAAAAATCATCGAACAAAATGATTAGTTGAACGATTTTCGCAAAAGATTGAGATATATCATTATTTTTTTATCCAAAATTCGCAACAACTCTGTGTCATGCTCTAACATTTTAAATTTCTTGATTTAAAGAATTCTTGTTATTTCCGCAGACGAGAATGACAAGTCAAAATTTTAATTAATTTGATCTAAATTTTGATTAAACGAATCTGCAATTGTTCGAACTTAGATTGCAGCAATTTCAGTTCATTATTAATTGTAAACAAATCAAAAGCAATCTTGTTTTTTGCACATTTTAACAATGTTTATTCATTATCAATATGAAAATCACGACAACAGATGCGATCGCGATGAATGCAAGAAATATATTTGAAATAATAATGATTTCAATCTATAATACATTTTTTGTCGAAAGAAAAACAATGTTTATATTACACGAAAATCGAAAAATTGTGAATTAAAATATATTCTATCTAATTGTGACGAATGGCGATTTGATCACAAAAAATGAAAAATCTTGAAAACATTTTTTAATATATTGTCAGTGCGATGTTTAAACATGATAAAATGACATTAAAAAAATAAAAAGATGTTTAGTGAACATTTATCTGAAGAAATAATCAAGTTTTTATACTTTCAGGGACGAAAACATGAAAAAAAGAGAATGATGTTACAATATCAATATCAGTTACTTAAATAAGGGCAATTACGCTAAATAAAACATCGAGCAAATAACAATCAATCAAGTCTCGCAATAAAAAGATGTTCATTATTTATTCTAATGCTTAATGAACACACTCTGAGCACTAAACCAAGAATAGCAAGAATGCTAAAAATCACGGTATTTATGCAATTATATGTATTTGGGTTTTTACACGCATTACACATGATTACATGATATATAGATAAATGATATACGATCGCAATATATATATCAATATATCTTTTATCAATTATAAAGGGTTCAAAAAAAAGATATAAAGACATTCATTATTATATATTTAAAATAAATTTTGTTTAATTTTTCGCGTTTAATACAATCATTGTCTTTGATAATTATGAGAATTACACTGCTAATGCGATTTGTTCACATTTTACTACAGAAAGATATACGTATCAATCTAACTTTATTTTTATTTTAATTATTTAAAGATCTTTCAATCATCGAATTAATTTATCAGAATCTAAGTTTGATTTTTCGGCATAATTTTCAGTCATTCAAGAGCAACGATGCTCTTCGAATAGATATTATTCGTTTCCAAGATTAGTCGGACTGATCATCAGAAGCTTGAAACTATATCCTAGCAGTATAGCACAGCACAGCTTAGACGGATCCTAGGGTTTGACATGAATATATATGTTAATGAAATAAAAAATAAAACAAATATTATAAAAATAAAGATATATCGATTAAATCATTCAAAAAATTGAGAATTAAACTTATAAAAAAAATGAATAGATTTAACACAGAAAATATAAACAAAAAAAATAAAGAAAAAATAAAATAATCATTAATATATATTTATTTAATAAAAATATAATATTTTATATTGACATTATTATGTTTATTATTATATTTTTTTATATTATTACATTTATCATTTTTATTATTATTGTTATTATTTTTATTATCATTATTTTTATTATCATTATTTTTATTATCATTATTTTTATTATCATTATTTTTATTATCATTATTTTTATTTTCATTAATATAAAACACAAAAAACAGATTGTTTAGTCAAATATAACATTTATTAAAAAATATAATATTTTTTTTAAAAAAGATCTTACCGTTATCAGTAATTGTTTGAAAAAAATTTATATTTAAATTGTAAAAATTTTGCAAATTTTATATAATTTGAATATAAAAATATATTATTGATTTGTTGATTAAAAAAATGATTAATAAATATAAAAATATATATAAAACAAAAAAATGAATATTATTTTTGTAAAAAAATGACAAAAAAAACAAAAAAATAGATTATACATTAAATTTAAATGTAAAATTCAAAAAAAAAAGTAATAACAATAAAAACAAAAAATTATAATATCATTTTTTCATCATTGAAAAAAATACAAATATAATACGAAAAAATTCAATTAAATAATTATAATATTATAATAAATAATTAATAAAAAGCCAACACGTCGTCAAAACAGAAAATAAAAAATTTGATGAAATGAAATAATAAAATATTCAAGAATAATTAAAAAGAATCATTATTATCATTATTATGACAAAAACAAGTTTGTTGAAATAAAATAACAATCAACAATTAATAAGAATGCAAGAAGCTCACGGTTTTTACTGACTTAGACAAGATATGTATATAATTAGGAAATGAGTCCAGCAAAAGAGGGGTTCTCGGTAGACTTCCGCACAATCCAACATAATCCGGACCCAATCTGGATCCAATTCGGATTGGATTGGGTTTTGGATCAAAGATTCTGATTAAATGTTGGATTTAGATTAAAATTGAATGATTCAGTTTGGATTCAGGACTTTAATTTAAGTTATAAATGTAATATAACGTAAACCACAAGCGAGTCGCGAATCTGAGCGAGCCGCGAATTTGTATTCTCATACAAAATGGCGCTTTTGAACTCGGGATATCTCAGCCATTTCTATGTCGTATAAGATACTATTTAAAACTAGAATTATATGACACTATTTAACAATAATGTACTAAATTTTAATCTATGTATTAGGCTAATTGTCCAGGTATTATAAATTACACTGTATTATAAAGCTGGTTATGTATTAAAGACTCCCATAGGTTTTTTTATTATATAAAAAAGATATTATACTACTTACCTATATAATACTTCAGATCTTTAATATATTTTTTTAGAATAGAGGTATGGTAGAGATATTCCAAGTTGAAAAGTGCCAAATTGTATGGGAATACAAATTCGCGGCTCGCTCAGATTCGCGACTCGCTTGTGGTTTACGTTATATATCAAGGTCTGTGATTATATAAATTATACATTTTTTATTAATAATATTAAATATTTTTTTACAATTAAATCGGCAGGAAGCAAAAACAAAAAAAATTATAATATTTCAAAAATTAGAAAACAAACTATAATATATTTTAATTTGTATTTAAAATTTAATTAATGATATTTAAAAATATTATTATTACAATTCTTGCATTTCTATTTTGAAATCTGTATTTTCTTCCGCTCCTTCAGTTCCGGCGCCAGTCTATCCAGCTGTGTGGCATCGTCGAGGGCAAGTCGGCCTTGTTCTACTAATTGCATACAGGCAATCCCAGTGAGGAGCTTTGTACATGAGGCGAGCCATAGGACAGTATCGAGTGTCATTGGAGGTTGGTCAATGAGGCTTGTGAGGCCTGATGCGTGCGATAGTATAGAGTCGCCATTCTGATCCACAGCGATGCAGACGATTCCAGGTATTTTGGGGTTTGGGCCGCGGGTGGCCTCGTCGATCTTTGCGACGGCGGCATGGAGCGTTTGGGAAGAAGTTTCGGACATGTTGAATCACATAGAAGGTGGTGTTGAGAAGGCTTGGTATGTGTGAAGCAGCGATAAGAAGTGAGCAGCTTCTTATCCACGCGCTAGACACTCAAGCCCGATCCAGAGTATTTCGCAATCGCACTTACGTTGTGTGTGATTGCATCTGACCTTCTTAAAATCATTCGAACTAACTCTGATTCGCCTTCCTGAAGATAGAAGGGCTTCCGTCGCCTCCTTCCCCCTCCCCCGTAGCCAAAAACACCCATTAAGGAAACAGGAGCATCCCGGCGAGAAAAAAAAAAAAAAGGCTCAGATAACGAAATATTCACCAGTATCGTATACGGTGGAGTAACCAAACCCCGAGGTACCTCGAATCCACCCCCACACGTACTCAATAATGGACAGTGGGTCTGAGAATGTGGAACCACCATCAAGTGCTGCTGGAACCATTACCGGATTCGGAAACGATTCCAACCTCACTATCCCGGTCTGTCGCGCAGAACAGCACTAAATGTAACAGAAGAACAGAGACAATTGCACGATGACGCATAAGCACCATGTTTTCTTTTCTGATTCGAGGGCGCAAGTTTCGACAAATCGAGAAATATAGGCAACTCCTCTTGCTCCGATAGAGGCGACCATATCCTCGTCTGCGGTGTCAGTCGAGGGAAGGATAAATACCAACCCATTCGACATCTTGCTCGTAATTCTTTACCATCTTACCATACAGTGCCTACGTTCTTCCCCTCTATGTTTCATTTTTTGAGAGACTTGAACTAAATATTGTCGCCATGTTTCACCCCCTCGACCCCCTCGACCCAACCGAACTGCGCACCGTCTCACAGGCCGTACGAGCCTACCATGCCCCGACTCCGGTTCGATTCAAGGTTATAGACCTGCTCGAAACCCCAAAGACTACCCTCCTTGCATACTTGCGTGACAACACGCGAAGTGTCCCGGCGCCGCCTCGCAAAGGATACACCTACTACCATAAGCAAGGAAGCCAGACGCTGCGGAAAGCGAAGATCAATATCACCACCGGCAAGGTGGAAGAGGACACAGAGTATCCGGATATTCAAGGGCCGGCGGATATCGATGAGATAGAGCGGCTTCTGGATGTCTGTAGTAGGAATGCTGAGGTCGCGAAAGAGGTTGAGAAGTTGAAGTTACCGGAGAGGTACGTTAGGGATTTTGTCCCCTTTGATACAGTTGTTGATAAATTTATTGGTTGCTAATTTGGACTGTGCTGAAGTGCCACTGTTATCAATGATCCATGGCTTTATGGAACGGACAATGCAAATGAGCGCCGTCGTCTATACCAGTGCTATATGTATATGGTGCTGAACGATGACCCCGAAGCGAATCACTATTCCCTCCCTCTCCCACTTGCCCCCATATTCGACGCTCATACTCTCGAGCTGCTTGAAATCGAGAAACTTCCGCTGGGTGTCGGTGCCGAGCTAGAATCCGAAACTCAGCCATGGGACCCTGCCATCCCCGTCGAATATAGCCAGACACTGCTAGGAAAAGAGTACTTCCGAAAAGACGTCAAGCCTCTTCAGGTCGTTCAACCGGAGGGTCCGTCGTTCAAAATCGACGTCCGCCACATCAGCTGGCAAAAGTGGTCGTTCCATATGGGCTGGACGGTGCGTGAGGGGCCAATTCTGAACAATGTCTACTATGACGGACGGTCGCTATTCCATCGGGTCTCCATGAGCGAGATGACCGTGCCATATGGTGATCCTCGCTCTCCGTACCATCGCAAACAGGCCTTCGATCTAGGTGATTCCGGTTTCGGTATCACGTCCAACACGTTGACCCTGGGCTGTGATTGTCTCGGACACATTGCCTATTTCGACGGCATTCGGACCACCGGGGCCGGAGAGCCATTGGTGATGAAGAATGTGATTTGCGTGCACGAGGTGGACGATGGAGTTTGGAAGCATACCAACATCCGGAACGGGCAGGCTTCTATGGTGCGCAACAGACAGCTTGTGATCCAGTGTACGGCCACCGTGATGAATTACGAATACATCCTCGCCTTCATCCTGGACCAAGCGGCCAATCTACATATCGATGTGAAGGCGACCGGCATTGTGTCGACCATGCCGATTAGCAAGAAGACCCTATCGCCATGGGGAACGGTCGTGGCTCCGGGAGTGCTCGCCGTGAACCATCAGCACTTGTTCAGTGTGCGAGTCGACCCCGCCTTGGACGGCGTGCGAAACACAATCGTGTATGATGACATTATTCCTGTACGAGGTGAACCCGATTTGGATCCTTTTGGCTGCGCGTTCCGAGTGAATACCACGCCCATCAAGCGACCGGGCGGGTATGATCTGGACCTGACCAAGTCCAGGACTTATCGAATTATTAACCCCGACCACATCAATTCCGTGTCTGGCAAGCCAGTCGGCTATAAGCTGCATGCCCTGCCGAGCCAGATGCTGATGATGGGACCCGAGACGTTCAATTACAAACGTGGTCTGTTCTCAAGCAAGCCCATCTGGGTGACCTCGTACAAAGAGGGCGAGCTATGGGCTGCTGGAGAGTTCACTAACCAAAGCCGAGAGGACACTGGATTAGGAGTTTGGGCGCAGAGAAATGAGAACGTCGAGAATGAAGACCTCGTGTTGTGGCATACATTTGGGGTGACCCACGTAACGCGACCAGAAGGTAAGAGGCTCCCACAGCCTGATAAACGCACCTCGACGATGCTAATGGTGAACAGACTTCCCGGTGATGCCAGTCGAGAAGATGTCGATTTCTTTGAAGCCAACCAGCTTCTTTGAACTGAACCCTGCCAACGATGCTCCCCGTTCAAGCCAGAGTCAGAATCAATCCACCTTGGTCGAACATTCCAGTGTTGCTCCGGACTCGTGTGGCAAGTGCAGTCTTTAGGGTTCGGCTTCGGTCTAGAGAGACGTATGCGATCCTCAATGAAAGGCACATTCATTTCAGATGTCACAATGTGAATCTTATGGCTCGCGAGCAAGTCGGCGACCCAATGAGGTTAGGACTTGGATCAATTCCTTGTTATAGGAACCGATACAAGAACTGCAGATTCTGTAGATTAAGAGACTCCTGAGACTGTGGACTTCCGAGAACATCCGTAAAATCGTCTGTAAAATTGAACAAGCCGTACCAATCACTCGGTGCTGCAAGATCTCCAGCAGGAGCATATGGCGAGGCATGAAGAGACGGCGCGAGCGTAGGGTCATTCGAATTGGATGTCATCATAGTATTTGGCGTCCTGGGCTCTCGCTCATGGCTTACCACATTCTCTCCATTCGTATGATCCCCAGTAGTCTGTGTTGGCTGAGCTGGTGGGTTGATAATATCCGTCAATCGCAGTGTACGTGCCGTACAATCGTCTAGACAACGGAAGAAGAGATCTAGAACCCAGTTCTCCAAGTCCCATGTCTTTTGCAGTTCTTGTAATCCCAGCAGACAAAGCCTTGCGCGGTGTTCTGCCAATTTCCGGGCTGTGCCTGTCGTTCGTCGGCAATGGATAGTTTGAATGCACAAGGCGGAGAACGAGTGGGTGATCCTGCTATGTTAGAGTCTGTCCATGCATTTAACGGGATGACACTCACAAATGTGTTGCACCATGTTGGACGAGGTTATAAGACAGCATATCCTCGATAATCCTTGTGGTCTTAGTGGCAGCGTTCAATGCAATTTGGCCCAGTTCGTCCGTGGCCGAGTTGGATGGGTGGAGAAACAAGGATCGGTAGAGTAAGACGTAGAGATAGCTTCAAGTCGGTTAGCGATATCACCCCAATGGTGCCAAATCCGTCTCACTTGTGAGTTGTGTGTAGCAATCCCGTTAGGAACATAGCCCTAGGGCTAGCAGTATTCCCGAGCCTCAGAATAGAGGGTATGTTCGATTCCCATTCTGTAAGTTGATTATGAAGCTCTTGCCTAAGAGATGTATCGACAGAAGCTTGGATGGGCAGATATTGCGTAGAGACAATCGTGCGCACTATCATCGTCAGCATCTGATACCTAGCTATAGATAAGTCAGGTCGTACAAATCCTAGCTAGTCGGGCCATTTCGACTGGGTACGGCACATCTTCCACGTTCTGGGTGCCAAAGATTTCTGGGTTCTCCACAACCTCGTCTTCCCTGATGTCGTTCTCTGCAAGCATAGCCACGTCGCAATCCTCGTCACGTATCCGAGCGGGCAGTCCAAGAGCCGAGGCGCTTTGTTGGTCACGGATCTGGGAAGTTAGCCTGGTCTCGAATTCATCGTGTCGCTCAAACTCACATATAATGCCCACCATATCCGTTTCCACAACTTCTCTTCTCGGGATGAAGTAAAGGAAAGTTTCGACCTAGACCTGTCAGTGATGTAGTCAAACTACCCCGACAGGGACCACAAACATCATATGCATTCCGCGCTTCTGAGCCAAACTGATAGCTACACCGAGCCAAAACCGCGTGTCCTGCTCCTCAGAGGGACCTCCACGCCAGTAACTCAACAGAAACAGAGCTTGCAACTTAACTGTCTTATTCGACTCCCAGCCCGCATCATAGATTGCCTTCGCCCGACTATAGAACAAAAACTTGGCTCGATAGCGGACCTCAAACCCTGTTCGCGCAAACTCATCATCCGTACAAAGACTGACACCAATAAAAAGCATTGCTTGTAACAGGAGCGGCGAAACATTGCACTCAGCAAAACACTGCTGAACGGTCGTGCGGTCTAGGATCGGAAAGCAGGGATGAAACCAGGTGAAGTATGCGCGTAGCAAAGTCTCGACCGTCTCGGTTAGGGGGTACGAAAAAGCCCCGTCTGCAGTCAATTGGGCCTCCAGCTTGGCCTTGTGCGTCCGGAGGGCTTCATCACGCGTACTGCTAGACTCCAATCTCTCTGGAATCGGATAGTGAAGACGCGTCTTTTGCATCGCATTACTAGACCCCTTATCGGGCGACCGTCGTCCCTCATCAATCACACACGTCAAAGGACTCGACTCGCCCAGGAACACGCTAGTCGAGTCCCCCGGGGAGATCCATGGGGCACGGGGGCTATTCACATGCTGCTGCGCCTGCCACTTTTTAGTCTGCTGGGAGACGCGCGAGACATCAGACTGCGTGAACGGCGTGTCTCCATTTCGGGAAGCCGACGAGACGGTGGAGTCGACGACTGGCGGAGAGATCGGATGGCTCGGAGTAGTGGGCCGGTGGATATGATTGTTGTTTTTCTTGCGCGGGTACCTGCAACAACGTTACCAGAATGATGTTGGCACTGATCACTTCGGCGATCGAATTTTCAGAAAGCCTGCATGGCCTGGACTGGACATTTGCTTACTTTCCTCTCTTCGAGACTCCGACCTCGCAGGGCACGCTCATCGCGACGCAGTTCTCGCAGGGACGCTTCTCCAGTACATTGCAGCGGATGCGACGACGGTTGCAATGAAGGCATGCCTGTCTGGCGCGAAGTCTGGTTTGACGATGACCTGAATCTACTTCGGGTGTCATTTTAGATGATTCGATACGACTCGAGGGGTCATTGCAGAGGTAGGATTCTTGAAGAGAAGAAGAAGCCGAAGGGAGCATGATGCAAGTCGGCTAACTAGTCTTGGCGTTTGTCTGAGTCGGCTTTATGCTTGCCCGCCCGTTTGCACTCCACACTTCACTTTGCCCAAGTCTTTCTCGGTTTTCCCCCTTCGTTGTCCTTTCCCTTTTTTTTTGTTTTTTTTTTTTTTTTTTTCCCTCTTCATGTTTTCTTGGGTTATTGCATTCTCTGCCACAAGAGTTGACACAGGACTGAAAATCCAAGAAACAACAACGTCGCTAAAAAAAATCTTGTTATAGTTTGTCGTTCAATGGTTGGTGCGGAATATATACTTCGAATATTTGTGGCAACTATATGATGCAAGCATATATCAGGATGCCATAATTATTTCAGCCCAAACTGTAAAAATAGATCTATTCAGAATCCTCAACCCCAAGCTCCGCCAATATCGCCTCATTATGCTCCCCAACATCCGGCACAGCATCCATCCTCGCCCCAAAACCACCCCCTTTCTTCTGCATCCCCGGCGGCAGCAACGCAGGCACAACGCCAGCAGGAGTCGAAACCTCGGTCCAGCGACCCCTCGCCTTAAGTTGCGGATGATCCCAAACACCCTGCATATCATTAACACTAGCATTCGCGATCGCCGCCTCATCCAGCAACCTCAGCACCTGATCCGCTGACCTTGTCTTGAAAACATCACAGATAATCGCCCTCAGGACATCACGGTTCTTAACCCGTAGCGAATTACTGGCGAACCGCTCATCCGTCGCCAGCGCTGGCTGTCCAAGAACTTGATCGCAGAACTTGGCCCATTCGCGCTCATTTTGGATCCCAAGCATAACGGTCTTCGTCCCGCCCTCTGCCTCAAACGGTCCGTAGGGATAAATCGCAGCGTGCGAGGCTCCGGCGGGCGTCGGGCCTGCCGCATTGTTGTAGGTGTAGTACATCGGGAAACCCATCCACTCGACCATGCTTTCGAGCATGGAGACGTCGATGTTGGTTCCGGCTCGGTTCGGGTCTCTATCGCGTTGGATCAACGCGGCGAGGATGTTGGAGTAGGCGTAGCTACCAGCTGCGATGTCTGCGATCGAGATACCGACCTTTGCGGGTTCCGTACCGGTCCCTGTGACGGAGAGCATGCCCGCCTCGCTCTGGATGAGAAGATCGTAGGCTTTCTTGTCCCGATAGGGTCCGTCGGGCCCGTAGCCCGAGATATTGCAGACAATCAGAGACGGATTGTCCGTCTTTAGAGCATCATGCGATAGCCCAAGTCGTGCACTAGCGCCAGGAGCAAGGTTCTGAACTAGAACATCGGCGCGACTTAGCAGACGCATAAGGACCTTGTGATCACGAGGATTCTTCAGATCAAGCGCAAGGCTCTCTTTGGACCGGTTGGTCCAGACGAAATGCGAAGAGAGGCCGTTGACGCGGGTGTCGTAGTTGCGTGCAAAGTCGCCAACGCCGGGTCTTTCGACTTTGATCACACGGGCGCCTAGATCGGCGAGTTGTCTGGTGCAGAAGGGTGCCGCGATGGCTTGTTCCAGGCTGACTACTGTGATGCCGGAGAGGGGGCCTTTTGTCTTGGTTGATGAGGCCTGAGTGGAGGTGTGTCGAGTGCTCGGGACATGATGCCGTACCGTCCGGGAAAAGGATCTGAGAAGACTCATATTGTGGAGGTGTTTGCCGGGAAACGTATTGAGTTGTCAAAAGGTCTCCTTGAGCTGATTGTAAGAAGTAAATACTTTATCAGGGCTCGAGAGGTCATACCTCGGAGAGTCACGCGGGGGTGGAGATGCCGGCTACTTGTCGGCTACTTGTCGGTTACTTGGCGGGCTCTTGCTTGCTCGCGACGGATCATTACTACACATAAAGGGCCCCTTCAATTCCCCAGAACAGTGTTGCTGAGTATTACCACCAGATCACACAGAATGTCACGCATATACACTCCACGAAACTTACACCATGGACTGCGGTCGGTGTTGAGATCGCGCCCGGTGACATCCCCATCGCGGACGCCGCGGTCCTTCTCCACTACCCTGCAGCGACCGTTGATGGAGTTGACCGGGTTCACAGAGGAGCAATTGACCGTCCGCGACGCCATTTCAGCGATCTGCTCCAAATTCCAAAACACATATTGGCAAGAATGTGACCAACAAGAGCGTGATCCGAAGGATTTCCACGCCGCCCTAGCAAGGGACGGATGGTTAGGAATTGCGCTCCCGGAGGAGCACGGCGGAGCGGGATTAGGTGCGTTGAAGACCCTCCATATAATTCTCGAATTAGAACAGAGACTGATTATGTCCAGGTATCTCGGAAGCCACCATGATGATGCAGACCATTACCCAGTCCGGTGCTGGTATGGCAGGTGCTCAGTCCATCCACGCCAACGTGTATGCGACCCAACCACTCGCCAAATTCGGCACCAAGGAGCAGCTCGAGGAAACCATCCCCAAGATCATCAACGGCACCTGGCGAACGTGCTTCGGAGTCACCGAGCCCAACACCGGCCTAGAGACACTGAAACTCAAGACCCTCGCCCGGAAGCACGAAGACCGAGACGGGTACTCCGTCACCGGCCAAAAGATCTGGATCACCTGCGCGCAAGTAGCATCCAAAATGATCCTCCTCGCACGGACCACACCTCTCGAAGAAGTCCAAAAATCCAACCAGGGGTTATCGATGTTCTGCATTGACCTCGACCGCACGAAGCCGGGGTTGGACATGCGCAAGATCAAAAAAATGGGCGGTCGCGCCGTGGACGCCAACGAGGTGTTTTTCGATAACTACGATATCCCGTCGAGTAGCCTGATCGGGCAGGAAAACGACGGATTTAAAATCATCCTGCACGGTATGAACGCGGAGCGGTGTCTGCTTGCCGGCGAGGCTTTGGGGCTGGGCTACGCTGCACTGGAACGGTCTGCAGAATATGCCCGTGAGCGCGTGGTTTTCGGACGGCCGATTGGACAGAATCAGGGGATCGCGCATCCCCTGGCAGACGCGTACATGCAGCTCGAGGCAGCTAAGCTGGCGACGTACCATGCGGCGCGGCTATACGATGCGTCGACGACGGACGAGTCGATCCCCTTCCACTCGGTGGGTGTGGCCTGCAACAGCGCGAAGTATCTGGCAGCGGAGGCAGCGTTCAAGGCCTGCGAGCGTGCAGTCCTCAGTCATGGCGGCATGGGATACGCGATGGAGTATGACGTGGAGCGATATCTGCGAGAATGTTTGGTGCCGCGGATCGCGCCTGTGAGTCGCGAGATGATTCTCAATTATGTGAGCGAGAAGGTGCTACAGCTGCCTCGTAGCTACTGAGAGGCTTTGCACTGTTGTTGCTTGTACATAGAAGGATTACAGAGCAGGGCTAATATATGGTCGAGTAACTGTACTGCCTGAGAATTGGGGCATCGAGCAATATATGATGACGTATAATCCATGCCTGAGGCTCGCAATCTGTGTGGACTTGTCTGCGGTGATTCAGTCCCTTTCTCTTCATTTATAGAGGACTGTTAGGCAAAGAATTTGCTTGGATCTCGGGTGTGGAGCATAGGCCCAAAGCAATGGAACTACGGTGCCCTTTAATACTAGCCACAATCAACCTGGAACCCAATCTTTCTCTTCACATAAAAAGCGCTGCTGATGTAGGCTGATGCGCGAGGATGGAACTGGAGGATACTAGGTTGAGATACGCAGTTGGCCAGAAGAAATAGTGATAATCTAAATTCAGACTCCCAGTCCTTTCAAACTCTTTATTGGTCACGTTCTATCACCACAGCAGTCGTACATGCATATCTTACAACACATCTCAAGCAGTAGATCTCGCCGCGTTCCCCAAGTCCCCCATCAACTGACACAGACTCTGTACTAACGGCGGCAGTGCATCATGCGACGCCTCAGCACAAAGGACTCCCCGCGCAAGTGCCATAGTTTGACTTGGGTCTGCAACCAACACAGGCTCCAGCGGGCCCTGCAACGCCGGACATCCACATCCCAGCGAGATGAACTTCTGCACATCGGTTGAGTCGCCCCCATCCAGGAACACGGTCGGCCATCTCCCACCATAATGTCCCTCCGGTGGACTCCCTGCCGGCTTCTTCGCATTTTTCGCCTTGTAGACAACGCTATATGACCAGAACGCTAAGCTAGCGTAGTATACACCGACGGCGAGGAACCCAGTCAGAGAGCCCGACGGCATGGTCTTTGCCGCGCGCAGAACCTGACCAGCATGCCAGAGCGCGCGACGCGAATCGATACTATTGATCCACTCGAGAGCGCTTTGATACACGCGTCTGGCTTCTTTCTTGTCCTCTTTCCCAGCAAAGAGTTGTAGCTCTTCAAGAGACATGTAAAGAAACATGGAAATCATCTCATAGACAAGCATGATCTGTGGGCTTGGGATCTCGGCGAATTCGTGGTAGAGCATGCGGAAGTGGGATAGAATCTGAGAGAGTTCCTGTTGGCGGGAGTTGATGACTAGGGCGTTCCAGTGTTTGGAGTTACCCTTAGAGATGAACTTGAGGCGGTGGTATTCGTTTATAAGGGCGGAGAGACCGTGGAGGAGAACAAAGGTAGAAAGGTGTAGGTCGATGTAGCCTCGAAAGGAAGATAGTTCAGACATATCATGAAGTGTATCGACTAGAGACGGCAGCCGGCTAGGGCCTGCTCCGGTCCGTAGGTATATGTCTCGCCATGCATCGGCGGATTTGGCATCCCAAAGCGCTCGAACAGCAGGAAATGGAAGCTCTAGCTCAGCGTAGGAGAGGATGGGGGTGACATTGAGCATCATGGCGGACTGAGCGTCGTGGAGAAAGAGGTGATGAGCGAGCCTTTTGAAAGATTCTTGCTCGGCCCAGGTACGCCATTTGCGCTGAAGGGATTCCGGAGAGTCCTCCATGCTCGGAAGAATATTCGAATAAGCCGAGCGTCGGAAACGCATAGAGCGTCGCAGCATCGTAATGAGCGGATTTTGAAAGCTTTCAGCGATTTCCGTGCGTCGACCGTTCCCGCTCCAGATACCAATGTCGAGAGTCAAGGCGAAGGTCTGCGAGGCGCGCAAGTCTCGCGTCGTGGAGTTGTCATTTTCATACTACAGCCTGATCAGTGATGATTTCATCGGTATAGAAGGCCTTCCTGACCTTTGATGATAGCTGAAGCCGGGCAACTTCCATCAACGCATATCCCAACTTCCTGATTGTCGGAATAGGCGATCTAATCGCGCCCGCAGCGGCGACAGCGGCCAGCATGTCAGGATTCTGATCGTTTGGCTGAAACGTGGGGCCATGGATCCAAGAATCAATATTGCAACTCTGGAATTCAAAGTAATCCTGGATCAGGCTGTCCAGCAGCTCTGTACTCGGGAATGACTTCATGATGCGCGTCAGATTGGCTTTCGTGCTAGTTTGGAGAACCATGCCAAATATGAGATCGCGACTCCCCGCCGACAGGCGTTCCGATAGAATCTGACGTTCCGATCGCATACTAGCTTCCGGGCTGTCAATTGATTTCGGAACAGACAAGTCGCCTTGGTTCGCGTATGCGGTATCATCGTGAGCTGGTGTCCAGTTGGATAATGACGACCGACGATACGCTTCGGCACCCAAGGCAATGCCACTATCCTCCGATCGGTCGGTTGATGCGTCGGCGATCCCTCGAGTATTGAAGAAGTCAATTAGGCCAAAGTCCACGTCGGTGAGATCGAAGCCAAATTGCACATTATGATCAAATACGTCGTGAATGTAATCGTGAGGTAGGTTGGTGGAAGTGTGCATGTCATTGCGCACAAGGGAGGGTATCAAAGAATCGGGTATGAAGTTGGGAAAGAATGTGCCGTCAATGCTGAAAACGCCGCTGTCATGGTCCATTGTCGGTGAAATTGTTTGAACTACGTCCGTTCATTAGTTACGAGAACGTGGGAATTGATGGGGAACCGTATCTACCATCATAAGTCATGGATATTGTATCATCCGGGATCGAGGCTATTCCCGTCGGAGGCAGATAGTTGTCTATTGAGACATCCGGGGAATTGAACCCGGCGGGGTCAACAGCATCGGGCATATCGGTCTCGTCGTCATGAGTCAGAGATGTGAGCGGGGGCTGCGCGAATGCCTCGTCGAGGGAATAGCTCGGTTCTTCGCCATGAGATGCTAAACCTGGGGAAGGCGATGTATCGTTCCCACCGTCAGGCCAGTCGCACGCGAATCCCTTCTCCTTGCATCGTCTGCACGGCTTCTCTTCGTCGCATTTCAACTTACTTTTCGCACAGGCCGCGCAGGCCTGAGAGACGCGACCATTTTTGGGATATGGTGGAGGCCGTTTTCGCTTTCCTTCGTCTGGGCTGTCATGGCCTGCCGCATGGCGCTTCATCAAGTCACTGGCCCGGATTAGCGATGTCTGGAGTGGAAACCGGAGTGATACTAACGGTCTGGCGAAGCCTTTGTTGCAAACGTGGCAAACGTAAGGTTTCTCTCTTGTATCTGGGCATGGATTAATTTCCTGCCTTTTCAACCGCTAGGTGACTAGGGTACTAACGAGAGCGAACGTGTCGAATGAGATGGTCAGCGCGAACATAACTCTTGCTGCAACTGCCGCATTTGAAGTACCCCTTTGCCCCCGACCTCTGCGGCGACGTGGGAGAGGTGGTAGAAGGGGAGCCACCAAACATGGCGAAGGGGGATGGAGGAGACAAATGAAGGAGGGAAAAGGACAGAAGCACCGAAGGACCGAAGCGCATGCAGAGGGTCGGAGTGTGGGGAAGAAATGCGGGGAAAACAATGCTCTCCTTCTGCAGTAAGCTGCTTTTTCAAGACACCATTCCCATCGCGGGTCATCCGGACGCTAGGTCCCATAGATCTGCGGATTCAATTCCCTGCTCTCGCTACAATTGATCCCAATCATAAAGCATCCTCACATGACTCAGCGGAACCGGAAGTGGCGATTCGGCATGTGGTCCACTTCTCTCCCGATGGTCAGGAGGCGTTTCTGTCCTTGAAAATATACATATCAATTTTCGACATTTGCTGTAAGGGAAGGACCACTTTGGAACCTCGAGAATATGCTGACAGCAAGCACTCTGGCGCTTCCCCAACATTGTAGGATTGAATGCAGATTCATTCTCCGGCACTGACTCACCAACGATTTTTCATCATAATACCTTCGAACTTTCCAGAATGCTGAAAGAAGCAGAGTCTAGTCAGGTCTCAACCAGAGTTAATCACAGTTAATTGTCTTCTAGCCACAAACCCGCCAAAGTCGAAACACCAGAAAAAGACACCACAGATAGCGCACTAATCGCCGAACTCAGAATCTCCTAGACCATCACCAATCTACACAATCGCCCTACCCAGCCGCCAGTACGTAGCAAGATGGTAAAACCATCCAGAACCGAGGCTTAGCGCCAAGAGATAACCTCGTGGGGCGCCGGTCAGCAGGTTGCAGGCCTCATCCATCGGAGGCAACCCGGCCTTACGCATTAACTCCGATTGATGACGGAAGGCAAGTATCTATAAACACGTCGATTGTTTGGATTATGTCGATTTAGCAGACAAAGAGCTATCATTTCGTTTCGTTTAACCTTTGTACATGTACATACGTTGACATTTTGCCACGAAATGGCGCCGTGGTTGTTGCCTCTGATTCTTTTGACTCTTTATGCCGAGGAGATGCTGGCGGATTCTACAGACGAGGCAGAGTTTGAGGAGGCTAGTGATTGATGGCGAAGACATTTTCATGTGTGAATGTTTTAAATTATGGCTCGAGGGCGTTGAATTTTACGAATATCTTCACTGTTTTGACGAATCATGTATTGCCCTCTACGTTCATCAACTAGCCCATTTCCTTGATTAATAATGAACAAGTGGAACTGGTTTGCGACTGTAGAGATCATACCTCCTGGTAAACGGTGCGATGTTCTTAGTAATGTCAGTAATACTTCTATAGACTTCAGCGAGACAAGACCCCCGAAAATAGAATAAACGCACTAGAAGGCAATCTTCCAGAAACGCCATTTGTCCATGACCTAGAAACCATCTCGAATCAAGAGACCAACCCTCCTAATGTGTTCCTAAAACCCTACAAAAATCCAAGCACAGCCACCAGCAACCCCCTCCCCGTGCCTAGTCCGGTCCTTGGCATCGATGTCCCACCACTCGGAGTCCAGAAACCGACACAAAGTCCAAGACATCGAGCCATGGGCGGCTGTGCTTGGACGTAGGGCTCCGGTATTGACACCGCCAGTGGAGCCACAACCAGACCATCTGTCAGCATTGGCGGGTCTCGGTCGATGACGAGTCGGTCTTGGCTTGCAGTTTCTTTTCGGCCTCGGCGGTGGAATGCGGTTGATTTACTCTGATGCCTAGATGGGTGGGTCTGGTTTGGTGTGTATGCAAAGGTTGTTGAAGGCGATATATTTGCAGATTGGATTGGATGGGTTCGAGTGGTGCTGGGATGTATAAAAGGGTGGCCGTCTAGGGTACAGCGTTCATGTGTGGCTGTCTGCGCCAAACGTCTGTTCTGTAAATCATGAGATTCTCGATCTTTAATCTCGTGCTGGTATACTTCTTCTCGCTACTTCAACTAGCTACGGGTAAGTGCATACTGACACCCCTATCTGCCCTTTGATGTGACAAATCGCATACTTACGTTAGCAGGATACTCAATACATTCTTACGCAACCGACGGATCAGGCACACTCGAACATGTGACAATCAATACCCCCTCCCATAAAGTAACACTACGAACAGAATTCTCTCTCACATTCCGGATCTCCAATCAAGACCCGGACTTCAAACTGCACATAGAACCTAACAATGATATCTTCGTCCAAGCCCCGCATATTCGCCACCTGGACGCAAGCGGCGGAATCCGGCACACGGAGACTCTAGATGGCACGCAGCATAGAGTCTTCAAGGGAGCGGTCTGGGCTCGCTTCGGAGATCACGACTGGCAGAAGAAAGGCTGGGCGAGAGTATACGTGCTTCAAGATGGAGAAAATCCCATGTTTGAAGGCGCGTTTACGATTTCAGGCCAGCGGTACCGTATTGAGGCTATCTCAGACGAGGATGATGGTGGTATGGAAGAGAGGCTATCGCATATGGTTGTGCATCATGATGCGAGAAGAGGTGAAGACAGTGTTGGAGAGACATGTGCAGCTGGACGGATGCCGTCAATTCCCGGAACGAGTGACATTCTCATGGATAGTATCGGCATGATCACTGGCTCAACAGGACTAGACAAACGCCAGTTCGGCGGCTTCAATCCCGGAGACTTGACTGATAGCATCGGGAGCGCAGAAGGATGTCCGACAACGAGGCGAGTAGCGTTGGTCGGAATCGCGACAGACTGTTCGTACACAGCAGCGTTCAACTCGACAGAATCGGTGCGTCGAAACCTGATAAATATGGTCAACACGGCGTCGGAGGTATTTGAAAGTACGTTCAATATCTCATTGAGCCTTCACAACGTGACGATTAGCGACGCGAGCTGTCCAGACAGTGCATCGGACTCAACCCCTTGGAACGTCGAATGTTCCGAGGGAGATATGGACTGGCGACTACGACAGTTCTCATCTTGGCGACGATCGCTCGATGACTCCACCAATGCCTACTGGACACTCATGACGACGTGTCGAACCGGCGGAGAGGTCGGAGTATCGTGGATCGGGCAACTGTGCAACTCGCGAATGAGCACGAATGTGGTGGCTCGAACGTCCAACGAATGGCAGGTTTTTGCGTAAGTAGCCTCTACTCCTCCTCTAGTAGGTGGCATTGACACTGATAACTTTTTTCAATAGCCACGAGTCCGCCCACACATTCGGCGCCGTCCACGACTGCGTCGACTCTACTTGTCCCTCATCTCGAGGGCAATGCTGTCCGCTATCCACGTCCACATGCGACGCAGACGCCCAGTACCTGATGAATCCCTACTCCAGCTCCTCCCACAGTGACTTCTCACCCTGCACCCTGGGAAACGTCTGCTCCGCCATCGGATCCGGCGACGTGCGAACAAACTGCCTGATCAGCAACGACGACGTACCCACCATCACACCAGGAGAATGCGGCAACGGGATCGTAGAGGCGGGAGAGGAATGCGACTGCGGAGATAACTGCGACGGGAACTCCTGCTGCAACGGCTCCACCTGTCGATTCCGAGACGGGGCAGTCTGCGACAACGCGTCCGGTCCGTGCTGCAATGACTGCCAATACGCGTCTTCCGACACTGTATGTCGTCGCAGCTCAGGGGCCTGCGATCTCGAAGAGACATGTCCGGGGAATTCAAGCAGATGTCCGACCGATCGGCATGTCCCGAACGGCGACAGCTGCGGCGGCGGAAATAGCACTGATCTGTTCTGTGCCAGCGGTGAATGCACCAGTCGGGATATGCAATGTCGGGAACAGTTGTCGTCGAACAGCACCAGTATCTCGTCATGCGGTGATAGTAACTCTTGCACACTGAGCTGTAGCGACGGGAGCTCTGACTCCGGGAGCTGTATGAGCACAGGTCAACAGGTGCTTGACGGTACGCCGTGCGATGGAGGCTCGTGTCGCAGCGGACGGTGTCGTAGCGGGAACGAAGAGAACGGGGGTGACGGCGTTTCCTCGTGGGTGGATCAGCATCGAACCCTGGTGATCGGTCTGGCGGCAGGGCTTGGAGGCGCGCTTGTACTGGCGTTCCTTGGGTGTGTTGTCTGTTGCTGTTGTAGGCGTCCGAAAGTGAAGACCCCGCCAGCTGTGCCTCGGCGGCCGATGGCGGTGCCCTTGGCCTACCCTCCTCCGCCGCCGTATAGAGTGGCGGAACCCCGACCTGTGTTACCGAGATATGCTTGATTGATGTATGTTATGACGTTTAGTATGAGTTGCATGATAGACAATGGTTTTGTTCTTTCTTATTCTCCCGTGTCCCTGAATTAGAACATCGCCTACCAGAAATTGTCTCAAGAAATAGACAAAGACTCCAAAAGAGTAACTGCACTACCTAATAAATTGGATAATACTCCCTCATCAACCCATTCAAAAGCTCGCAATGTTCCGACACACTAAAAGCCCTCCGCACCGCCAAGCCGCGAATTCGGGAAGTTGACTCCATATTTTCTCCACAAACTGCGTCGATGTGGGGTGAAGAGTTTGTCCCCTGGAGAATTGCCATTTCCAGTCTGAAGAAGCGTCTTCGGAGCCGGCACGATCGGGCTAGCATGGATCTGGAAATAATCCAGGTGGTGCCTGAAACTGTCCGTGGGGAAATGTCGTATGCCAAGGCGATATCGCGAGATCCAAGGCCGGTGGGATAGAGGGGTGAAAGGGAATAAATACCTCACAGGGTAGGCTCAATTGCACTGCGTTCGAAAGTATATTATTACCTACCAGATATACATACAGCACGCCATGCGGTGGACAAGCGTGCTCGCCCTAATGGGCATGAGTGCCCTCATTCAAGCACAGGATACATTCATCAACCCCGTCCTCTGGGAAGACCTAGCAGACATCGACGTAATCCGCGTCAACGACACATTCTACTACTCCGCCTCAACAATGCACTACTCCCCTGGTGCCCCGGTGCTACGATCCTACAACCTCGCCGACTGGGAATACATCGGCCACTCCGTGCCCACACTCGACTGGGCCTCCGATTACTCCCTCGAGAACGGTAAACGGGCCTACGTACGCGGCATCTGGGCCTCAACAATCCAATACCGACCCAGCACCCAGACCTTCTTCTGGCTCGGCTGCATCGACTCCAGCACGACGTACATCTACACGGCCGACACGGCGGAAGGCCCCTGGAAGAAATCCGGCACCATCCCGTCCTGCTACTACGATGCCGGACTGCTCGTCGACGCCGACGACACCATGTACGTCGCCTACGACAAGTACAACATCTCGGTCGCGCAGCTCTCCGAGGACGGTCTCAGCGAAGTCAAAAGCGAAGTCGTGTACCGCGCGCCCGACGACATCGGATATCTCGAGGGCGCACGCTTCTACAACATCAACGGAAACCATTACATCTGGCTCACGCGGCCTGCGAGCGACCAGTTCGTGCTGAAATCTACCTCGGGGCCCTTTGGCCCGTACGAACTCCGCGAGGTCGTCATCGGAGTCGATGCCCCTGTTGCGGGAGCAGGGAGTCCACACCAAGGGGCATTGGTCGACACCCCCTCCGGAGACTGGTACTATATGGCCTTCATCGACGCGTACCCCGGGGGTCGCATCCCGGTGCTCGCGCCAGTCGAATGGGACGAGGATGGCTGGCCATCTGTAACGCTCGATAACGGCGCCTGGGGATCTTCATACCCATTACCCTCGGTATCAACCGACAAGACCATCACCCCGATCCCGACCTCCTATACATTCGAGGAGTCGGCTCTCAGCGCAGAATGGGAATGGAACCATAACCCCGACACCGAGAAATGGTCTCTCGACAGCGGCCTGATCCTGAAAACCGCAACCGTGACAGACGACCTCTACTCGGCTCGAAACACACTAACGCGACGCATCCCCGGCCCGAAATCCAGCGCTACCATCCATCTCGACATATCGAAGATGAGCAACGGCGATCGTGCAGGCCTTTCGCTCTTCCGAGACACGTCAGCATGGATCGGTATCCGACGGGACGAGGGAGGATCCCGAGTCAGCATGACGAGTGGGTTGACGATGGATGCGAACTGGAACACGAAGTCGAAGGGTAGCGAGGAGGCCGGTACAGACATCTCGGGGGATGAGATCTGGTTGCGCGCTACGATTGATATCACCCCTGGAACTGAGCGAAAGGGGTCGTTTGCGTATAGCACGGACGGGTCGTCGTTTACAGACCTTGGGGGCGAGTTGACGCTGAATAGCGATTGGCCGTTCTTTTTGGGGTATCGGTATGGGATCTTTAACTATGCGACTGAGGAGCTTGGGGGGCAGGTTACGGTGAAGAAGTTTGAGTTGGGGTCTGAGTGAGATATTCTGTGTATAAAATGTGCCATGTCTAGTCAAGAAGGAGAGTCAGCATGAATCGCAGACTAGAAACTTATAACCAAGTCTATTCTCAACCAACGCAATCGATGAACACCCCCCTACGTCACTCAAAAAACCCATTAAAAACCCTCGCGACCCTCCCTCTCTTCTTTGCCACAAAAGAAGCCTCATACGCATCAATCTCCCCCTTCAGCCCATTCAATCCCAAATCCGCCGTGCCCGGCCAAAGATACCTCGACCTACGCAGCACCTTCCAAAACCCAAACGCTACCACAAAGAATCCGATCATCGTATAATTGAGGAAGAAACTGGTGGTATCCCACTGCCCGTCGAAAAACAAATCAAACCCCAAAATTAACGTCATCACCCCCGTCCCGAACACCGCATACCACGCCGCGTAGGGTTGGAGACGGCCCGTATACGGCAGCGAGGCACGGTCAACGCCCTGTCGACGACATGCCGCGTGGAAATGCAGGTACGTGATACAAGTCCCGAAGTAGTTGAGCAGGTAGCTTGCGGTGATAATGCTAACGAGCCAGTTCAGGACGGTGGCGGAGCTGTTGCTTACCTGCAGGAAACCAAGGGCTGAGAAGGCCATTGTGCAGGCGACGGCGTAGTAGGGGAGACCGGCGCGGCTGCAGATAGCTAGGAAGGCTGGAGCTTGGCCTTCCAGGGCCATACCGTGGAGGGTGCGGGCGCCGGAGAAGACGAGGTTGTTGCCGGCGGAGAAGACGGAGGTCATGATGAGGGCGTTGACGAGGGAGGGGAGGCCGTGGATGTTGAAGTGGTTCATGGAGATGACGTAGGGGGATCTAAGATGGTTAGCTATATAGGAACATAGGTGACCGGAAGAAAAAGAAAGGAAGGGAAGCACACGCTGCTCCAGTTCCGCTGCCTTCTCGGGTGCCATCTAGGGTTGCGGCAAGCACGGGATCGTCATAGGGAAGAACGATACCCATGCAGAGAGCGCCACCAATGAAGAAAAACATCAGTCGCCAGACAAATGCGGAATAAGCCTTTTTCATGACGGTTCGCGGTCGCTCGGCCTCTGCGGCTGCCATGGAGATGTACTCAGGTCCGACCATACTGGGTTCATTAGCAGCGAAACACGACAACTCATACTGGTGGGTCGTACGTAAATGAGGCCTGAACCATGCTAGCTAGAATTCCGCAGAAGCGTCCAGCATCACCTGGGACAAGGTACGAAACAAATGCGCCCTGCTCGCAATCAGCCTAGTCCAGAACTCTATCAGGGATACAAACCGGATCACGCCAATATCGAAACCCATAAGCATCGTGCCTCGGGTTACCGCCGACCATGGTGACAAATGTGTACATCATCAAGCCTAGCATGAGGATGATTTTGAATATTGATAAGTAGAACTCAGATATGCCAAAGTATCTAACAGTAAGGATATTAAGGAACCTGCATGTCGCCATTAACATCAACCATAGGGGGTACGGCAAGGAATAAACCCTACGCATAGAGAACAATGCATGCTACCACCACCGCAGCGACAGGGACTTTATCAGTCCAGTATGTCAGCAGGACATTAATCGCGACAATCTCATACGGAATGCCCAATGCTGACGGGATCAGTCACAGTTCGACGAAATGCTCAATCCCCATCCGCAAGTAGGGAGCTCACCCAGGTTGAGGAAAAAGTTCCATCCCATCGCGAAGCTCAACGCATCATCCACCCAATGACTGGCTAATCGGACGAACGGCGATGGCACCGGAAGGTAGCACACCATTTCCGCTGATGGAAGAACTGTCAAAATTCGTCCTAAAGTCTCCGGTCTTTACCAACTCTCACCAAAGCACTGATTCACACTCAAGATGATACTAGCGTAAGCCACAAACCCGAGAAACAAGCCCGCGGGTCCGGCCTTGGGTAAGACAGCAGCCATCTGTACGAACAGAGCTGCATATATCAGCGAGCTGTACAATTGCGAGGAAAAGCCTTTGACCTACAAGTTCCGATAGCTCCCCCAACCGCGAACAGCTGGACCTCTCGACCTCTCAGTCGACGGTGCAGATGCTGTGATCCCGCTGAGATGAGATCAGGCTGATCTTGCTCTTCAGAGGGCACAGGAGTAGCATCATCGCTTGCCTTGATTGAATTGCGAGACATGATCATTCAGAGCAGTCGAGTTGAACTTGCATGACAACTGATGCTGAGTGTTTAAGACAGTCAGATTCTTATCGAAAACTCAACTACCCGGGAACAAGGCCCAAGCCATGCAGGATCCAATCATCCAACCCAGGTTGCGATCGTCGATGATATGCATGAAGCGCGGGTATATTCCCCTATCAACATCCCTGCTTTACAGCGGTCGGAATGATTTGTCCAGCATTAGCGTGCTCATACCCCTCCCTCAGCACCTATCAAGGGAATTTGGCCGAGAGGATGCAGCGATAGAAATGGTAGGGTATCTGCAATGAAAGTGGCGGTCACGTTTACCCCTCTTTGATGGCGTTTCCAGATCGGTGTCGGGCGTTTTAGGATTATTCTACTGAAGACATTCGGATCCAAATCGGGCAATTCGTGTTCGTTCAGAAGTTTGTAATTTCCTAGTGGTTAATTCCCCACTTTGCTAGCTGATCCATCTAGTTCCACATTTGGGTACCCACAGAATCACCCACAGCATCATTTGCTTTGGTTTTATTCTAGCAATTTCACATAACACGATCCAGAAGAAGGAGGAGTCAATGGTCCTATATGGAAAACGAGTATTCTTATAGGTGAAAAAAAAGATGAGAATTGTAATTTGATTAGGCATATTGCTCTTGCTGCCACGCGAAGAAGCTCTAACGATCATTAGACGAGGTCAGAACAAGATGAAAAACCAGATACCAAGAGAAAGAATGGAAGAATTATCGACCAGGGAGTCGATGCGAAAGAGAGAAAAAAGAGAACGAAAGATAGATCCGTAGCGGAATCTGAGACAATAGAAAAGAGAAGGAATGCAACGAATGTCCCAAGAAAAGAAGAAATAGTGTGTAATCAACAAAACACATCTGTCCCGCCTATTAAACATCGCTGGAATATGCAAAGATGACACGCTGTCGAGAGAGGCTGCGTGGTTGGCGCTTTACAGGCCCGGGGATATTGAAGCCAAAAAACTAATAGAGAAGTGCAATTAACATCGCCACGAACATAGCCGACAGCCACCCAGAAGGATAACCGTAGCCAGCAGCTGAGTTGGTAATATCTGCTTCTTTGAGGACCATTTGGGGGTTGTAGGAACCCGGCTTGCGACTATCTGTCGTACCATTCCAGCAGTACCGATTGAAGCATTGGCCACAAATGCTGGGCACCGATGTATTGGTGCGCTCAAATGAACGGCTCAACATGGCGCATCCCACGCAGGCTGACCAGTCTGAGTCCCGAGTCGAATTTCCCATGGTAGCGACGTTGTACCCATTCAGGATGATGGCATCCCGTTGCGTGTTGTTATACTTCCGGTCGAACGTGGAAACGTTGGAGTGGGCCATATAAGGGGAGTTGGGGAGGTAGACAATCAAAGGTGCGTCTCCAGCGGTGATGTTGGAACTGTTGCAGCCAAAGAACGTCGGATGGGTGTTGAACCCGAGATTGATGAAGGTATTTTGATCGGGGATCGCAGGGAATGCAGTGCCGTTGTTGATCTTCTGATTCAGACTTCGCTCGTACGTGGCCACCAGCGAAGTTCCGTCGGGCCAATTGTTGTTATCGGCCGATGAGTCGACGGCGAAAATCACATCAACATGGCGTTCAGGCTGGATGAGCGGATGCAAAGGAAGGTTTTGTAGGTCTTCACCCCCGTCTACCACAGCGAGGTATTCTGACTTGGCATAATGGGACTTCGACTCGGGATAGAGGTAGAATGGGTTGGTGTAGTTGGCAATGTCTTTTTCTTCGTCGTCGACCAACTCAAGGATGCCCGTTAGAATACCCCTGGCTGCCTCGGGTATGTCCGTGGAGTTGATTTGGAGCAGGAATTGATTGAACAGGCTGGACGAAGTGCCCATGATAAATCCCGCGTTATCGAACCCGCGAACACATTTTTCTTTGCTCGGGAGCTTGCCACCGATGTATCGCGATCCCAGATACTCCAATGGTACAAACCCGAAGAGAGTGGGATCGAACGTGCCGAACTCCCAAGGGTTGAATTCGTAGACAGTGGCGTTGCCGCCAACATGAAGCTCTCCGGGGTTACGGCCGTCGGCAACGAGAATGGGCAAAGGCATGTCGGCCTCCTGGAAATTATGTGACTTGGAGATCGAAGACCAGGTAAAGTCGATACCTCCCTCGGAGGCGTGGATAAGCTGATATGCAAGCGCGCGACCCCTTTAGAAAACTCGCTATTAGCTTTAATTGCTGTTTTAAGGGACAAGGCAAATTGACTCAGTGTTAAGGCATAATTTGCAGGAGGCTTACCAATAGTCGGTGATAGTAGTCGGGTAGCCAGCTTTCTCCTTTTCCTTCACAGCATCTCGAATCTGTTCCAGATACTTCAAAGTAGACGTCATGAGCGTGCCACTGCCCTCGGGGCCTTTGAGGATTGAATGCTCAAACTGCCAAGGATCACCCTTCTTATCGGTCTGTAGGGAAGAAACAGTGGTGAAATTGTTCATGTAGAGTGAACCCAGGAGCCAACCTCCACCACTGAGACCAGACAGATAGGTCGCAGACTGAAGCAAACCCCCGAGATGTCCCGACGTGGTGGAGTTCTCAGTCCTGCTGTCAAACGCCTTAAGCCCACCCGCGCCATTCATCAAAGCGCGGTAACCTCCACCGGAAACAGCAATGCCTACATTAGGCACATTATCCATGTCGTGGGCGGCCTTTTCGAGATAGGAAACCGCGTCGAACACCTTGATCTTCACGTGGCCGAAAAAGCTTTTCATAGCATCGAGAGTTTTCTTCCGGCGCTGGGTAAGCCATTCCGTTTCGTGGGTCGAGAGCTTTGCTGCACTGCGCACACTGGGGCGGTTTGGTGGGCATTCGACTTCGGTTGGAACATAACCATCTGGAGCGTTGGGAAGAGAGCGCTGTTCAACAGTTATCTGGTCATCTCCTTCGGGCAACGCTGAGATGCCTCCTGGTAAGAACTTTAGTTAGGGCTTGCACAATGCTTCATTGTGGGCAGACAACGCACTAGAAAAAGCTAACGCCAATGCGATAGCATTGAGAAAAAAAGAAGATTTCATTTTGGAACAGCAAATACCCCAGCCCTGAAAAAGGGAAAAGAATGTACGGGCAAGCGCTTCTGCATAACGTACAATCGGGTTTAACGCTCTATCTTATACAATTGAAGGTACTCTACCATTGATCCTCAGTTCAATAGGACTCAGTGAGACAGAGTGGATCAAACCAGGCTTCAACTTTTCTCTCCATGCAACTATACCAGTAGAAACCGGCTAAGGACGGTTTTGGCTACTAATTAGTATGAATGGGGTGCTTTCTGTTAGCCAATACCAACAGGATCCTTCTTAGGCTCTTCCATGGCATCCTCAACCAGTATAGCAAGTCGGGATTTTCCGTCCGATAGCCTTCTACCGCCAGGTAGTTTCTTCTTTAGTAATCCATGGTACTGTGGACCTTTCTGCCAAGCAGCCTAAATCCAGGCAGCAAGGAAAATATTTCAATTTTCAAGGGATACAGCTGCGCCACATTTACCGGTGAGTAGACTTGCTGGAATCGAAAGGCAGCAAGGCATAAGGCGTGGACCGCAAGTGGAGTTTTCACTACGACTAGCGGATGCTTGAAACTAGCTAATTTGAAGGGGTTCAATCCAGGATGAACATGCTTGAAGGATCACGATGATTGACTCTATCAATTCCACTAATTGCTGTGTTATCTGGTATGCGCTATGTTGATGCAGTTCTAGTGTGAATTTACTCTCTTTCACAATGCATATTTTGCGGTGACCTACTTGGCATCACCATTACTTCCATTATCTCCAGAATTATTACTAACCTTTTTCAAGAAACATCGGTAGTCTGACAAAGTAAACTAGTAGAATATTATTATCTGATTAAAATCCTATACAGCGATCCAACTATCCTTGCCCCTCATCTTCCCGGATAAGTCATAGGAAACGTCTCCTGATACCCTTCCTGAATAGACCTGACATACCGATCCGCCTCCTTTCCCTCCTGCACCAAAGCATAACACGGACAAAATCAGGTTGCAACAAAATCCCCACAGCAAGATGATTTGATGTTCAACTTGTTGACCATGGCCCCTTCGCTTGCAGAATTGAAGACACCCACAGCCGAGAACAAGGTTGCATATTGACTAGATCCTGCACTGTAGGGAGCAGTAGTCAGTACCGGTACTAGGAATTCTGAGGGGTCGGTATGTCAGGCTTAGGTCGTACATACATCTGAGTTGCAGCAACCGTAAGACGATCTGTAAGGATCCTTAAGCCGGGCCTGGGTTTTCCCATATTGTATGCAGGAACCGAGCCAGCTGCGTAGACCTAGTCGTACGATTAGTTAGCGGTAGTCTCACTAGGATGTAAACGACACTTGTCAGTCCACGAGAGGAGGAAAACCTACAGATACCAATGGGAGAACAGCATGCATAGAGAGAGAAGCTCCAATCTCGGGGTTCCAATGCTGACGCCATAATGAATGAGGGTAATCAGTTAATTGCCGTGTCAACGATTCAATACATTTTCGCATCGATGGAATGGTAGGAAGCATTCTTCATGCTCTGCACAGTTTGATGAGGAATCATATCTATGCTGTTTATCTCTCCGTGCTTTGGAAAATATACTATCTCATGTTCCGTTCCGTTGTAGTAACCAAAACATGAAGAACTAGTTCAATTTAGGATCACTGCTAGGCGTATCGGACCATATCCACTGTTGTTAATCACGTTGCCTAGATGTTAATTAAGGGACTAACAGCCACAATTTACATAATAGGCACGAAGCGGATGTTTCTAGTGCATCTAGTCAGATTCAGTTGGTGAACGAGAACGCTCGAATAATCCTTGGCGTCTCAACGCCGAACAGTTTTCTTCTATTTCGTTTCTTCTTTTGGGTTTTCCTGGCAATTGACGGTAGCCTAATTATCATTTCCAGATAGCTGTCCATGGAGCATTGATCAAGTGCGTGGGGCCGCGGAAAAGGGTTCACTTAATCTTGCTGACCCACTCCATGCTCGTTAACATTGATCTATAGGTATCAAAAATGGTTATCTACCTTTGTATGGTAGCAGAAATTCTTTGGTATGCTTGGAATGGCAAACAAGTATGTCCTTCCGTTGATAGTCCTTATTTCATCTACATTTTTCCTATGTTAATCGGCGACATACCATGGACATAGTATAATTCGCTTGTTACTTTTGTCGCTTCGCTTTTTCGCTCTTCGGGAACATTTCTCTTCATTTATATATATTTCCGCTGCTATGCCTTAAATATGCCACAAGGATACTTAGTTGCAAAGTTAGTTTATCCCGCCAGACCAGAGGTTATATAGAAACATGATAGACAAAGCCAAGGTATCAAAAGGGCAGCCTCACACGTACGCGGCACCAGGTCCCCCCTATAGTGACTGACGGGCCATAGTCTTGGTGGAAGGAGGCCAGTGTTAAATAAAGCCAAGGCCTATTAGATATGCCGTGAGGTGAGATCCTGTCTCGGGGAGATACAGCAAATAAACACAAGGCAGCTGTACAGGGACAAGAAGCGAGGCATGAATTTGAAAACATGATTCGGGTCAACCAAGAGAAAGACGCACTAGAGATCTGCCGATATAAATTCTGGAACACCCTTGTAGATACGGGATACTACGGTACACAATTCGGGCTGTCCACATATAGGAAGATATTGGTACTTCATAGAAGAGCAATACAGTTCCAACCTCTACATCTCTACTGATCATATGGGGAAATGAACCAGCATCCTGGGATGACCTAAGATGGTTTAGAGTTTGAAGATAAAGAAAATTGGTAAGATAGGAAAAGAACGAAAGACTACGCAGACCATGGAGAGCCGCTACTAGTGGCCTCGTGACTGTGTAGCAGCCCAGCTGTTCAAGAGAAGGAGAGGGAATGACCGTCCACCAACAGGTCAAGCGCTCAGGAAGCGGAAGGCCCGCATGACCACACCACAAACCCTAGGGCCGAGAACCAGTGTCTATGGAGCCAGGGATAGAAGAAATCAATTGCCGCATATGTGTACTATCCCGCGTTAGGGGGGGCTACAGGAAGTGGGCCTTGGGGCGAAATGGGTTGGATGAAAGTTTTCTGGAGGAAAGTTGTAGAAGCATCGATCACAACTTTACTCGTGGCGCGTCTTCTTAAGGCCCCATGACAGATCAAGTGAAAAGGTCAGAACAGACACGATTGTCTCATGCCCAACCGATACTTCTCCTGGCTGTGTGAATGGAGTGTGGATTTCGGGCCGAAAGGGTACGCGCACTAGGACGAAGATCTACCAGATGTTTATTTCCAAAGAGTTTTACATAACAGATGACCCCGAGCTCATCATCGGTACTCCAAAGCGACATATGATCTACTGAGTAGTTCAAGGAAAGCGTGACAGGCACGCGAGCGATTCTTTGGCGGATTCCCAGCCTAATGCAGAGCGAGAATTATACGCGACGGCATCAGCCTCCATTAGAGTCATAGAATCGCACAGATTTGGCGTGTTGAGAGGAGTCGCGTGCCTTGGGCTTGCAATCCAACATCAAATAGTATCATCGTTGTTTAACCCAACCGCGTATCGCTCCACTTACAAGGATGCCGAGACTTGGCTACGCAGTATCATAATCAGCCGAGTGAGCAGATCGTAAATATTGATTCGATGATAGGGAGTGCTAATGCAATTCAGTGAAGATCTTCCCGAATAGCAGGTTTTTGGACGATACAGCCCATCCATTTGCGATGTGATAATGTATCCGGGGCAGCAGCTGAGCAGCGATCAGAGAAAATCACCACTATTGATTATCTCCCGTGAGTTCTCATGTTTGTATCCGTCGATATCCAGACCTTGTCTAGCATATGTCCTTGGACGTAGGGTGTCGCTTGGGAAGCGAACCTTGACGTATGGCCATTCGGCCATGTCCGGGTTGGTGCCCCTCGGGTGCCATACGGAAATCCCCGGCGTTCTTGGATGGTAGCCGAGCGCTGGAAATGAGCGAATGTCCGAGATTATTCAGGAAATCCACCACGTATGCCGCGCACTCGGTCGGCTTGAAAACAGGTAAAATGACATCGGCCGTGCCAGCGTTCTCCAGGCCGAGCGAAGTTCCGCGCAGGGCTGGGGCGATATGGGGTGCCGGCCAAGCCTTGGCTGCCGCTCGGATTTCCCAATGCGGGCAACCCGCGCCTGAGCGCCAAGTCCGTCATGGCGGAACCCGGTCGGTGGTCTTGGCGGTCGGGACCCAATCTTCGGCTGTCGTCGACTTGGAAGTATGGAGTATGGAGTTGGGTTCGGGGCCAAACAGGAGAGAAGTTGCCTATCATACATTCATCCAATGTACGTGGGACGCTCCATGGCAGACCGTGGAGTCCTGATCGTCGGGGTATAAAAATGGGACTCTTTACCCCGGATCAAGTTGCTCTCGATCTGGGGTAAGAGCAGGTCTTTGTTTCGCGCTGTACACTGCCAGGACCGCCCCAGCGCTCATTCTACCATGTCGAGCCCGTCTGTGAACGAAAAAAATGGAGGGGACCTCTTTCCCCACTCACAGCACCTGCAAGACCAGTCATCCGACTCTTCCCCAACACGCAATGCCAGTAAGGAGGAGCGTATGAAATATGAACATCGGCGGGCCAGGAGCGGCAGTAAAATGGATAAGTGGTTTGGGTGGATGCAAGAGCTGCCTGAATGGAAGTACCGTGGCAAAGCGTTGGCTGGCAGGACACTGAACTGGTCCATTGGTTTCATTGCCAGCTGTGGTTTCCTCATGTTCGGGTATGATCAGGGTGTACTCAGCGCTCTTCTCACGTTGGACTCCTTCCAGGAAACGTTGTCACTCATGACGCCACGAGAGAAATCCAACGATCTCTGCTGGCTGGACAACCCGGATAACACCATTCCTCATCCTGACCACTGCAAAGGAGATGCCAATACGCAGGCGGCCGGAGTCGCCATCTATCAGATTGGGTGCTGGCTGGGCTCGCTGGTGATTCTGGCGTATGGGGAGAAATGGGGCCGAAAGTCGTCCACCTTCTGGGGCTCGTTGATCATGATCATTGGAACTGTCATGCAAGTCGCTTGCTTCGAGTATGGGCTGTTTGTTGCTGGCCGTGTTGTCGGAGGCATCGGGAACGGCATGGTTACTTCCAGTACGCTCTCCCTTTCTCGCAGCATACCTTGTATAGCTGATACTAACGGATTCCCTAGCTATCCCAACATGGCAGAGCGAATGCGCTCGTCCTCACCAACGTGGCGTTCTTATCATGCTGTCGGGCGCCTTGATCTCTGCCGGTATCATGATTGCTTACTGGGTGGATTATGGCTTCTACTTCTTGGAAGGCTCAGTCCGCTGGCGCTTCCCTCTGATGTTCCAATCGTTCTTCACAATCATTGTCATGATCGGTCTACTTTATCTTCCCGACTCTCCCCGATGGTTGATCATGAAGGGTCGTCACACCGAAGCCCGCGACGTCACCGCTCGTCTAGTGGACAAGCCGGAGAATGACCCGGCCGTCGACGAGGAACTACGCAACATCAAAGAGGCCTTAGAAGCCCAAAGTCGAGACGGGCCCTTCAGGTATCGGGAGTTGCTCACTAATGGACCCTCCCAGAACTGCCGCCGAGCAGCACTGGCTATGGTGGCGCAATTCTTCCAGCAGATCTGCGGTATCAACCTGATCACATACTACGCCACGTTCTTGTTCGAGAACTCGCTCGGTTTCGGACCCGACATGGCTCGATTACTTGCTGCTTGTAACGGGACTGAGTACTTCCTCGCCTCCTTAGTAGCCTTGCCGCTCATCGAACGAACTGGTCGCCGAAAGTTGATGATGATTGGAGCCTTTGGCATGATGGCTTCCATGGCCATCCTCGCGGGGACGGTGTCCACAGGTACTACGCTGGAAAACGGTGCTCCTCAGCTTGAGACACGCTATGGTATCACAGCTACTGTCTTCCTATTTGTTTTCAACTCTTTCTTCGCCATCGGCTGGCTCGGCATGACCTGGCTATACCCAGCAGAAATCACCAATCTCCGAATCCGCATCCAAGCCAACGCCTTGTCCACCAGTTCGAACTGGATGTCCAATTTCCTGATTGTGATGATTACACCTCCTGCTTTCGCGAATCTAGGCTATCAAACCTACATCATCTTTGCTGTCTTCAACGCCGCCCTGATCCCCTGTGTCTACTTTTTCTTCCCGGAAACCAAGGGCCGCACCCTGGAGGAGTTGGACGTCGTATTCGCTAGCGCCAGCGCACAGGGTATCTCGCCAGTGAAGCAGAGTTCTCAAATGCCTCATCTGGTCGGACAGGATCTTGACCGTGAATTGGCCCGCTACTTTGGCATCGGCAGTGACGAAGAGACCGTCAGATCTACTGAGAAAGTGGAGAGCACCCACGACAACTGATTTCGTCGAACGTGAGGTCCTGCAGATAAAGATACATTTACAATAGACACCATTATCTCCACGGAGCTCTGATACCCAATTTGACAGCATTTTGTGCATTGACCATGATCTTTCATGTATCTTGTTCTTTTCTCTTTCTGGCTTATCTTATTCCGTCTTCTCGCTTCCCTTGTATAGAACATTAAACATTGGTTCTCAGCATCTAAACTACTACTTTAAGTTTTTACCGATCTCCATGTCGGTTTAGAGTATTGCGAGTCTCCATTCCACTACCTCCTTTCGGTAAATAAGAAGGGTCTGACCCACTTTGCAAGGAGTACGTCGACAGTAATCCGTAGGCTGTCCCATTCATTACCTTTGTGAATGTCTATATCTCGAAGCCTAATTCACGCCCAGAACCACATGCCAATTCTGTCACGTCATAGTTTCGTAAAAGGTGAAAGTTAATTCACCCAATTCAGCGCTTATGAATAATCTCACGATACCCCCGGCCATCCGTTTTCCTTCTTCTCTACAACCTCACTGCCTTGCTTTATTGACCCTATCACACGATCATACTGTTCTTTCCTACTACCTACAATAGAGAGTACACTCCATTTAGAATTTTATGATCTTGGTAGCTAAAAGATCCCAAACCTGGCAGAGCTTAAGTCTCTGTGAGTTCCTTCGTTGCATGCACTGGGGAAATTGCCCCTGCCAAATCCAGGAGAATATACAAATCACCATGTTCTTGTCGCCCATTACTACAATATGTTGCAGCTCGAAATCGAGGGAACAGCTTTCTAAAAAACGCTATCTGAATGGCAAAAACCAGTATCGAATTGTTTTGGTCTGCTTGATAGACATAATTACCATGAAGCAGCACATGGGGAGTCATCACCTTGCAGAGGTAGGTTATTAGGCTTCGTTACAGTCATACATCATCATGCCTTGCCATAGAGGGAATGTCGACTGACTTTCTCATCCCTCAGTAGATTGGAATGACATTTGACACCAAAGGAACGAGAACTAGACAATCACAAGGCATCATCCGGAAGGGGAGAAAGAATTCCAAGGTTGCATAAAGCTTCTCAAAGACTAGAGAAAGGCAAACGTGTACCCATTCTTTGTCTTACGAAATGGACGATCTAACCTCTGCCCAGAGCTTCCCTCGCTAGGCATTGAGCTTACCACGATTGTTGCCGTATGAGCAGCGACGAACATGTCCATGCCGCCAACAGCTTTGAGGCTGCGAACGGCAAAGTGTCAGTTCTAGTGACCAGCTTCCATACCGGCGCCGTAAACACCAATGTGATTAATCCTCACGCGTCATCTTCATGGAGCCTCCGAATAATCAACGCCGGGCTACAAGGCTTGGGACGCATCCATTGTCTTGGACGGCGATTCCCTCAGCTAGTGTGGATCCTTTCCCATGTCGCGTCATTCGACGCGCATGTCGAGGCAAACAACATTGAGAAAGCACTACCGCAGGTCCCAGCCGACCTAGAGCCCATTCTCTGGGTGGCCGGTCTCCATGTGAAGGAGACTGGCGCGAATGGGGAGATTATTCGGCGGCTACTCCACTGCTGTTTTGAATTCATTGGTAGAAATGTCAAATATCGGCAACTGCGGCCTAGGCATCCGTGATTATTATGATGTGAAACTCAGTGAATATGAAGACCTATCGACATCTACAAACTACTTTTGTACGAACCAGCCTTGACAGAACGGAAAGGACGCAAGAAACGGATGCCATAGAGAGAGCCAATCCCAAAGGAAAGTCAGCCCTTTAGGCTTTTTACTGAGCCTGATTCTATGAGTCAGAGGCTACACATATGCATTGTTGACATTTCTCGCATACGGAATACGTCCAATCAACTACCCCTTGCGCAAGAAAGGACAAAGATCTTGATCACCCCGGCCACCATTGAGTAGTTCCCCAACGGGGAAGATCTATTCGCAAGCATGACGGGATGACAGGCGTTCTAGAAGTTGGTAGATCTACGCAATCAGATACGCAACACTTGTGAAAACTTCGACAATAAGCTGCGAAATGTCAACTTCAAACACTGGGCCGAGATCCCATGAAAGCAAGGTCTCTACCTTATCAACAATACATTGGGATGTGCGCTCCAGAATGTTCCTCTGTAGGGCAGAGGAAACCACGTTCCAGCCGCTGACAGAGGAAAAAGAAAGAAGATTTAATGATCTCATCCACGGTGCCAATATTGCCATACGTCGGTCAAACAGCGTTGTCTCCATAATATGCCCTTGCACCTCTTAGTAATTCTCTAGCTACAATTTCTAGACGATAGCGACCTTGACCAAGAAGCCTTGCAATATATACAGCTATTCCGTCTCCAACTCTATCACAAACCGGGACGCGTCAACGTCGTTCCTGACGCCTTATCTAGACTCCCAGCTGAGTCGGGCGAATCCTGTTTGAGCGATACGTTCGACCTTGACGCCTTGCAAGTTTCCTGCGCCTGGTCTTCATCGACCCTACAACTAACCTTACTGGTCATGGAAGACAGAGATCGCTGTATTCTGCTCAAGGACTCACACATAAGTGGCAGCTGGAGACATACAAGGAGCTCCAGAACAGGAGCAAGCTCCATGCTGAAGCACTTGCAGGGTAGAACATCGTCATATAGAACAAGGACAAAGCTATCATCGACCTCAACGAAACTGTCGCCACGAGTGTCGCCACCATCCGTGCCAAAGATAATAATAATTACAACGCCACTATCCACACGAAACAAGTTCAGCTCGAGGGCGCCACTCGGGCACATGCAAGCCGATTGCCCGTATGGGACGGAATTACTCAGATATTCTAAAAGAAAAAGTCGAAGAGCTTACCCATCGCATTAAAGAGTAAGACACGATTATAGGATATTAGAATGAGTCTTTTAATCACCATCAAATATTGAAATTGATTATCTTTATCGCTCCGAGTACCCAAATTTTTAGGCGCTTGATCGAGTCGAAGCAATAATATCTGTATAGGGCCCTTGGAAGACTTTAATACTCACTTGACCCCGACTCGCCTACTCTCGCTTCCGTAAGATAAAACCAACCCAGCATTTAACACCTTCCCAGTGTCCACGAAATGCTCCAACCATGTTTGGATCATCCGGGATACCTTCCTGTACCTCCAGTAGCTCAAACCCGCATTTAGTGCCCTCATCCTTCACGCCATCAATGGTGTGTATGTGATCGTCGCTCCAGAGACGTTCCCCAGTCTCGGGATCCAAATAGTTGCCATGCGATATCTTGGCCAAGTCCGAGTGTGTATTGCTGATGAGCAAGTATCCGCCTGGAACAAGCATTTCGTCACACATTTTGAAGAATCCAGGTAGCTCCATGTGCACCAGCACAAGCGTACAAATAATTCCCTGCGCTTGCTCAGCGACATGCGGTATTCGGGAACCCTCCTTTAGGGGATTGTAAACCTGGAAAGACACGGTCTTGGCCCTGCGTTCGGGTGGAGTTTTAGCGAATAGATCTTCGGACTGCTTTTCTGCTACATCTAGAAGACTCTTTGTTGCGTCGAGACCGACAACCTCGGATCCAGGTAGCATAGTTGCCAACTTGAAGGTGTTTCGTCCGGTGCCACAGCCAAAGTCGACCACTCTGAGAGACTCCGGAAAGGCGCTTTGTAATAGCGAGATGTACTTCGGTAAGAATGTCTTCAGCTGGACATCGTCGAGAGCTTGAAGATTGTTGACGCGACCTTGGTTGTAGCCGGCTCCCCAGCGCGAATAGAGGTCCTCAACAGGGACGGATCGGATGCTTTGCGATTCTGTGGCCGCCATTATGAGGTATCAAAAAGGTAGATATGCCCAAGTGATTGGTTCGTTGATTATGTGTTAAAGTAGCTGACCGGATGCAGGTTTGTGGACGGTGTCAGTTTTGCAAACTTATCATGCAGTGCAGTGTTGAAGAGAGGGAATCACAGATCCACTATGGAGACTTAAAAGACCGTTTATCTGATTTATCGGACAGAAGACGTCATAAGGGCTGAGCGAGATACCCCTACCTACGGAATTGTCTGCCTTTTTGCGACAAAGAATCCAGTCTTCCCCGCATCGGTAGAATCCGGGTTCCACTCGGTCTGTCCAGAATCGCTGGCTAGGATCGAAGAATGAGTGTGTCACTCCCTTGACTCTAGATGGCTTATATCAAAAGTATGAACAAGACTATTTCAGCTAGTATTCCACGTGCCCTCATCATCACCCGCCCGCGTCGACCCGACTCTCCTGCATGGCAATCTCTCTCAGCTCTTTACCCAACAATCTCGTCAGGTTGGGTCGCTTGCCGCAATTTATGAAACTCCTGGGGTCGTAGGGGTCGCCTGATCGGTCACCGAATCCGAAGTCAGACTCTTCGGCGTTGACTTCGAAGGCAATTACGCGAACTTCGACCGGTGGCATATTAGCAGGAGCAGCTTCAATCCTGTCCGAGTTCGGCCAAACGATCTGCAGCCTAAGCTTGCGCGCGCGAGGATGGTGTGTTTGATAATTGCGTCTGTGTTCTATACATCGGGCAGCAAACTACAGATCGAGTGCTTTGCTCAACCGATGTTTTGCATATCAATGATCACCAAAGCTATCTTTACCGGAGAGATCCTAGCATGGACGAGCTCACAATCGAGATGGACGCCGTGCTCTGACTTGTCTATGTTTGGACCTGATGGATGGTCAAGCTCTCAAAAGCCATATGACAACAAGAGCTCTCTGTGGAGGTGTTCAAGAGACCTGACTGATGAGGTACTGAACAGTTCAGGTGCCATCTTCACTTCTGGGGGTCTTGTGTCGTAGTATTCCTCGGCGATGGGAGAGAGTATACAACAATGTACAACAAAGAAAGCTAAGTCTTCACCAGTTCACAGACACAGTCCACTAAACTAGAACACAAACGAGCCTACGGGTCTATCTAAACTGAACAAATCTTAGTAGGTTCTTGTTCGGGAAATTAATGAAAGCCCCGTGTATTAGATAAAGCAATGACCCATACTCGGGAGAGCCCGGTTATCAGAGGAACATCATGGTAACAGCAGCAGAGTCAACATTCTAACCCTTGCTATATAAAAGCTGTATAAAGAGCTACAATTCTGACAATATCTCTTTCATCCTTCTCCATTCTCCTTTATCTCATCCTTTGTCTTTCCATTCATTTAGTGTTAGCTACACATCAACACCGCTTACCATGGGTCCTGACTTCAACATGGAGAAGCTCGAGGAATTCCTGCATCTAAACAAGTCCGTCAAGTTTATCCGTCTGCAATGGGTCGACTACTCTGGCGTGCTGCGCGCCCACTTTGTCCCCGTCGGTAGGTGTCTTCAAATCGCCAATGGCGATGACACCGTCCATCTATCGGGGAACAGTATGACGACACCAATTTCTATTGCTCCGGACGTTATCCCACTCCACGAATATCACGAGAGATGGGATCTGCTTCCCGACTGGTCTTCTCTGCGCCGTTGTGGCTTGAACACCGGTCATGCCGTCGCCATGAGCTTCGTCGATCAGAAACAGACCCATGCAAGGTTCGATAAATGTCCGCGCATGCTGCTAACTCGTGCTCTCGAGCGGTTTGAGAAGCAATGGCGTGCAACAGTCACGATTGGATTCGAGATTGAATTCGTCCTCTTGGATAAATCAAATGAATCCATTAAGCCGCTGGACCGCCCGACCGGCTACTCAAGCACTGCTGGCCTGCGCGGCGAAACGTTGGACTTGGTCGAAGAGATCATGAGTGCCCTTGAAAAATCATCCATCGCTGTTCACCACTTCAACACCGAAGCGGAGGATCAGCTCAAGATCGCCCTTGCTGCCCAGCCTGTGCTCCAAGCTATCGATTCGCTCGTTCTGGCGCAGGAAACCATCCGCACTATATGTACGCGCCGAAATATCAAGGCAGCCATGACCCCAAAATCGACGTTTTCTGGACCATCAAATGGGCTCCATCTCCACCTTTCGCTTCATACACTTATGGGTCCACGGCACTTCATTGCTGGTATCCTTAGCCATATGACCTCTCTCTACGCCTTTGGTATGGCCAACTATGACAGTTATGTTCGCTCGAATAACAATGCTGCGGGTGAATGGATTGGATTCGGCACCAACAATCGCGACTTGCCGGTGCGAAGGATCGATGAACAGCATTGGGAATTCCGCATGATGGATAGCACGGCGAACCCGTATCTATTCACAGCGGCTGTTTTGTTTGCTGGTATGGATGGATTGAAAAACTATACCAAGTTGATTTGGCAGGACTGTACTCTCTTTCCAGATTTAATGAGCGGGCATATGCTGGCCGCACATGGAATGGTGAAGGCCATGCCGATCACGCTCAAAGGAGCGCTGGATTGTCTTAAGAAGGATGTCGCTTTTAAAGACTGGATTGGCGAGGCTTTGCTAAAGTATTTCCTCTCCATCAAGGACAAAGAGGTCGAGCAGTTCGGGAAGATGACAGAGGACAAGAGGCGGCTTCGCTTCTTGGAGTACTTTTGAAGTTTTCCGTCCAGCGCGACGTTTTATCCACACTATTTGGCTTTTGCCTACAAACTGAATCATGGATTTGATCCTTATTTGTCTGTTTTTTTGTTTCCTGTTATTTCTATACTGTAGTAATATGCTTTGTATCTGGAGTCGAACACTCTCCCTTGGCGACTTATATACAAGTAATCTCATTAGAACTTTCCCACACCCCTAAAAGCTAATTCATCCCTACCCCCTTCCCTCGCCTCCTAATAACAACCAACATCTCAAACTCCGCCAACCCCACATCCTCCTGCACCTGAACATCCACAAACACCTCCGAGCCGCGAAAACACGGTTCATAATCCGCCCAATCAGCTCTCGGACCCAACCAAACAATCACCTTGACTTCACCCCCGGTAAACCCATCAAGATACCTAGATACGAGTTTCGGCTCGCGCGGATACACAAACATCCACGCTGCGGCGTCCTTGACTCGGGGATGAAGGTCCCATGTGCCCTGGACGATGTTCATGTGTTGTTCGGGGAGGTAACGATTCACGGTGGAGTTGACCTCGACGCCCTCGACTGATACATAGTGTTCATGAGAGAGGAGGGCTTCGAGGAGGCCAGATCCACTACCGATTGAGATGGTGAAGGAGGGGGTTTGGGGGAGAAGAGAGGCGAGGTGGGATAGTAGGGTTGTGGAGATGGAGAGGCAGCAATTTGGGAATGCTGTGGGGGTTTGGGAAAGTTGGGTAGAGATTTGGGTAATGTCCATTGTTGGAAATAAATGATAATTAATAATTTAGCTGAACAGATACTCTGTACAAGTCCTGTGGGAACGGTTCAATGGAGAAGAAAAGGCTGACGCTGAGAGAAAATCAAAGACAAACACGACAAACATGACAGACATCCGAGGGATGGTGCCGGGGCTAATCCATATGCGGATTAGCTGAAATCGGCAGGATCTTATCGCGGGCCGAGCTATGGCGGCGATAAGGAGGAGACCGATCCACCATAAGAGATCACCCACATCAACATCTCACTCCCTTCTCTCGGGATTCGAAAACCACCTTGGTCGCTTTTCTAGGCACCATGTTGGAACGCCAGATATGAACACGAGGAGCGCTCGGGTCCACCAGACTGCAATCATAGCCTAGGATGATCTGCGAGAGAACCACTTTCATCACTGCGGCGGCGTAAAATCGACCGGGACTTGTGCGACGTGATTTGCTGTCAGCGCGAGCAATATTTACATAGAGTACATCACTTACCAAGCCATGCGTCCAGTCCCCCACATCTGCCACGTCTCGTTCGCATCCGTCAACTTGGACGGTCGCGACTGAAGCGGGTGAGATCCTTGGAGCAAACCGGGGTCCGCGAATCGAAAACCGCTAAATTGCGAAGGCTCCGGGTAGTTGCCTGGATCTCGCATCATTGAACCAACCGGGGTACAAGCCCAGTCCCCAGCTGCTAGCTTGGTCCCGTCAGAAAAGGTAAAACTCTGGACAGCTTGGCGGCGAGTACTCACTGGTTCTCTCGTTAGTTCATTCTTGTCTTGTAGGATAGTTCGAGTTGATCTGAAACTTCAAGGAAACACTTACAAGATTCAACCGGGGTGAGACGGGCAGATTCTTTGATGAAGCTGTCTAACAGAGGAAGACCCTTTCCGGTGCTTTGAAAACCATCATATTGACTTTCGATCTCCTTTCGGAGAGAGTCAACATATTCCGGGTGTAGACAGATGTCGTGGATGGCAAATGTGAGCGTCTGTGCGAATGAACAATTGAATAGGCATAGGTGGTTAGCCTCGGACTTGATAGCCTTTTTCCCAGGATATAGCCTTACCATCGCCAGTCCATGTACCGAACCAAACCAGATCGCGATCAATTCGTGGACCATGCGGGTGGGTGAGCATGGCTTCTCACGTGGAGAGTTCTCAAGCATCCACTGGATACAATCGGTCTATCCACTAAGGTTAGAATTGCCGCATTTAATGATAGTGTAGGGAAGGCGGATGCCATACATGGTTCTCAGCCTCATGGCCCAGTTTACCCAACTCTCTCTGGCGACATCGCTCTTCGACAACACGGAGTAGCACGTTGAACACCGTCTCCTGAGCGCGAAATCGACCGGAAATCAAACGACCAACCAGACTATATGACCGTAAGTTAGAGAACCAATCTTTCCATTCCAATTGTTTCTTTCATCTCCATATTATCTACTTTGGATCAAATTCAGACATGGGGGACTTACGGAGCGAGAAAACGCGGCATCAATCGGATCACCTCGGCACCCACCATAGTCTCCTCGACGTAGACCAAAGCCGCTTTCAAGAATGTACGGTCTTTCGCTGTTTGGGGTTAGCGCAAGAGGTCTTTTTAATTATCTGGCAGCACAACCACATACCCAGCTCGGGACCAAAAAATGACAATGCATTGGACACGACCACAAGCTCGAGAACCATCTCGTACACCGGTGATTGCCGTGTTCCTGGTTCTGGTTAATTACTAAAGCAACGCAACGTTATATGATCGGCCTTACCATTAACTACCGGATACTCCATCCGAAGAGCAGCAAACCGCTGTTGAACGACCTTTGTGACATCCGGAAGGAGCTGGGGAATGTTGCGTGTCAAGACAGTACGCAAAGCTCGTGCAAGTCCGAACTCAGCTGCCCCTTTGCCATCAACCCAGTTGAATCCGTGCATAGTGTATTGAGCTTGTAGCATCTATGAAAAGTCAGCATGCTACTGGCTTAGAAAGGGGTATATCCTAACATGACTTGATGCGACATAGAGAGAAAGAACGCTATCAGATGCCTTTTCGACCTCCTTGATATGCTTGGGAGATGATACGAAGATATACCGGGTGTCTGGGGCAAGGATCTCGAACGGTTTGCCTTTGGCCTTTGTATTCCTTCGTCAGTACTGCATTGTCTGGGATGTGGCTTGTCGAGCGATGTCTGACCTGATTATATTTGAAGTTGATCTTCTCAGGGCCAGAGGAAAGGTATGTCCATGCCTGTACATACCTCCTGAGCACCGCAAAGATGCTCATGAGGAGGAACCAAGCGTTATGCTTTGAAGACCGAGGTCAGCGTGGCAATACGGTACTCCTAACATGTATGCTAGAGCTCACCATCATGTTTGCTCTCAATTGACTAGCTCTTTGAAGAAGAAAAAATCCTTTAAAATAGCAAGTGTCCCTGAGAAACAAGTGTTCCTAAATCTGTGAATACCCTCAAAGATGCAAACAAAATGGGAATTGACATTCTTCCTTTTTATAGACAACATTCAACAGCACTCGTGTCTGGAATAACCCCATCCTAGCCTGCAATATATCTACACTTTCAATTGAAGCCTCAAGGGTCTGAATCCTACAATGTCAGCACAACGAGCAAACAAACATGAAAACGACCAACTACGCCTAGAATGCAACCATAACTGTGGGGTCGACGCTGAGACTCTGTCCTAGTTCGAAAATTGTATATGAGGGTAGAATCTATTCAGCCTAGGGGGCGAGCCCCAAGGGTAGGGCGACATGCTCCGTCCCCTGTCAATTCTTCGGGGGTCGAACGTGAGGAAATAGCCATGTTGGAAGAATGCAATCTTCAGCTCATCGTTGGGAAGTCCTGACGAGAAATTCCAACAATTTACTTGCTAATCCTGAGACTAAGACTCGATCTTAGATCTTGCGCGTATCGCCCACGCAATCCTGGCCGCCCGGAATGACTCGGGATCATCATCGTTATGTCCGTTATGCAATAATCTGCCTAACGTGATACTTGGGGGCTCATAATTTCATTCTGGTCGCCCCCGCGCCTGTACAACATTACTTCTAGGACACGGTGGACTGGAGGCTCTGAGCCCAACACACATTCCAGTTCGCCAGTGGAGCAAGAAGGTCGCACGAATCAGCCTAAGAACATACCCTTGTCTCTCTGGGGCGGTTGGGCTTGTCAGCTACAGGGATAAAATCGATCGAGAAATCCTAGGAGTGCCTCGGCGTGTTTGCTAGGATCATTAACCTGGTACCAATTGATAACTGTCCGAGATCGTCCATCAATCATGTGGTAGCTGGATGGGTCTATACAAAGGAATTCCGAACTGGACGGGGCACTAGGGCCAATATATGACCTTGCGCGATGCAACGGTGTCAAAGCTCTAAGCGCTGGGAGCGGCGCCGCATCCTAGCGATACCCCACTCCAATCTAACAGTTCGTACTGGAATCTCCAATTAACGTACTCCACGATGTTGGTTAACCGACACTAGTAGCATTGTTATATTGACAACTCAATTGTATATATTGTGGTGTTTAGTGGCTGAGTTCTACGTGCCAGTTAGCCCCCGCTGAGTCTGGCCAATCGCAAGAAGTAACCTAAATCTGTCAGTCGATCAATCTCAGTTTTATTGTGCTTGCGAGAAGGAAGGTCTCCCCTGTAGTGTTGTATACACTCAGGGGTGTTGGAGGGGAAACCGACGATTGCTTGGCAGTTGGCACCTCAGGCAGCAATGATGTCCATGGTCAATCACGTGGAAGTCAATAAAGTCACGTGATGCTATCATCAGGCAGGCAGGTCGTACGTCAGCCCCTGTTGATTCCACAGAGGAAGCACTAGAACAATGCCAAAATGTACTAGAATCATTGACCTAGGAACTCACTCATGTAGCGGTCCTCGGTGCAGTTGTGCAAAGCTCACCCGTCTGTAAACTCCGTCCAAAAACGCCAAGGCGTCAAGGCAGCCGCGGCTTTGTGGGGTCTCCGCTCCGCTCCCTACCAGACCTCCCCCTCCTTGGGTTTTTCTCCTTCTCTTCCTACGACCTTCTTCTTCGTGCTCGACCACGAAGCTCAAGATCTGCCGGAAATGGCGCACTTTCTAAGAGCCAAGCAGGCTGGCATCCAGAAGGATTTCTCAGACGGCCTGTCGCCGGATCTGTTCGCTCTCGACGATGTACGCCCGCAGGCATCCACATTTCCGTCAACCTCCGTTGCTAACGCGCTCGCAGTTTGCCCGCTACGGCGTCAATTCCCAGATCAGTGCTATCGCATACGACCCCGTCCAGTCCCTCCTTGCCGTCGGTACCAGCGATACACAGTTTGGAAGTGGGCAGATCTATGTTTTCGGCCAGCGTCGGGTGTCGGTCACCTTCTCGCTCCCCCGAAAGGCGTCGGCCAAGTTCCTCCAGTTTTGCGCCAACAAACTCATAAGCGTGGACTCCAAGAGCGAAATCTCGGTCTATTCGCTGGAGACGCGACAAACCCTCTTCTCTTATGCTCCCCCGAACCATGTCAGCGCGGTATTGACCGACCCCAGCCTGGACTATGCATTCATCGGTTTACAAAATGGTATTACAGCACCGCAACATGGAGGAACTTATACGATGCTGATATATCCATGCAGGTGACATCATCGCCTACGACCTCGATCGCGAGTCCCTGACGCCATTTAAAATCCCCAACCTTTGGGCCTCGCGCAACCCGAGAGCTCGATTTTGCCCCGTCCTTGCGTTATCCTTCTCACCTCGCGATATTGGAAAGATACTTGTTGGATATCCCGAAGGTGCTGTGACGTTCTCTTTCAAACAGAACATCGCACAGAAATACTTTGAATATGAGGTTCCGCAAGGTGCCTTCGGTGGAAACGGCGAGGTCCCGGCACACGAACCGCGCAGGCCGAGGTTGACCCAGGCCCTGTGGCATCCGAATGGGATTTTCATCTTGACTGTTCATGACGATAACAGTCTTGTCTTTTGGGATACGAAGGATGGCCGTAGAATCATGGCTAGGTCGATTCAAGATGCGAACATCGACCAGCCGGGCGCTGGCCCAGAACGACCACTCTCATCCGGCGGTGCTGTTGGTCTGAAGGACCCTATCTCCCGTGTTGCTTGGTGTGTCAAGGAGAATGGCGATGACAGCGGGCTGTTGATCGCAGGTGGCCGCCCCAAGGCCGAGTCCAACAAAGGACTTACGTTCTTAGATCTGGGCCCGACTCCCAATTATCAGACGTCATCCTGGGCTATTCTTTCTCGGTATTTCGAGACTCCACGACAGATCATGAACCTCCCAACTCCACCGGGTGCGGAGGTTGTTGATTTTTGTCTTATCCCGCGCGCCTCGCCTTACTACGCTGGCTGTCATGACCCCATTGCCCTGATCTCTCTACTCTCCTCGGGAGAATTGATTACTATGAGTTTCCCAAGTGGCCACCCGATCACCCCTACGAATATGCTGCATCCCTCCCTTTCATTTGTTCATCCTTTCGTCAATAAAATGGTTCTGACGCCAGTGGACCGCTCTGCTTGGTTGGGTTTGAAGGAGAGGCGATCGCAAGGACCAAAGTTCCTTCTCGGGGGCGCTGAAGCGCACAAGACCCTCAAGCGATTTGAACATCGCAGCGTAATCACAACGGCACATGCAGACGGCACTGTTCGTCTGTGGGACGTGGGTCATGACGACGAGATTGAAAATGGCGACGTCATTCAGGTGGACTTGGCTCGTGCTGTTGGCCGAGTCGCAGGTATTGAAGTCACTGAGATGGCCCTGGGTGGCTCAACTGGCGAGCTGTCGGTTGGCCTCCGGACCGGCGAGGTTGTTATATTCAGATGGGGCAACAACCGAAGCTTTGGCAACGAGGGACCCTCCGGGACCAACGAAGGGGCAGGAAAATTGACCAACATCACTCACCGGACCGATCCTGGACTCAAACAAGGAATTCTCCCTCTGACGCTCTTGAACATGCAGCAAGGTCCAGTCACTGCTTTGAAACACAGCCAGGTTGGTTTCGTCGCGGCGGGCTTTGAAGGTGGCAGCTTGGCCATCATTGATTTGCGCGGGCCAGCAGTCATTCACACTGCACATCTTTCGGAGCTTACGAAGCCCAGCAAACGGAGTAGTTTCCTCAAGTCTCGTTCTCCCGAGCAAGCGCCCCCGGAATGGCCTACGAGCATTGAATTCGGTGTAATGACATTGGAGGGCGAGGGTAAGAATCAGGGTCCCAAAACCCTCTCAGTGAGAAATACACGCTAACTATATTTTACAGACTATTCTAGCATTTGCTGCTTTGTTGGCACGAACCGAGGAAATTTCGCTACCTTTAAGATTCTTCCGGCCAGCAATGGAGCTTATGAGGCTTCGTTTGCTGGGTCAATCCCATTAGATGATAGAGTCATCAAGATTAATCCCATTGATGCAGAAAGTGGCGAGCTCGCCTTAGCTACTCCGAATGCGGTTTCTGGTCTGAGGAATGGCAATAGAACCAACGGCGTTGTCCTCGCTGTGACTGTTTCTGGCTGCCGGATCTTCAAACCTGCGACATCCAAGGGCGCCCATAAGTCTTGGGATGATTTTCTGTGTGATTCGGCTGCCGTGGTCAAGACCGAAGGTCGAGGCACTAGCTTGGTTGGACTATTTGGCGACGGAAACACGCGAGCTTTCTCCATTCCAGGGCTCAAAGAGATTGGGTGCAGCGCCATCAACAACATGGTGGATATGAGACGCCTATCGGATTCCACTGTTTCTTCCAACGGAACGGCCCTTGTTTGGACGGGCCCTTCTGAGATAGGGTTGTTTAGCGTGTGGGGATCTGGGATCCCGCTGTATGAGGCCCCTTATATATTAACATTTGTTCCGACGACCGACCGGATGCTGATGGCTTATCTAGGAAACGTTCGGAGGACCAACTTTTCAATGTCCAAGCTGTCATTCCCCCACGGCCTACTATCACAAACATCCAGTGGATATCTGGTACCCAATACATTTCTCCTGCGGATATGGACATCCTTAGTAAGAAACCTGTCTTTTACTATCTTCTAGTCACTTTGGCTGTGAAGCTGCGTGCTAACATCGTTCTTTCAGTCGGAGGTCCCGATCGTCCTCTGTCCAAACGGATGCAGGAGCAGATGCGCCTCGATGACCAGGAAAGGCGACGAACGGAGAGGGAAGGAAGGTCCGCAGCCAACCAAGCTCCGCAAGGTAGTGAAGAGGGGTACTTCTCCTACATGCAGCGCCAAGTGCAAGAGCGCACCGAAAGAATTGGAACGGCCGGAGACCATATGGAACGTTTGGAGGAAAGCAGCAGTGGCTGGGCCCGTGACGTCAACAAGTTTGTGTCGAATCAGAAGAAGAAAGCCGTCCTTGGTGGTAAGTGATCCTCTAGATCGTCTACCTTCAAGCTATACTAATGAAATTTAGTATTGGGATCTAAATTTGGGTTGTAATCTTGCCCGAGTGTCGCTATTCTACCTTTCTACCTAGCGCCTAATATATCCCAAGCCCTACTCTACCCCTTAATACAATTATGGGAAATGTCCATGTTCTAACGATTTGAGAAAACAAAAAATAACTTATCTTCCGCTACATACCCCTACTTTGCTGGCGTTGGTTCTGTCTCGTTGAATGTGTAATCTTTGTCCTTTCTTGTTTTTGTCCTTATTGTTAAACACAGATTATTCGGGAATACTAAATTATAGAGGACTAACGTGGATTTACCAGACTGAATTCAAATCGGAAGCAGACAATTTTTACAGCTTCACTGGTCTATACGTAATCATTGCTTCCTTTGGCAATATGTAGAATTCCCTTAGACGGCAATGAACCCCTCTGACCATTGTATCTCATCCCTGATATTCATCATCGACCGGTGATAATCCTTCGAAAGCCCAAATCGAAGACCATGGAATATCGCGATCCATCATTCACAAAAACAAACCCTCTTCCCTTTTATCCCATAGTATTGAAAAAGGTGCAGACTCCATCGAACCTAATACGTCCACTCACCCACAAATTCCCTGCATCGATCTAATGAATAGTAATCTTCCATCCTCATGATCCGTCGCGTCTAAATCACTCTGTGGTATGCACAGTATATCACTGGCTTCACCGCAAGAACATAAACCAGTGGAGAAAGAGCGCGCATAGCGTAGGTAGGCAGTCTGAGCAGTGAAAACTACAGCATTCTGCCGTGCGCTTTCGGGTTGGCCTTCGTCCTCGCCCTGACTTGCTATTTCACTTGCATTTGCACCTTCACCGCACCGTATGTGCCGATGGTAGGAGAGTAAATGCAGGTGCAGGTGCAAGGTAATGGGTAAGTGAGAGGCGACCACACCACACCATCAAGCACTAGTCGCCGTTAGGTCGGCAGACATGAAAGTGTGGAGTGACAATCCATCATTCACGTACTGGGGGGGATGGTGATCATGCGGGTTTTACTTTGGTAGTTCGGGGCTGTCCTTGCCTTCTCTGTATGTTAGGGGTTTGGTGGGTACAAGCTACGTGCCGGTGGTGTGCAGACCGTTGTGAATGCCTGCCGCAGAGACAGACGTGCATATGGTTCCCTGGTTCATTTATTTCCCTTGCTGCGAGGGGGATTCGGTGAAGAAAGGAGAGGAGTATGGGATTGGTAGGGGCTGTGTGGTAGGGAGTCGAGTTAATCGGTCGTATTCAAGGACGGTATGTTTCTAATTTGGTTAGGAATTAGACTGGATCTATGTCGTAAGAACTAAAACTAGTAGATGCTAAGATAAATATGTAAAATCAAGCTGGTTTTGTCATCATCAACGCGTTGCATTCGAATCATCAGATCATTCGATATATAGAGGAAAATGGAATCAAGGGAAATAAAAGTCCAAGGCGTCAAATCACGTCGAGTAGATCAGTGAACCATCACTTCCGACTGATGGGGTTGCTGAGCCGAAGGGTTGGCCTTGCCGTTGGCAGACTCGTCTTTCTGTTCGGAGTCGTCGCCCATCTCGACGTCCTCGTCGCCATCGCCGCCATCCTCTTCGTCGAGATCGTCGTCATCGTCGTCACTTTCGTCTTCGATGTCCTCACTCTCGGCGTCAGAGATGTCTTCCTCTTCTTCTTCCTTGACGGCGGCCGGCTCGGTGCCCTCCATGTCGTGATCTTCAGTCTTGGGGGCCGGTTCCTTCTCAGAGTCGGCGAGTTCTTTGACCAGAGCGGCTTCAAGCTCGGCTTCTTCGGCACCGTAGGCACCACTGTCGTCGTCCAGGTTGTCGGCTTCGGGCTGGTCAGGGGGGTATTCGGCGGGAGCAGATTCCTCCGAGTCCCTAGTACGATAGAATTAGCCATAGCCAACGACAAGAAGAGGGTGAGAGATTGTTTCCGACAATCACAGAGTTCGTACCATTTGATCGCAAATCGGGTCACTCTGGGCTTCTCAGCAAGGATATTCCGACGAATGCGTTCGATGATAGGCTTCGCGGGCGGCTCGGTGGCAAGCTCCTCCGAGTCGTATTCATTGTTCACGTAGTAACCCACTCGAACGAACTCTCGGCCGTCGTAGCTGCAAGTAAGGAGAATGACCGTCACACCGAGGATTTCCGACGTAGGAATGCGCTTCAGGTCAGGGTGATCGGCTTCAAAAATGAACTTGTTGACACCGACAGGGATGGGTCCGACGAGAAGAGAGTCGAGCTCTTGGTCATATTCGGAGCTGAGTCAATATGTAAGCAGGAGAGGATTATCATAAGTTGGATTGATTGACCGCGAATTCAACTTACGAGGTCGCGGAACCGACGTAGGTGAGTTTCCATTCCAAATCTGGTCGTCCACCATTAGCGGGGTATCTTTCAACTTGGTATCGCCGTGTCGATTACACACCTTTTTGCAGCGACTCGAGACACTCGAAAGTGATCTCAAATTGATAAGGAGAGAGGAAAGGGGCGGGGTTGTTCAGGATCTTGACCCCGAGGAGAGAGACAACCGACATGATGTGCGTGAGAGGGGGGTTGATGGGGACAGGAGGAGATGAGGACTAGAGAGACAGGAAGAGGACTTGGGGTGAGGAGTGAGGTTGAATTTGAGATTGGAACGGGCGAGATTTTGTAGAGGAGAGAGGTAGGGATATGTTTGAAGGAAGAAAAAGCGAGTTGCTTGGGAGACGGAAACAATGCAGAGGGAAAAACTGGAGACGGTCCCCGTAAGGTGCTTCTAGGGCCTCAAAGCAATTAAAGCGTTCGACGCGCCGCGTGTGTCGGACGCATCTTTCGCGCCCACCGCCCTGGGGGTCACGTGTGCACCCGCCCTGACAGCTGCAGCTTCTAACGGGCATCGCCATCATCCATCGCGGCAATTTCTTTGTTCCAGCAGCCTCTGCCACCAACCCCCCCTTCCCCCTTGGACATCGCTCGTTTGCTTTGCGCTTGTCTTTGTATCTTTTATCCCTTTTCTTCCATCTCTCGTTTTATCGATTTCTTTGTCCAAGGCTTAGGTATTTATTGTAGGTGCTTTCCGTCAATCCTGATGACTCCCTCTCTCGCATGCCCATCCCGAACATACCTTAGCTGACCAAGCCACTCCCCCTTCTAGTATATAGGTTTATTCTTCTCTCATTCGCATCCCGTGGTCGCTATCGGAAGCCCATCCTCTTGTCATGGCCGACGATGACGCTGAGAAGGCCTTCTTTCAGGCTCAGGCGATGAATGCGGACTCGGTGGACTATCAGGCGGGTGAAGATCAGGGGGCAGATAATTCAGATTCAGATGATTATGATCCTTCAAACACATTGCATGACCAATTTTCCGCTCCCTTGCCAGACTCCAACCCAAATGGACATGTTTCCGCCAGTGCTACCCCCCAACCCAACTCTCAAGATCAAACTCCCCAAGTCCCCGAAACCGACCCCAGTCAGCCAGCTGGCAACGCCTTCCCTTCCCAGACACCTTCCCGAGCTGAGTCTCAGGTTTCCACCGCGGTACCTGCATCTGGTACTACTGCCCAACCGAAGACCAGAACGATTGGGGGCTTTGTGGTTGAGGATGAGGACGAGGATGACGCGGGTGATGCAGATTATGAGCCCCCAGCTGTACTAGGTGTCGAGGACTTGAATGCTATACCTATGAATGTGCCTCAGCACCCAATCTCAGGAAATGCAAATGAAGATACTTCTACCCCTGATGTATCGTTGGATGAAGCTGCGCAGAGTTCTGCCGGCGTGAAGAATGTTCCTAATAGTTCATACCCTCCTGCTGTTGCTTCTAAAAATGATGCGTCTATTCCTCCGGGCTCTTTGTACAACTCACGTACGTTACAGTCTGACCATGCGCAAGGAAGCGCCACAGCTACACCTGCGCCGGACTCTCCGTCCACTTCGAAGGGTCGATTGCCTCACGATAGAGTGGGCATCTTGGAAGACAGGATCCAAGAAGACCCTCGAGGTGACATCCCCGCTTGGATCGAGTTGCTTAATGAACACAGGAGTCGCAGTAGGATCGACAGCGCCCGGGATGTATACGAGCGCTTTCTGAAAGTCTTCCCCTTTTCTGTATGTCTCTCCCCCTTGTTTTCCACACTTTATCTTATGGAAAATTTCGAAACCTAATGAACTAACCGTTTCTACTAGGCTGAGCAATGGGTTGCGTACGCGAACATGGAATCCGAGCTCAACGAGCTGTTCCGTCTCGAGCAGATTTTCAACCGAACTCTCTTGACCATCGCGGATGTTCAACTTTGGACTGTCTATCTGGACTATGTCCGCCGACGTAATCCTCTAACTACCGATAACGCTGCTCAGTCGAGGACTATCATCTCGTCCGCCTACGACCTGGCCCTTCAGTATGTTGGTGTAGATAAAGATTCCGGCTCTATCTGGGCCGACTACATTCAGTTCATTCGTTCCGGTCCCGGAAATGTTGGGGGTTCTGGATGGCAAGATCAACAGAAGATGGATTTGCTCCGAAAGGCCTATCAAAAAGCCATTGCGGTTCCAACGCAGGCTATCAATACCATGTGGAAAGAGTACGACCAGTTTGAGATGGGCCTGAACAAGCTTACGGTATTGCGAAACTCTCCTTTCCCCTACTTTGATCCGATCTTGTTGTCGATCACTCGATTGAATAATCTCTTTCTCATTGCTTTTCGCGCCGCTTCTAACATATCATGTTTCCACTTCAGGGCCGAAAATTCCTCCAGGAGCAATCACCGGCATACATGACGGCTCGCAGCTCGTACACCGAACTCCAGAACACTACGCGAGACTTGAATCGTACGACTTTGCCGAGGCTACCTCCCATTCCCGGACATGATGGCGACGATGAATTTGGCCAGCAGGTTGAAATCTGGAAGCGCTGGATCCAGTGGGAGAAGGCAGATCCTCTCGTTCTCAAAGAGGATGAGCCAGCAGCATTTAAAAACCGAGTCGTTTACGTGTACAAGCAAGCTCTTATGGCCCTCAGATTCCTACCGGAAATGTGGTTCGAAGCAGCTGAATTCTGTTTTCTGAATGACCTGGAGACTGAAGGAAATGATTTCCTGAAGCATGGCATAGATGCTAACCCGGAAAGCTGTTTGCTCGCATTCAAACGCGCTGACCGCATTGAGATCACGTCGGATTCCGAGCAAGACTCCATCAAACGGGGTGCTCTGGTCAGAGAACCCTATGACAAGCTTCTGGATGCTCTTTACGACTTGATTGCCAAGGCGCGCACTCGCGAAGCCCAGGATGTCGCCCGCCTCGAAGAGGCGTTTGCCAAAAACTATCCTGAAAAGCCGTCCCGAAGGCCCGACGATGACGATGACGACCAAAGTGAGTCCAAGGCCAGGGAATCGCTTAAGAAGGCCCAGGTCGAGGTCCTACGGAATGCGCACGCCTTTCAGATTGGCATTCTCTCTAGGACGATCTCGTTCGCCTGGATTGCGCTTATGCGTGCAATGCGCCGTGTCCAGGGTAAGGGCAAGCCCGGAGAGATGCCTGGTTCACGACAGGTGTTTGCCGATGCCCGCAAGCGAGGTCGGATCACAAGCGATGTCTACATTGCGAGCGCGCTCATCGAGTATCACTGTTACAAGGACCCGGCCGCCACGAAAATCTTCGAGCGAGGCGCAAAGCTTTTCCCGGAGGATGAGAACTTTGCGCTCGAGTACTTGAAGCACCTGATCGACATCAACGATGTCATTAGTGAGTCCATACTCCTGGTCCCCCTTGCTGCGCATAAGAAATGCTAACTAGAACTCTTTTTCTGTTACAGATGCTCGTGCCGTGTTCGAGATGACGGTCAGAAAACTGGCGTCCAACCCCGACAATGTGCACAAGACCAAACCTATCTTCGCGTTCCTTCATGAATACGAATCTCGATACGGAGATCTGGTTCAAGTTATCAACCTCGAGAACCGCATGCGGGAGCTTTTCCCCGAAGACCCAACTCTGGAGCAATTTGCTCATCGGTACTCGACCCCAAATTTCGACCCTACCGGCGTACGGCCGATCATCTCGCCATCTCAGACCAGACCTAAGGCTGCCTTCCCAACGGAACAGGCTGTGTCGCGCCACGGCACCCCCGTCCCGAAGTATCCCGATCCTTCCGTCACCAACTCCCCCAAACGCTCGTTGGAAGACTTTGAAGATGACATGAGTCGGCCGCGCAAATTCGTTCGCGCCGAATCACCGCTCAAGACCACGCAACGGCGACAAGTGGATCAACAAAAACGCGCTCAGCCGACTATGAACAACCAGCCCGGATCGCAGTTCCGGACCCAGGGCTCACCCGCCTCGTTGCCTCGGGAAATCGTACACCTCCTGAGCATCATTCCCCCGGCGTCGGCGTACAATGCCGGTCGATTCTCAGCCGAGAAGCTGGTGGACCTCCTTCGAAGGATCGACATGCCCAGCTCTATCTCCCAGATTCCATTGCCGCAATCCGTCCGCGGACTCGGAACGGGACAAAATCCCATGCAGTCTTTCTCTAGTAAGATCTTGCTACTCGTTCCATCTTTGACAAACCCTGAGACCCTAGCTAACCGTTTCCATTCAGGCATGTACCGCTCTTAATCTACTACGAATATAGACACGGCCTTCTACTTGTTTTCTGATGATGACCCACAACTGAATATCCGGTCCCCCCCTGCGACGTGGGATTGTTCCTCCCCTTTTGTTCTTAATGTCTTCCGATATCATCTCATGGGCCCGATGTAGCTCGGGACTGTTTAGTCTTTCTCGAATGTTTCTTGCATCTGACGAAGTGGCGTTCTCGCTTGGATTTGACTTGACTTGACCGCCACGAAGGTTGTGAGCAGTGGGAGGGTTCGAGTTGACACTTCTCGTTTGTTCATCTGCCTGCCTCGGGAGTACGGGATTTTGTACAGTGGCCTTTATTGTTATTTCTTTATTTTTGGACGATTGGAATAGTCTGGACTGGTGTAGGAATCGCGTGGAATGGATTGAATTGAACTGAATTGAGTTGAATCCGACCGAATCAAATTAGTTTTGTTTCTTCTTGGTAATCTTGTAGGCAGTGCGGATTATAATAAATGCATCGCTTGCAGTGGGTAGGTGAATATCGTCTCTTCCTCCTACTGCTGGAGCCCTCTGTTATCTGTCACCAACCCAGACACTCCTCCACCCTCCACCTTCCCCTCCGGTTGCTCCGATCCTTCCCTTCTCGTCAACATTCATCCATTCCCTCTATCTTCTTCTACCCCTGGCCACCACTATTGAATCCATCTTCAAACTCGATTCATCTCACCTTTCTCAGCTGAGTTCATCACTTCCGTGAGCCAACCTTTTAGGTTTCTTGCTGCCACGGATACTGAAACCGATTCTATGAGTCACAGGTAGTTGCACCTATTCATCAAGAAAGCTCCCGGATACCGAATACATCCAACATCCTACACTATCGCACGAGAAAAAGCCAGCATCGCGACCACTTCCGCTACTATTGAACATCTTTCCAACGGAGAGTACCTATTCGCAAACATGACGGGACACTAGACGTTCGAGCTTTTGGCAGATCTCCGCGAGGTGCGGGAAATCCGAGCAGTGGACACAAACTTGAACAACTGAGGAGCCCATGATAAGGGGCACGCTACTTCATTTCATCTGGATGTGCGTTGCAGAACGTTTCTCCAGTGGGCGCAGGAAAGCTGTTAGTGGGTCCGAAGGCTCCTGGAGGCCACGAATAGCACGAAAGGAAGGAAGGGAGAAGGTAAAGAGTACATAGAAGAAAGGACGAAGAGAGATATCCAATCATCATAAAAAGAAATCCCTGGAATGAATCAAAAAAGTAATTGTAACAGATAACAGAGACGTACATACATACACACAAAAAGAAAGAAAGGGTGGTGAAAAGAAGAGAAAAGAAAAGATGGAAGGAACGCTGGAAGAGGTTGCAAATACAGATGAGATGGATCGATCTTTGCAAAAATAAGCACAGGCTTTCTTCTCCACTGAGTGAGTGGCTCAGAGCTCCAGACGTCAGAAATAAAAATGGTTCGAATGGGAAGGCAAATAAACAGCATTATGATCAACAAGTTAGTATAAAAGGGAGACTGTATCTCTCCCCTCTCTGGAAGTTATGCCATGGTGCGCCATCCATATACCCGACCTTTTTGTATCACAAATCCCAAATGCAAGATAGTAAGTAATAGAGAGATGAATCCAAAGCGGAGGAAGAAATAAACGCGTTGGGAGAAGACCACCACACCAGAATCCTAGTTCATGCAAAGCCCTTGGGTATCAAATCCGCAAATGAAATCGCCATTAGCCAATTTCCAAGAGGCACCAGGCAGGGGGTGCATCTCTTCATGCACAAGCACTATAGCCACCAAGAAAAACCTAGATAGAGGAAATGGGGAAGGAAGGAAGAATAGAAGACCAAGCCAGGTATCGTCGTAAAATCCTACAGTACAGGTATCTCCAAAACTCGAGGTGAATAGCATAAAATGCGGTAAGAACCAAGAGTCGAATAGCTCACGTTGTGTCTCATACATCATGACGCATCGCCGTTTGTCAAGGGCACGGTGCTGTCGTTATTCTTATTCGGGTCAAGATTGGAGACGCTGGTCGGATCGCTGCTTTCTGCACCAGCAGCATCGGTATCAAGGCCTTTCCCGCTGCCCAGGTCTGTGGCCGAAGCGGAAGTTTCATCGGCGCCCGCGTCCTTGTTCTTGAGATTGGTCACTGCTGGGTTCGAAGCTTTGGCCCCGTCGGCGTTCGCGGTAGCCTCATCCCCCTCGGCAGTCGATCCGGGGACGCCCAATGCAACCCCACTGTTCTTTTTAACTTTTTTCTTACTAGGCTCTGCAGTTCCCAGTTTGAGGGCGCTTGCCGGTCCGGTAGCCGTTGGCGGGTGTGGGCGCTTCTGTGGACTGGACGTTGGTCCCGTCGGTCCAGATGAAACCGGAATCTTGCCTGACGCCGGCAGGCGAGGACGGGCGGCCATGGGTCGCTGCTTCGGTGGCAATTCAAGATCTTCAACCAAAGGTTCGTTGTTGTTTGCTTGTAATTTGGCGCTGAAAAATCCTTGAACCAAGCCGATTTGCGATGCCAGCGTCTCCGCAGTGATACGCGGGAAGGGCGGAGGCGGTGCGAAAACAGTGACGGTTTGAGTAGAACTAGTAGGATAAGGTGAACGGATTAGCAGGGAGGGTGCCAGGCTGTCATCAGGGCAAGTGAACAATACGTACCTTGTATTTTGTGCCTGGGCAGCGTTGTACATCCTGTTCTGAAGTAGATGCAGAGGGACACTGAGGGTGGCAAGGCCAAACTCCCTGTCCAGACCAAGTTCCTTGAAACCGAAGAAATCTTCATCGATATCTTCCGCAAAGTCACCACCAATGAACTGGTCGCTTCCGTCGTTGAAAGCGTTGGAGCCATCTTCGCCCCCGTCGGCGAGAGCAGGCCGCAGGAGCTCAGACAGCAACGACTTCAATCGGTCATGGGCTGTCGCAAGCTTCGTTCCCAGTCGCTCCACGTCATCCTTAATGTAGGATTCGAGCGATTCAATGTCGGTGCCAACGGAAGAAAGGGTATGAAGCACGATCTCTGGCTCCGTGTATGCCGACTTCCACTGAGAGTTCGAGGTGTTCTCGACCGAATCGGTATCTGTAACTTTGGGAGCTTCCATGTAGGACTTCATGGTTTCGCCGATCTTCTGGAAAAAGTCCGAAGCGATGTCAGTGACTGCGTCAAGGGACGATGGCTGATACTCCTCGAATCCGGTGTGGTAGAAGATCTTCGCAACAGAGCGTTGCAAGGCCGCTCTGCAAGCCCAAGGCGCAATGACGGGCCCTTGGTCATTCAGCACGTGAGGCGGGATATCCTGCTCGACGAACGGTTCTGGGTTATATTTTTGGAACTGGTTTTGGTACATCTACAATGCATTAGATCAAGCTAGTCGGGGGGAAGGGGGCTGGAACGACCTACCTGAGACTGCAACTGCATCTGCTTCACGATGCCAACCTTGGAGCAAACCTTCCGAGTTTCCTGCATTTGCCGCATGTTGGCATCCATCTTGCGCGAGAGCTTGCTGTCCGGCTGAACGAAAGAATTCTTAGGCAGAATGCGCAAAAACTCCTCCGAGGCGTCGACAATGTTACCGTCGGCGTCTTCTCTCCACAACAAGCGTGGAGGAAGGTCAGGAACACCGGACATCACGTCGTAATAATCCGGGATCACCCGGTCTTCCTCCCCTTCGATACCTTCCGCCAGACTCTCGCCCGCCGCATTCGATTCGATGCCTTGCACATTTGCTTCATGGGCCTTGTCGCCTTCTGCGTTGACTTGTTTGTGGTTTTTAAGCCACCTTCTCATTCCGGCTTTCGTGCGAAGTAAGGCAGGCTCCTCCGAGTTCAGCTTGTCACCCTTGAACAGACGGTGTCGCTCTGCTGCAATCATCGCCCGATCTTTCTTTGTGACCTGCTTCCAAACTTTATACTCCGGGTCCTCAAGCTCCACGCCCGAGGCCGGCAGAGCGCTGGAGGTACTGCTCGAGGGTGCCAAGCCATCGATATCCATCGAGTCACCCTGACTCCCCGGTATCCCGTTTCCAAGACCGGACGGGTCCGACGGCGTTGCAGTTCCGGGAGGCGGCGGCGTCGCGAATCCATTCTGGGTGCCTTCCATGAGAGCATCGGAGTCGGAACGGACAGGAGCCGGGGGCTGTGAGGACGAACCAGCGGGAGGTTCTGATCCGCTGGGGGTGTTTCGAGTCGGCGCGGCACCTTTCTTGGACGATTTACCAGGAGCCTTTCGACCTCTTGACGACATGATCGGCTCATCGTCGCTCTCCTCGGCTCCGTCCAACTCGGCCATTTGCAGTCGGCGCTCTTCCGCCTCAACTTCGGCACGGTCTTTGATCTGAATGTCGGGGATCAGGGGGACCAATTTTTCCGTTTCCTTCTTCATATACATGGCGTGTTTGCGCAAGAAATGATCTGGGTTTGTATTGTACTTGAAGCAGTTGGTCCAGATCAGATTGACATCGTCCACGAAGTCCTGTTTTGACCGGTACTGCAGAGCTTTAAGTTTCTTCGTCATAGTCCCCAGGTCCATGGGATGTTTGATGACTATTATCGATCGTTAGCAAATCCACGTGCCGGAAAAGATCCAGATGTGCTAAGTGCGAGGGATGGGTCAGAGAGCATACTCGTATAGTAATCGGGAGCGTCGCGTTTATTTACGCGAGTCAAGAAAGCCGAGGAGTGCTCCGTCATGGCTTTCAACTCGCTGAGGACCTTCTCGGCAGCTTCGTACAGTTCTTCCTGACCGATCTTATCCTCACTCGCCCATTTGCTTCTGTTCTTGCGAACTTCGCTCATCAGACTGCGCAGTTCCGCATCCGAAGCTTGCACCATGGTCCGCTTCATGTCAATTCGGGCGATCAGGTTCTTCAATGTCAGGCTGGAGGCTCCCAGGTTCGCGTTGCTCAGCGAGCCGTAGCCGTTCGAGGCCGAGTTCGCGTTGGCGCCCGAGTTGGCCTGGCCCGACATTTCGGCCTCAACCTGCCGCTCGGACTCTTCTAGCCGCTGCTGGTCTAGCATGGCGTCTCTATCATTCTCCAGGGTATAGAACAGAGTGTGAAAGCTTCGCTTGGCGGCATCCTCCGTCGCCTTCTTGTCTTCCTCTAGCTTCTTGCGAATATCCTCGAGCGTTTCTTTCTTCGTCTCCTTCGAGGTCTCTGCCGCGGCCGGGGTTGAATTGCTGGGGTGGTGACTAGGAGAGGGCATGCCGCCGGACTCCTGCGAAGGGGGGAAGGGCTTGGGTTTGGGCAGGGAAGCCGCATCGGCATCGTCCTCGTCGTCGTCATCATCGTAGTCGTCGTAATCGTCGTCGTCCAGCTTCCGAGCGGGCTTCTTGGGGGGAGCCGGGGGCGGAGCGGGCTCCTCGGCGCGTGGCAGGTCGGCCTCAGGCACGTCAGGGAGCGCGCAGGCGGAGCTGGCCAGGTCCTCGGCGGCTTTCTGGTTGGCAAACAAGTCATTTATTTTCGCCTCGCTGCGTTTGTACAGGTCGCGAAACGTGGCGATGCGTGGGTCCTCCTCGGCTGCAGCATCAGCCTCCGATATCAAATTACCCGCGTGAGCGGCGTCGGTGTCGACGGAGGCGCGCATCAGGGGGGTGCGCGGACCGGACAGCGATTTGGAGTAGCCATTGACGGACCGCACGTCGTTATGATCATCGGGGGGGCGCAGATGGCCGGGGGGCAGCCAGGCGTGGTTGTGTCCGAGCGACATGCTCGCTCCAAGACCCCGGTTCTGGGGGCGGGCGAGGGGGCTCGCTTCTCCACGGTTATGTTCAGGATCGGGAGGGCAGCACAGAGGGGGGTTGCGGGCCTGAAAAAGACATGAAGAGAAAGGGCAGAGTGAGAGGAGTTGAATGCCGATATTTCCGGGGGACGAACGATGGTCCGAGGGGGGAAGATTTGATGGCAACTTTCGGGCTGAGGTTCTCTGCGCGGATGAGATGAAGTCGAAAGGCGGAACGGCCGCAGTTTTCAGACCAACCGCGCAGTTTGTCGCTAGTCAGTAGTCCGTCGGTCGCGATGCGATCGGATGTCTCCTTGCTCTGGCCGCAATGCCCGGGAATTAATGAATTAATATCTTAAAAAGATGTCCGACGCGCCAGTCCGGCGGTCAAAGGAAGTCTGACACAAAGGGTCTTTGACAGCGAGAGGCAGAAAGAAGAAGTTGATTTCCTTGACGGTCTTCGGCCGATGGGGCCAGCCAGCGCTGCACATGACGCATCCGTCGACACTTTCTTCTCTTCTTGTTCTCTTCTCCCTCTCCAAACTCACGCTTAACACTTTCTCTCTATCAACCTTCCTCCAATTCCTCCCACCATGCGAATCCGCTATCCTTTCGCGGGTATGTTCTCCTCCTCGTACCTCCGCCCGGGGAAAGCTGGGTCGGCCATATCCGCAGAGCCCCGATCGCTTGATGCTATCTCAATCACGATCAGCTAACCAACAACCCTCTCAATCCAGGCGCTTTCGTCTTCCTCCTCATTCTCGCCGCCTACATCGGTCTCCTTCCTCATGGCTCCTACGGCAGCGTCCCCGCCCAGCTACAACCCAACGACAAGTTCCTGCACGTCATCACCTTCTTCCTCCTCTCGCTCGTCTTCTACTGGATCCCCGACACCACCCGCCGTCGCACTCTCCACCTGACGCTCGTCGTCTGCACGCTCGTCCTAGGCATCGGCTCCGAGATCGTCCAGGGCCTCCTACCGAACGGTCGCTCCTTCGATCCCTTCGACCTCCTCGCCAACCTCGTCGGCAGCGTCGGCGCCATCGGCCTCTGCAGCTGGTACCACCGACGCATGCTGGAGCGGAGACGCAAGGCCCGCTTCGGCGCCATGGGTGACGGCGCCGGTGATGACATCGAACTGGGTCATCCCCGAGAGCACGACGACGGTCTCGGTCCGCAGGAATCAGGCGTCACGACGCTGGAGCAGGAGGTTGACAACTGGGATGAGAATGCCGTCGATAATTGGGATGCGGAGGACGTAGAGGAATCTGCTGCCGGGACGCCGGCACAGCGGGACACAAAGACCTCGCCGTCTGCTGTCAACGCCGACGACGAGGGGAGGAAACGAAGTGATTAAATACGTCGGGTGGACGTAATATCTTAAAACCCCGGTCTCGAAATCATTCAGCAAACGAAACAAAAGCATAGCGAAAAGTGAACGCAAAGCAATTGCGGCGCGGCTTGACCTCTCCCTGAAAAATGCATCAACCAACACCAACAGAAATCTCTAGGCATTTATTTTGATCTAGACCATTCTCTCTTTCTACTATCCAGGCCATCGCTCTTGATCTCACGACTCATCTGATTCTATATCACCTCATATCATGTCTAACGCTTCCTGACGTTTTATGTACTCTCACACACACACACTCTCTCTCTCTCTCTCTCTCTCTCTTTTTCTTCACCCCCTCACTCACTCGCCAACCTCACCGAAACACACGAAGAGTCAATCGTTACGATAGTCCACGACCATGAAAATGATACTCATCCATCCATCATCGGGGACACATTCATGCTATCCCCAATCCATCTATCTATCCGTTTATCTACGGTCTACGTCATTCTCTTTCCTCCTCTCTTCTCTTCTCATAATTCTCTTGTCTTATATACCGGGGGCGTGGGGCTGGTTCCGGCATGCTTTGTTTCCGTTTCTGCTTCAGTTCCAGTTTCAGTTTCAGCATCTCTTCACGCATGCGCTTTCGGCGTTGTATGTACATAACAGGTTGGGGACTTGAATTGAATTGAATTGAATGTCATAGCGAGTGGTTTAGTTATTTAAGTAAGTAATGAATGAACTGGAGTCATTCGAAATCGCTCGTTCGTAGTTGCGAGTAAATGTAGTGTAGTCGGGACTTGCGGCTTCACATTGATCCTTCGGAAGCGATATATATAAGCGTACCTTACTAAATAGATTAGGTGAAGGGGCACGCAACCAACAATCAAAGACCGAATGAATTGCCCGAAATGTTTACATTACACCCGAAGTATTATTACTATTGTATCAGAAGAAAATAGATTTCCTAGACGCTTTTGTATTCCTGTAGGCATAAATAGCTACGGAAGGTAGAATGCGAGCTGCTGCTATCCATGTCTGTAGCGTTGGGAGAGAACCTTGCATCGTGAAACCATAACCGGGACAAACCAGGGGGCATAAACAATGTTCTAGATGAAATAGTTGCTATTGAGGGTTGTTGAGAAGAAAAGATATTAGAGGCAACACAGTAAAGTAGCATGGGAGACATGAGTATCATATATTCAATATTCAAACAAGATGACACGCAGGATGCAAGGGTAACAGATCCACTGGAATCAATGCAAAATAGGGGAAACTCATGGTTGGTCGTTAACAGGATAACAGAAAGGATGATGAGACGTAAAGAAACATCAAAAGACTATAGAAAAAAAAAGGCCATATGTACGCGAATGGGTAAATAAAGAAACAGAATACTTCAGAATGGGGCTGTGGTCAGAACAAAAACAGCGAATCAAATGGAACCCTTCAAGCAGACTACTCATTGTCCGAAACCTCGGGCGTTCCTGACCAGCTCCTGTTCGGCGTCGAGCGGCGATCGGAGACGGGCTCCAGCTCCGGTTTAGCTGATGGCAGGTAGTCGCTTTGATCGGAAAGTTTGGCCATCTTCGTGGTTCTTTCGTCGGACCTGCGTTCGGTGGCACTGATGACCTTTCCAAGCTTCATGTCCACTTGCTCCCGTAAGACCTCGTAGATGAACTGCAGCTGCATTTCGTTGTAGACCATCATCATGCGTTGTTCGCGCATCTGGTTGACGGTTTCGAATACTGGATCAGTGCTTTCGTCATGCACCTGCAACAGTTGCCCCGACTCAAGTTCAAGCAGAAGATGGTCAAGAGCTATGAAAGTGCCGGTCCGACCGACACCGGCGCTGCAATGCACGACGCGTGGATTCGAGGGCGAGCACTTCGAGCCCGACAGTCGAATTAGTTGAAGCAGCGCGTCGCGATCGTCGCCTTCCGGCTTGGAGTAATCCGCCCATCCTGCGAACAGAAAGTGCCAAACGGTCTTGGACTCATCGCCCACAGTAAGACGCAGCTTCCGAACCTCGGAGCGAGCTTTCTCATCCCAAGTAGTTTCGAGTAGTGCGACCTCACCGATGAGGTGGTCGTCTGTTTGTTGTTGACCATCTTCGTTTATGTAGGGATGGCCTCTCTCGATCAAAGCCATGGCGGGTGCCTCCTCGTGGATAGGAAAGTATTGCGAACATTTCTCACGACCCGCTTCGACGGTTTGCGTGAGCATGACGATCACACCATCTTCAGTGGATTCGTGGAACACCATTTGCCAAAAGTGAGGGATATTTCCGATTTTTGGACCCTGTAGCATAAAACCATTAGACAACCCGACCGACCGGCAAACGAAGAATCGCATACTCACCTGCGTCGCAATATACCTCCGTTCCTCCCGAGACACTGAATCCCGCAGGACGATCGGCGAAGCATTTATGAAATCACATTCTCCTTCTGGCACTGGCAGATGAATGCGAGAATTTGCCCAGGCCTGCACGTTGATGTATCGGTTTCTTGCCTTAACCTCGGGATCTCCCTCCAGCGCCCAACGATGAGACGGGTCGTTGGCCAGCATGCCCTCCGCCAGACGAGACCGTTGTATCCATTCGAGTTCTTCAAATTTCTGGTGGATTTCTAGCGAGGCAAAGAGATATTAGCAGACGGCAACTGATGTTTGGCAGTGTCTGTTATCGAAAGCGACGAGTGATCATCTGGATGAAACCGAGTAGAGGGGTAAAGGGAGAACAGAAGGGACGCGAGAACCAACCTAAGACCGACTGGCAAAGGAAAGGAGGAACCAGTTCGTTATCGCCGGCTTCCAAACCGGGGTTGTCGTTGTCGGGCCCATCCAGGATGTCGAAGCCATCGTCCGGATCCTCGGGGAGGGCCCGCTTCGTCGCCTGCACGCTGGTATCGATCTTGATGGTGGGATGAGCCATTTTGGCCGCAGCAATCCTCTGGAAGGCCCGAACCTTGCCCAGGACGCCGCGCGCCTTCTTCGAGACCCGCTTCCTAGTCGAATCAGGCCGTCGGGGTCCGCTACGGAGGCTGACGGTGCCGGGAGATGGAGAGCGGGATGGTGGTGCAGTGATAAATTTCCCCTCCGTAGTAAAGCCGTCGGGCGGATCGTCGCTTGCGCCGCCTGCGGGTTGCGGCAGGGATGATATCTGTAGCGTCGATAGGTCGGGACAGCTGTGGAAGCTGCCCCTCGACGTAATTTGCTTGGCCAGCTTTAAGGATCTCACAAGGTCTCGGAGAAATGGTCGACGAAGGGTTCGGAAATTATCGAAGGCTCTATAAATGAGAGGGAGCCTCCGACTCGGCGCAATCGTTCTGGCTGCTGCGAACGGCGCAGTCGCAATTATGACGAATGACGGAATAAATTCTCCGCAAACAATTAAGATTAAGGAAGTATGCGCGATCGGTTGGTTTCGGAAAGAAAGAAATTAAAAAGACAGGTATTAAAAAAAATGTTAGAAAAAAAAGAGGGAGACAGAAATTAGAGAATCATGTATCAGAGCCCAGGAGAAGAGGGTCGAAAAGGCATAGATTATGACCGGACGGTCTTCCCGGATCGATCAATCGGACGTGGCCAGCAGTCCAAATAACCTCAAACAATGCGAGGCGAAGGAATGGTAGATCGGACTGGGAGAAGACGATCCGGTCAAGGCGAGATGCTGGAAGGAAGGACGAGAAGGAAAGATAAGAAGGGAAGAAAGGGAGAAAAAAACAGGGACGGACGATCGCAGTGGAAACGCGGTGATGTAACTCGATCTAGGGACGGGGGAAATTAAAATTATTATTATGAATGATAGAATAAAAACAATAATCTATAGTCCGGAGGGCATGGAATATGAAAATGGACCGGAAACAATTAAACCATATAGAGTTCAGGGAACTTAAAGTGCAATTGTCCTGCAGAACATCGATGGAAGCTCCGTCGAAGCCTTTTCGAAAATTGTCAACTTGCGGCAATTGATCGTCGGCTGACTCATGTTGAGCGGTGAGTCCGGTTCTTCTCTCCTTTCTCTCTCTCTGTCTCTCTCTCTCTCTCTCTCTCTCTTTCCACACTCACAACCCTCCCCAGTGTCCATAGGAACACGCCATATCGACACCCACGTCTATCAACAGACAAGCAGTAATGATGCGAGAATGAACTCGATGATGTCCGAGAACCCCGTCTCGCAGTAAACCCACGACGTTCCCAACCCTCGACAAACTCTGCACCTTCACCACACAATCACACAGGAGGAGCTACGCAGTACCGAGTACCACAACTGTCTCCTCCCAACCTATTAAACCATACACTTCTCTCATCTTCCACAAACCGGATACAGATTGGGTTGTATCTACATTGCGCCGTGAGATGCGTCCCTCATTATATCCGAAGAAGAACATTGTTCCTTTCCGCTTTGCCCGGTCAATCTTCTTTCTTGCCGTTTGACTGGGCGTTGAATTAGGAATCATATATATCTATAGACAGATATTTTGCGTAGTTTGAATTGAGCATGTTTGTTTAGCTTGCTTAAGTTTCGTCCCTCGTTCATCTGTTCGTTAGACGTGTTCATTTAGGCAGTAGGGTGTACGACGGAAGAGCTTTCTAGAATTGACCTAGTCTGTCGGATCGTCAGCACTATGGACATTTCGCACCGTTGCACGAGACTGCCTGACAATCTGTGGCGTCTGCATTGCAGAAAATTGATAGATCATTCAAGATACAGATCCCGAAGAATGATACCTCAGATTCGGTCTCTGCAACGCTGCCGTAAGGGCGTTGCGTTCCTCCATGCTAATACTAGTTTCTTGGACCAGCTCAGCATGGTCAGATCAGTATACGTACCATGAGCTAATTAGTACTTGGAATGAACAGAAGTCTTCGGTTTATTTACTATCCATTTTATATATTGGATACGTTATGCATTATTGCTGCTCCGCAAGCGCCCTGAAAGCCCGCAGCAAGTCATTCTTCAAATCCTCCCAGTGCTCCAACCCAACGCTCAATCTCAACAACTTCCGATCAACCCGAGAGTCGGACAGCGCACGCCACTCGATCAGAGACTCGACTCCACCCAGACTCGTCGCGTGCTGGAAGAAAGCCAGCTTGCTAGGCAGCACGCGGGCATACTCCTCCTTCTGGAGGATGATGGAAAATACCGGCCCGAAGCCGTTCGGCATCTGCTTTCGCAGCCAGGGCTCGTCCTGGAGACTGGCGTGGTGGATCTTTTGAAGAACCGTCTGAATGACCGCCTCGTCGCTCCCCGGTGCAGGTGACGAAGTAGTAAGCGCACTCTGCAGCCACGAGACCAAGTTCCCCGTGGTCTCGCTGGCGCGTTGCACCCGGACTTCTAGAGTCCGGAGGCTGCGGACGCCTAGCCAACCCTCCAGGTTGCCGATGACGCTGCCGATGGCGAGTCGGTCCTCGAGCAGCTGCTTGGTCCAGTCCTTGCGCTTGGTCGCGAGAACGCCGCAGAGCATGTCGCTGTGGCCGCCGAAATATTTCGAACCGGAATGCATCACAACATCTGCGCCCCATAGAAACGGGTCCTGCAAGCCGGGAGGCCCGAATGTGCTGTCGACGATAAGGTATGCGCCTCGCGAGTGGGCCTTCTGAGCGTATGCCTCGATGCTGAGTGCTGTTCCGTACGGGTTCACGGGCGTTTCGAGCAGAATCACATCGCCTTTCCCCAGACTATCAGCCGAACAGTCGAGGTCAAGCTTCTGAAGGCCCGATAGTCGGGAGATGACGCTAATCACTTCGTGGCTGCCGTGGTAGCCCTGCCCTACGGATATCCGGCGGGGATTCAAAAGAGTCAAGGCCGCATGTAGAGCAGCCAAGCCAGTAGCATAGCTTACCGCTTGGCCACCCAGCAGCGAGGAGAGAATAGCTTCGAATCGGGTCGCATTCGGGGCGAATTCTCGAGAGTAGATGTAGTTCTTTCCATCGAACTCGTCCTAGTGGGGAGTGTTAGGCCGCCTGCATTCCGCATATGGTTATCAAGACACACGTACAACAGGATCGACAGATGGAACCAAGTCTTCGGGGTTGCCGGGGAATCTGAATGTTGTTGACAAATGGATCGGGGGTGCGACATCCGTCACTAGGTGTAGAGGGTCATCGGCATGCAATGCACGAGTCGAGGGATGGCTGTTGGTTGACGGCGTCATTGTGGTCCAGAATCGTCAATGAGATGTGGGATGTGGTGAAGTCCGAAAGGATGAGTACCGTGCCCAGTGCTTATAATTCAGCTTTCAGAAATTGCTTGACACGGTACCAGACGAGGGCATTTCCATCTTTCTTATCGAGGCGATCCCCCACTCCATCCAAGTTCCTAATCCGGATGTGATTAGATCATGATCCACTGTCGGCCTCTCATTGGTGTATAGCGACCCACTCCCGTCAAGTTCCTAAAACGGTTAGATCTATCTTCACCCCCGTGATTTTCATGGCCTCAGGTGCCGAAGGGATGACGATAAAGTCCGCGCAACTACCCTCATATCTCTAGACGAGGAGCCAGTCCCGGCCTAGATTTCCAATATTGAATATCCACTGCGGTGAAAATGGCTCCTGCTGGCCCTCTTGTTGCCAATATGTCTGCAGGATTTTAGCAGCATTGATCGTGTTGAAACATTTGGTGGCGGCCCAGAACTTCTCTAAACAGCCAACGAGAAAATCTCGCTGGGTTTGCCATCGACATTCCAAGCCCGCAACAAAGATCGGCCACAAGATGCACTTGTACACTTCATCATCCTCCAATGCACCAATCAAGCCAATCAACTCACACACCAGCTCATCCTGCGGGGAAACGTCGTTCGTAAGTATATCAAGGACACGCCGTCCATATATGAGAGCACTGATTTTCCACGACTGGGACAGTATACAAAGGTTGCTCAGATCTCTCGTATGGGATTGCGGTCGTGGTAGATTTGAAGCCCAAAGATAACAATCAAAGTCCTGAATGGACTCGAGCACAGACGAGATTTCTTGCACACGATGCTGAGTCTCGGTTTCCACCAGTGGCTCTAAGCCCGAGATGGCATCTCTCTGGCTCAAGATGTACTGAACTGCATCCAGAATAAACTCGGGACATCCGACGAAGGACTGTTCCACAATCTCCGAGGGCTGTCGATCTAGACGATCCGGTGAAACGAATTGAGACAATAGTCCTGGTCGTACAAAGGTCGCTCCGAGGGTTTGAATCCTTGATAGCGGTCAGTCACTCGCTCGCGTTATCGGTCGACCTGAAGACATACATATAAATTTGCCGCGTGATGAAATCACGAATTTCCTGAACAGTTTGGCCGGGACCTTGGTTGACCCCTATGCTTGAATCAGGGGATGGCTGATCTAGTGTAATCAAGCTTTTGGCTCCTTCGAGATGGAAGTTCCACTTGTCGCTCCCCGACTCTAGGAGGTCCAGAAATATTAAGAGAAATGCAGCCGCCACCGTGGTGTGTTTCTTCTGCAATGTAGTATCGTTCAAAGCACGTGAAAGCCCTTGCACAGCCTGGTATTTGAAGGCCAGGGCATCCCGATGAGAGTCAGCTAGGGGGGAGGGTGTGGGTTCGTCAAGCTGGTAGAAAGAACGGTCTGCGTTAGCTCTATGACGAGCTGCAAGGGCCAGAGAGGCTTTCAAGAGAACGGGGTCATCTAGAGCAAGAGATATAAGGCTTCTGAAGGGGTTCTTGTCGCTGTCATATACGATGAAGAGTCTGCAAATATTTTCGTGATCTGAGTTTGAAATTAGTGGAGCTGCAGGGTCCAGAAAATAGAGCATGCTTACAATAATCTAGATAATATTTAGAGGTTGCATCTAAGTTGGAGGTTGCAGGGTCCCGGGGTACCAGTGGTAAGCTCAGCGAGGCTCCACTATGAATACCTGAGCAAGTTGAAGGTTAATTAGTGTGAGCCCATCAATGGCTTGTATAAAGAAAAGATAGAGAATGATTCAGAGTGGCCCTCCGAAGGGAGACAACAAGAGCTCACCATTTCGTTCGCATCTCATAGTCTTAACGAACGGGGTCATATTAGAATTTGGCAATAGAGCCGAACTATTCGTTTTCAATTCCATTCCTACATTTGCATTTGACGCATCTCGGGCATCTTGGAACGAGACTCCCCGCATCTTCCCTCGGATAGCCACGCCTTTGACCCATCTAGGGGGCCTTGTCGCGTAGCATTCTACCCCCATTTTCTGACACTTGACGCAAGGGGTCTGCGACCGGTCGCATTGGATGCGTCGTCGGCGACATGTGTAGCATGACTCAAGCATGGCATGCTGTCCCATACGGAGTACAGGGAAGAAAACGTGGACAAAATGCGCGGTGCTTGTCAATAGGAGGGATAGAATCAACTGACGTCACCAGCCACAATATCGTCACTTGAGATTATCTGGGGCAGTGCTCTGTACCCAGGGCCAGGGCAATAGTCAATAATAGAGATGTCGAATGGTGAAGGAGAAGCAAAGTGAGCGGAGGAGCGGCAAACCCCACGGGCCGTCACATGACTGGGTGAACGCCACAGAGAAGTGTGGCTGCTTTCTACTCCGTAGATCTGAGGATCGGGATTTATCAATCTACACCTGCCACTGATTCCAGAGCGCTACACCAGTGTACACTGTACAATTGCCTAGGATTCGAGCGATAGCGAGTATATATCGCTCCCATGCGAGGAGCATCTGATGCATATAAGCGTACGAAGTCTGGGGAAATGGTTACATGGTCCAGCTACCTATCCTTGACAGTACACAGCTAACTAGCAATCAACACCCAGAACCAGTTATGCATGAAGCACTGAGAAAAGGCTGTTCTTCCGGACAGTCACAACAATTTGGGCCACTATTTCAATGCACGATGGCAATCGGCCCCACCTCATGCACAGTTACCAATAAAATCTAATAATGAATCGACCGATTCTCCACTCCTCTCAACTTCCCAAACAGGAAGCCCAACGGAGAAGCGCTTGGCTCAATCAACAAGCTCGCCATTATTCTGCAATAATCCTTAAGCTTTGCGGCTCGATCGGTGGCCACTGGAGAAAGATCCCCTTTCGATTTTTGTTCGCTTCCCCACCGTCTGGCTTCTCGAAGAGGTAGTTGACGGGAGATGGCCGACCAGCTGGTATGCATGTACTTTAGCTAAGCACCATGGGGAATGTTGCAATCATGGCTCCCCTGGGTCCAATTCGCTCAATCCTGCAGATCCAGCTTGTCGGTTCGGTTGGTTAGTACAGCGCGGCAATTCTAGTGGCTTCGAGCTAAAGGGCTCTCTCGGCGTCTTCATAAAGAAGACAAGAAAACTCTTTTCTTCCGACCGCATGCGTTGTTGACGCTGGCTTAGAAATCGCTGTGTCTTGCCTCCCGACAATATGACAAGGAGGATTTGAATCGTATATATTCCAGCTTTTGTCCCGTCAACAGTCTTCTGCATGGATAGCGAACGACCAGTGGCTTTCAATTGTCTAAGAGCTCTATTCGAAACGGGGCCATGAACCCAACAACACCGACACCGGCGGCGCTTGAAGCCAACGAGAAGAATTCGACCGAAGCCTCGTCGCCTGGACCGCAAGATCCAAAGCACGACGGGAGATATGCAGACGATGCTTACATCGAGCAACTGGGACGACAGCGACCGCCATGTTTCCCCAATTTATTCTCCGAACTGGCCTTCTGCTTTTCCATCATGATGTCTCAGATCCTTGCAGTATGTCCTTTCTCCAGGTTTTCGTTAACCAGGGAAAGAATGAAATGCTAATCCGATATCACTAGGAATACTACATCTCCGGCTCGAATGTGCTTCTCCCTACCCTAGTCAAGGAACTGCACATCCCTGCCGCGTCCACGATCTGGCCGTCGACCGCTCTCTCTCTCGTAGTTACGTCAACGCTGCTCATCTTCGGCCGCCTGTCTGACATGTACGGCGGGTACATCCTCTACGTCGCCGGATTTACATGGATGATCATCTCCTCCATTCTCGCCGGCGTCTCCGTGTCCTGGCTGATGTTGCTCATCTGTCGCGCGCTGCAAGGCCTGGCCCTGGCCTGCTTTTTGCCCGCCGGGATGATGATCCTCGGCAGTACGTACCGGCCGGGGCCGCGCAAGAACCTCGTCTTCAGCATCTACGGCGCCTGCGCGGCGCTGGGGTTCTTCGCGGGGATCTTCTTCTCCGGGATCTGCAGCCAGTTCCTCACATGGCGCTGGTACTTCTTTTTCGGCGCCATCCTGTCCGGCATCACCACCGTCTCCTCGTTTTTCTACATCCCCAACGACTACCGCGAGAAGCGCAAACTGGGTATCCAGATGGACTGGGCCGGCTGCTGCCTCTCCGTGCCCGGCACCGTGCTCCTCGTATTCGCCATCGCCGAATGCTCCTACGCCCCACAGGGATGGCGCACGCCGTACATCCCCGTCTGCTTCGCGCTAGGGATCATCCTCCTCGCCATCTTGACCTACGTCGAAGGATGGGTAGTCCCGAACCCGCTCCTCCCCGGCGACATGTTCCACGTAAAGCACATGACCGCGCTCGCCATCGCCCTACTCTTCCTCTACGGCAGTCTCGGCACCTTCCTCCTCTACTCAGTGCTCTACATGTCGGACATCATGGGCGCCGGACCCCTCCAGATCGTCGCCTGGGCCGCCCCCATGGGCGTCGGCGGCCTCATCCTCTCCGCAGCGGGGGGACTCATCTTCCACCGCATCTCGGGCACGATCGTCATGCTAATCTCATGCCTGGGGTACCTCGGCTCAGCCCTACTCTTCGCCCTCATCCCCCTCGGCGGGAATTACTGGGCATTTGTCTTTCTCGCCATGATCTGCGGCACGGTGGGGATTGACATCAGCTTCAACCTGGCCAACATCTTCATCACGACCAGCATGCCCAAGGCGCGGCAGGGCCTGGCCGGCGCGCTGATCAACTGCACTCTGCATCTGGGGATCGCGATCATGTTGGGATTTGCGGATATCGTGCAGACGCAGACCAAGGGGTTGGAGCTGTACAAGAACTACAAGGCGGTGTTTTGGTTCCAGACGGGGCTGGCGGGGACGGGGATGCTGATCGTGTTGTTTTTCGTGAGGATTCATCATGCGAAGAGCGAGCTGACGGTGGATGAGCGAGAGGCGTTGGCGGCAGAGGCTAATCGCTTAGAGAGCGAATGATCTTTTTTTTTCTTTGTTTCTTCGGTTAGATGTGCCGATATATATCATCCGATACTAATTGATGTCCTATTGCTGAGGGTTACAAGTAGCGACTGATTGGGGATGGACCGTAGGTGTAAAGGTAGATATATTTGGTATGGGATTGGATGAATCTGTTATGCTTTGCCCTCCACTCCTGGTTTCTGAGATGAAGCCGTTGGTAATGTCGTCTGTTGGATGATTGGAAGATCAAGTACAGACTTCGTCAACTACGTGACCGCGATCCATTGTTTATCTCCGAGGTTCTACAGAGGACTGAAGGTTTGATGTTTGTAAAGACAAGCAAATAATATCAAATTGCGAAACGAAGCTATCCTGAGGCGCAGAAAGACATTCTAGTCTGCAATCACCGATCTTCCAGATGCAATCTGCCTTGCTAGAGCCAGCTGGCCTTGGTCGATTTGGCCATCGCGAGCCTAAAATTCAAAGTCCACAACCTGATCATTCGATAGCGTATAAATTCAATAAACCAAATCAGTGACAAAACGTGACGCGGCCCATAGAAGAAGAAAGGAGATTCTCAGATCCATGTGCTAAACATGGCTGGCCAGCGTGATAAGAGAGAGCATAGAGCAAAGAACAAAGAACAAAAAACAAAAAACAAAAAACAAAGAAGAAAGAAGAAAGAAGAAAGAAGAAAGAAGAAAGAAGAAAGAAGAAAGAAGAAAGAAGAAATTGTCGGATAAAAGACACAAATCTCGTAGTCCCAAGCGCTTCGTACCTAGATGTACCACATTCCAAATGGCAGTCTGTTGGAGGTTCCATGGATGGGCAACAAGCGCGGGTCAATTGGCTTGTTCTTTGGCTTCGGGTTGGTCAACTTGACTTCAGGGCCACTCTGAGGGCCAGAGCTGGCAGGAACGTCCTCGTGATGCTTGGCGCGCGTCGCGATCAGATGAGCATAATAAACAGCCGGGACTAGAAGAGACTTATGTTAGAAGCGGCAATCAAAGGGCAAGGAAATAAAGAAGGGGACATACACAATGAGACCGAGGTGGTCGACCTCATGTACTGATAGCAGTGATCATAGATCATGTTCTCCAGCTCCTGGGCACGGTGCTTGTTCTGGTCCAAGATGACATGATAATGGACTGGACGAGATGTTCCCTGAAGAGCAATGTGCGAGTACAGAAGGAAGTCCCAATCATGAGGACTGGTGACGTCCTTTTCGATGAGAGTGCCAGGGAGAGGGTTGCCATTCTTATCGGCGGAGTTGCGGTCACCAGCTCGGGGGAACGCCCTGAGGTGATGACGCTTGTTTGCAATCACGACGGTGAACTTTCCTTTCCACTGATCCTGAGTGAGCTGCATAAAGATAGACTTCATAGTGAAGACCTCATCATTGAGAACGTGCTCGAACTGGCCAGTCGACACACCGTCTCGGAAGTAGTACACACGCTCAGGCGCACGTCCTTGACCGACAGTAGACATCCATTCGCGGATAAGCGGGGTCAGCATGATCTCCATGTTAGCACGAGCAATGATCTCGATGCGGTCTCCGTTCGCTTCGCAGGCGCCCCAATAGCGACCCCCAAAGGTGTCCATGCACACGGACATAGCGGCCATGGACGGAGACCACACACCAAGAGGAGAGTGTGTTACATCAGCTCCAATGATCATTGACATAGGCTTAAGGGAAGCCTCAGGGGTTTTGGTGATAATCCGAGCGGTCGTACCCCCAAGCTTCGCGTTGACCTTCATCAGGACGTTGGAGATGTACTGCGGGTTTGCCTTTGCCACATGCAGCGACTGCATGACCTGAGAAGGCACGCCCCAGCGACAGTCACACGATTTCTTGATCCGGGTGTAGGTGAACGAGTTCTTATCAGGAACCACAATAAGTAGGATCTGGGGGTCCTTCTGGAACTTGACACCGGTTGAATTGTAAAGTTTCTTGATCGCCTCACCAATGTCCTCCTTGAGCTCGACGATAATTGGACGCTGCGGGACTTGACCTCCATGACCAGCGTAAGTTTTCATGAATCCATCAACGAATGTTTCCACCTGAGTTCTGTTCACCGCATTGCGCTTGCCGGCGAAGAACCCAACACCCCAGGACTCGAGAGGTCTCTTGTTGGGCTGATAGAACTTTTTGCCCCGAAGGTCCCAGCGACCATTGGTGCCGGGATTATGGCGTTGATTGCCACCAAATTGGATATCAGGGTTTGGCAACAGTCGGGCCTTGGTGCGAATCATGTTTTGGTCGATCTGAAGTCCGAATGTTTTGAGAACAGGATCTGCTTCGTGATCGAGCATGGCCTTGGACTTGTGAATGGATTGCAGACGGTCGCTGGGCCTCGCAGCCGCATACTTGATCATTTGGGACGTCTGATATTCGTTGAGTTTCCAGGGGTACTTCTGAAGTCCATGAATGGTAAGGACCTCCATTGGATAGATGACTCCCTTCTTGGTCATCTCGACAATGGGAAGGTCCCAGTTGGTGAGGGTGAGATTATACTTTCTCTTGAAGTAAGTCTCAATGCTGATCTTTTCGGTTTTACCGGTTGCTTTGTCCTTGATGTCGATAAGGTACTGCCGGGCGTTTCCGTTGATCAAACCCTTCACGACGAAGTTGGTACCCTGAACAGGACAGCCGCGATAATGAGGTTGCACCTGAAGCTTTCTCAAGCGCCGATGGACCTCGAAAAATTGAGTGGACTCGGTGACCCCGCCATGACCGTCAGGAACGGGCTTCAGAACATGTGCCAAATGTTGGTGGTCGCGGCAGTCAAGCACCGCCATCGCAGCACCCATGAAAGAGATTCGTGCCCAGAAGCAAGAGTTGGAAACGTCGATGTTCACAACCAGGCCACGTCCCTAGCGATTCCGTCAGCTTTGCAGTTCTGCAAGACGGAAAAGGAGTATAGGCGAACTTACAATAGCAGGTCGGATAGCCTGATAAACACCCTTGAAGGCAAGAACACCATTGCCCAAGTCTTTGTTGTCTCCGTTGGCATCGAAAAAGGAACGCTTGAGCGCAAGGAACTTGGTGCTGGGAAATTCCCGAAGAACATGATCAAGGAAGTCTACAACTGTCAATGGGGTGGTTCGTAGATGCAAGCAGAAGAAAACCTACTCAGAGCCTCCAAAACAGCCTCGGTCATCGAAGTTTTGCCCGAGAGCCAGGCGTTGAGAACCGCCAAGTTGACAGTCTTGGTCGGGCGCACAAGCAAACGGAAGGTATTTGGGGCCTTGGTATTGGGACGACGGTTTTGCTCGTGATCAAGGTCAACCATGACATTCAGGCCTTGTTTGTATTCATTCATGGACCTGTGGCTTGTCAGTTGGGGGTTTTGGTAAGATGAGATGGGGGAGCAGGAAGGACACACCATGCAAGTTTCTGACCATCGAAAACGATCTGCTTGAGGGCATTTTTTCTGGCATTTGAGTCCCAGACCTTTTTGATCACGATGTTCTTCTCAGCGCCGGAGCCAACTTGGACCTGGGTCTTATGTTAACGGCAGTTGCAGGAGCACGGAAGGACATCCGTTGACCGGCCAAGGGAACTTACATCATACTGATACACGTTCTTGTTGGGAAACTTGACGATGGGGTATGCGTTCATGGAGACTTCGATTTCTTTGCCGGTAGTGTTGAAGCCCGGACGAGGAACCGTCTCGACGGGGACCGAGTACTTTTCCTGTTCGTCAGCCGCGCGAAGACGAAGGTGGCGAAGGCCACCAGTGAGCTTGTTGATCTGCTCGAGGTTTTCCATGATTGCAAACAGAATAGAAGAAGAAGAAGAAGAGAAGATGTGAAAAGTGGAAATTATCGAAAGCGAAAGGATCGAGAGCGGGGAAAAAGGCGAAATTGTAGACAGCGAAGGTTGGGAGAGGACGGAAGAAGATGCGGTGGAAAGAGGGGGGTCGAGGGGCTTATATATACAGAAAACCTCGCGGGCAAATGCATGCTGTGAAGCCTTGATTGTGGCCCAGGGAATGGTGAGACAGGCGGATGAATATCGGCTCTTACATTGAAGGAGGCCTATGGGGTGTGAAGCCGGACCACCATCTGCAGACGCAGTTTGACCGGTGCCCCAGGTGAATGATCACTGGCCCGCGAAGGCCAGGGCTGGCCGAAGGAGGGGAGAAAAACAAAAGTGGTCATTTTCAGGATGATCGGGGAGAGGGAATTAGGGGGTTGCAAACGAGATATTCACAGAGAGCTGAGAATGGCGAAACGAAGACACAACCAGATGGAATAAATCGAGACAGACTGGATCTGGGACGGCAAATTCACAGAAAGTCGGGATGGACAGAGACTTACCAGGTGAAAGTTATAAGCCGCGATGGGCAAGTCCATATTATAGTTAATGTGAGCCATCGTAGCGCTTGATTGTCGCGATCGTCGCGACTGAAAAAGGCACAATGGAGGTGTGTATCAGGGGGTTAATGGTAGTTTCGTGGGATGTGATGGAAAGGAAGATGAATGAAAAAGGGAAGACGGAAGATGATGCAGAAGTTGAAGGGAAGGAGAGTCGAAGAGTAGAGCTGGTGAAGTTGAAGGGGAGGAGAGTAGAAGAGCGAAATTGGTGAGGTTGGAAGGAAGGAGAGTAGAGGAGTAGAACTGATGAAGATAGAAGGAAGAGTAGGACTGGTGAAGATGGAAGAGACGAGGAAGGAGCGGTCAGGTGAGCTTTGGTGTATTCACCCCTACTTCACTTGTAAGCTCCGGCTTGATGCAGTGACTTTGCCTGTGTAGTCAAGAGTGGAGGAAGTGATGAAAGAAGTGAGAAGCGATGGTGGAAGAGATGAAGGAAGAGATGAGGGAAGAGACGAAGGAAGTGAGGAAGTGATGGAAGTGATGGAAGTGATGGAAGTGATGGAGAGAGTCCTCAGACTGTGTAGGTAGTCTCAAGGAGTTCAGTGTGGGTAGTAGTGGGGGATACAAGGTAGTGAGAGTAGGTAGCAAATGTAAACAACCGTCTGATTTCTCACCTTCTTAATATGTGTAATGCTGGTAGTCGGACCAACTCAAGTCCACCAGAGCGAATTTGCAGTTGAATATGGCGAGTACGGAGGGAGAGCGAAGAAGGTTTGTTCTTGATTCCTTTCCTTGGATTACTGTGGATTGCTGGATTCTGATCAAGTGATCCAACACTCGAGGATAGTGTATCTCGATCTTGATCGACCGTCACTCGAATCTTCTATTTCGAAAGATTGCCTCGCGCCCAAGCTTCCCAGAATACCGCTCAACCTGTTCGCGATGAAAAAGTGCCGACTGGGCTCGACGCTTTCACAGCTTACAATCTCGACATGAAGTGTGGAACGTTCTTAGCTCGGGCAATCGGTCAGAAAAGGAGATGATCAAGGAGTTGAGAGGGCCTCTACATGGAGCAGACATTGAAAGAGATGTCCGGATGTTTCAAGAGGAGAATAGATGAGTTTGAACTGTTCAAGACCCTTCTTTCTGCTCCTTTCCTGTTGCCCAACGTTTGGGTAACTCTGACCCCTACTCTATTCTGGCAGCTGCCATTTCATTAGCTTACTTGCGAAATTACAAGAGGCAGCGTATATCCCCCGGTCAAGAAGAAGCATTCGCCCAGATCACGTCTTGTCGCGAGAATATCGACCCGGAAACCCTATACTCGGAGAGGAGGTTGCGAACCTGGAAGCCAGCTGCAATGCATTTCGTCTACGTGGACTTGAAAGCGGAATAGATAGGTTTTGCCAAAACACACGACGAACTGGGGATATAAAGCACTGGCTCCTACACACTGTCTGCCAAGTTCAGTCTATCACTCAGGTCACTCAGGCGGATATCGATAAGGATAAGAAAGAGCAGAAGAACCATAAGAAGAACGGCCCTTTCAGAGACCGTGCTGCTGAGATTTGGGAAGACTTCGGAAACCTGATCGGAAGAGATGAAATACGGCACGCAGCTCAACCTACAACATAATTGTACCCTATAGCTTGCCTCTGTTGTTCAGGACATCCAGCATCAACCAATCGACGAGTATTTCTACGCGGGCTTGAAAACGGACTATATCTGAATTGCAGACGGGTTACGGAGCCTAGCCTTGCCAGAACCGGGCACATGTGGTATCTTCATGACTTCAAAATGCTCGAGATTCATATTGGCGAAAGGTTCAAATATCAATTATTAAATTAATCAATTAATCAACCGAGCCCAGTGGGTAAGCGTTCCTACCATGATAGGCGTCAGGTTGAAGCAACTTCAATTTGTCGGCTCTATCCTCGACGACTTCGAATGTTGGATTTATTTGAAGGAGGGAAGTAAACACGGTACTTGCGCGCGATGTTGCAAGAACTTTTCCTCGGTCGAAAGTTGTAGCCATTCCAGTCACAAGCACAAAGAGACAAAGCGCAAGCCACCGACACGCATCGCCCGGGTTATTCGGAACGATCGTGACCGTCAAGGCATTGAAGGGAAAGCATGCTCGCTGAGTATGTCAAGGCACTCGGCCCTGATTCCACCATTTACCACAAGGATTTACGTTTTACCAAATCATTCAGCAATAATCCGAATGTTGCAGTGAATTAGACCACCAAGAAAAGGCCATTCGGTACGCAATGTTGGAAGTAAGGACTTTGGCATACTCCCCGACAGCGCAATTAAAAAAATTTGCTTCTAGGTCATGAGAAAAGTAGCATGCTCCTCACTACAGGGACCCAAGCATACATCTCCTCTCATACCGCTATGCAGAACGAGAACCGAAACCAGGCCGCCATCAAGAGTCTTCCCTGTTCACCTTTGTCATTCCCCTAATGGTGCTGATGATTATGGATGTTCCATGTTCCTTCGGGATGTTGGGAGATCCGCCTCTTTTGTGGGTATTCCTACAGTGGGCACATATTGCCCCAGGGCTATGGCGTACTCAGTTCATCTAAGATTTCATTGGAGGGACAACCGGCAAGACGCAGTCAGATTTCTAGGGACCCTACGGAGTACAGGCGGGGCTTAATGCGGAGGACTCCTCCAATGTCGACCACTACGATGGTCAACCGCTTCGCCCAAGTAATCGCCGAGGAGGCGCACTACATAAAGACACTCCGAACCAGAAACCACCAAGCCATCGCCCTACTACAGGCCAAGACATTCTGGGGCCTCAAGGCAACGCCCATCTAGAATCGTCCAGTAGACCTATGCGGGTACCTTATGCAGCTCTACGCGGACAAACCGGAGGTTGACGGGCCGCTCTGCTCTAGAAGGGCTTCCAAACGGGAATACCTCTTTTAACCATACCAAGGGAGGGCTGTAATGCCCTCGAACAAGAATCCTAGTTCACGCATGTTCCCAATAAAATGTCAATTTCATCGGACAGCCCGTGCATTGAAGCTCAATCATAGGAATGTCCGAGGGCGGTTTACCAAGGCGGTGCACAGTTACCGGCATGCGCGATGATGCAGCCGCACGCTATGGATGCGGATATGTTGTTTTTGTTGATGATTGGTAAATGAAGATTGTTTCTACGGATCTATCTTCCTCCTGTTTCTCTTCCGCCTCCTCTTTCTCTCCTGAGCGGACGGGAAGCCTTGTACTCTACACCCTGTGGTCGCACATGGCTAAAGAACCGTCGTCATACAATCAACCCGACCAGGCGGAAAACACGAATTGGGATTCGGTTCCAGATCAGCGACGACAGTGCGTTCAGCGAATCGAACAAAGGACGGGCTTATTAGGCAACGAGCACATGCATACATCCAATCACATACAGCGAATCGGGCAGGCGTCGGACAGTATATTACGAGCTTGAGATCTTCTCTCTGGCCTGTTTATATCTTTGGAAAAGAATGACACCCATCCGATCCGTTTGGTTTTAGGAATAGTGTGCTCTTGTTAACCCGTTCTATGAGAAAGCCATGCACAGCTTGTGTCCTTAACCATATTTCCTCCGTCTCTGTACGTTCTACGGATAAGGTGCGAACTGACAGCCCTGGCATGCAATATATATACATCAGGCCGGGAATCATCCCGCGAAGAGCGAGTTAACTAACGGTAGACAAGCAAGCGACTCTAGCGGCGGAGACCAATCATCTTGAGAGCGAAATTTTTTCTACATATCTTTCGGTAATGCGTTGTTTATTATTGTTCAGTACTAAATACTAATCAATTTTAAGCATGCGGTGAACGAGTCATATTTGTTTTGGTTAACTTAACCCTAAGGACTGGAATGTTTCACTGTGGAAGGTTGTGTCTTGAATTTCCATCCATATGGATCCTTGGGATGAGGGGAATAAGAATGCCACAGGGGTTGATTGACATAAGATCAATGTGGCATCGTCATCGTCGTTCGATAGCACATTCTCTAGCCTGTCGAGTCTCGTCCTGGAAACTGGAAAAGCCACGCGGAAGTCCTAGTTTGCGGATAGCCCACGAGCCTGCCGGTCGGCAATAGGGGATGGGTTATGCAATGGCAGGAGAAATCAATGACAGCCGCAAAATTGGGCGTTCTGCCCGGTTTAATGAGTGATGGTTCGCCGGTAATTGATGTCTCGCTGTCATTTGGTTAGTCCGTGAACTAGACTGATGTCGCCAAGATAGCGTGGGCATAGTTCTGGTTGACTGAGGGTTAGGCTGCTACGGACCGAGCAACCGAGGCTCTTTTCCGGAGTAGGTCAGAGAGATATCCAGAGACATAGACGCCCTTTTCCTTCAGTAGCTTGTTACTTAGCCTGTTAGATCGTGAGTCAAGTTAGTCAACTTGTACTAGCGGTCGGACAAACCGAGTCAACGCCGTGGCCAAGCACTTGCACTAGGCAGGCACCAGTGAGTCCATAGCGGGGTTCACTGCAGGGTTAGCCAGGAACAGGATACATTAAAAAAAAATCAACCAGACCTAGCAATCCGGATTCCGGAGTAATCTGTGCTATGTCCATAATATATATTAGGTGGAAATTACATCACCCGATTAGGGACGCAGAAATCGACCCCCTGGTATGCACCAGGCCGAGACCTTTCGCTGCCGGAGACTTAAGGCGATGGATAATTTCCCGAAACAGATGATGGCTTGCGAGTTGGAAGATGCTCGGATGATGGCCGCAGAGGTCATGTGAGGGCCGTGTACTTCGTCCTCCGTCAGTGCCGGGATTCCGACGAGAGAGAGAATTGTGAATTGGGATTTGTGATTTCCTAAGGAGGTATTACGGAGTCGAGTCGATATCCGGCGGAGACATTATTGACCATGTCTTACTTCCGTAGAGTGGTGGATGTTCCATTTTCAATGCCATTCAATTGACTGGGTCGGGTTTATTGGCGCCATGGATAGTCGATGGTCAAGGCCATGTGGTGCCTATTTTTTTTGTTCGATCCAATCTGATCCAACGGTCGGAGGTTGACGGTACAAAGAAAAATCCAACACTTCCAGGGATTGCAACCGTGGATAATTCCATGGCCCCTTGGATCGGACGAATGTAAGAAGGGCTGACATAAGCACCCGAGGGAGTTCGTGGGGCGGAGGACGGAGTTATCGAACGTACCTTAAAATAGGCACACAATGGGTTAATTAATTAATTGACAAGATTGATTGTGCAGTTTGCAGAAAGGCAGAAAGAGAGAACCAACTGATCATCTCAAGATCTTCGACTAAAGTTACATAGTACGACGGAGTGGAGGACACGGTGACAGCCGGTGCGTGGCTAACTCCCAAGACAGTCACAGCCCCGACGGTCAGGCGTGCCGACGTGCAGATTCCAGGCTGGACTTGTCTCACTGTCTGATTTTTTATTGGCGATGTGTTCGTCACTAGCGTTCTTAGCGCCGCCACTAGTGCCAGCCCGCCTCCTTTGGTGTTTGGCGCTTTTTTGGACCTTTGGAGAATTTGCACTGCTTAGCGCCCGTTCGCTGCCGGCGAGCGCTGTTTTCCTTCCTGCCCTTCCCTTTCTTAGTCCCTTGACTCCTCTCCACGGGATTATCAGTCAATCTCACCTCTTCCACTCCATCTTCTCTCGCTTTGCATCCCATCCGTTTTCGCCTCCTTACGGAGTACACTCGTTTTTCATCCATCGTGCAGCTCCTTGTCTGACAAGTCTTTCTTGACTGCCTCCTTTTAATCAACCTAGGTGTCATCTATCTTCGCCTGGTCATTCGTTAAATCCCACTCAGCCCCCCCTTTGGATTACGATCGTTTCTCTCTCGGTCGCTTTCTGACCTTCGCCTGAGAAATCCACCTCACGTCGATAATATAATCCAACCCGAGTATTTTCGATCTCACTCCAGGTCGCCCATCATGCGAGCCGCTCGTTTCTCTTTCCTCGTTTACTCCCTCTCCCTGCTGGCCGTGGTCGCCGGTCAGAGTACCGCCGTCACTAATGGCAACGTTGGCGGAGGAAATGCCATCACCTCTGGAAACGCCGCTCCCACCACCGCCGAAGAAGCAGCCACCACCTCGGTCCCTTCCGCTGAGACGACGGTAGCCGACAAGACTTCCTCCACCAAAGACACGAAGCCCACGGAGGCAACGACCTCGTCCACTACCTCGGAGGAACCAGCGAAGGAGACCACGAGCTCCACCACCGAAGCCCCTGCCGCCAAAACCACCGCAGAGAATACCAAACAGACGACAGCACCCAAGACCACCAAGGCTGACCAGACCACGGAAGCAGCCCCCAAGACCACCGCTGCTGATGCCACCAGCACCGGCACCAGCACCACGGAATCCAGCGCTACCCCCGTGGTGAAGACGATCACCACAATGCGTACCATTAGCGGCACTCCCATCGAAACCACGATGACCACGACCTCCGCCGACAAGAACGCTGCCGCCGATTCTACCGAGTCTCCCGGTCTGAACGGATCCTCCGAGGAGTCCAAGAGCTCGGGTCTCTCGAAGGGCCAGAAGAACATCATCATCGGTGTCGTGGTGGGTGTCGGTGGTGCCATCCTGATCGGAGCCCTCGGTGTGGTAGCCTGGAGAATCCGAGCCCGCAAGCAGAACGCCCGCGACAACGACGAAGCCGCCGATCTTATGAGCGGTACCGCCGTCGGTGCCGGCGCTCGTGAGAAGGCTCCCAGCCCCGGAGCTGGCGGCACGCCCTTCAAGAGCACGCTCGACCAATATCACAACCCCGGACCGGTGAACGCCGCTTCGAACTTTTAAGCTAGCCGCGTCCCCTCGCCCTCGAATTTCTTTTCGAGGACTGTATTCTATTCTCTTCTCGTTCATATGCCAATTTGGGCATGTGAGTTGAACACAAACAGTACATGACGGACTGAAGTGGTTAGATTGTCACTAGTTCTGATTGTCAAGTTTGTACGATATTTACGCAGTTATTTTATCGGCGCTTTAGGATGAGGATATCATCGGGTTGTGTTTTTTGCGTTGTGTTTTTGATACGCCATGTCTGCCTCGCGCAGCATCCGTTTTCTCTATCTGCATTGTCGTTTATAGAACGTCCGTCACTCCTTTCCGAGACCACGCTCCTTTATACCAGCGATATTTGTTCTAGCGTTTGTGCTATTTGATTCCCCGCTCGAAGCATCTGATTCTGCCATCGGATAGTGTGGGCAGTATTGGCTGTCTTACTTATCCTTTTCTCTTCGAACAAAAAGCCTTATTATCCTCGTGATATGTATCTATTTAATTTGACAGAAAGAAACTTCACTTCGAACTGTTCCACTCGTATAGGGCTTCTTCGTACAGATCTCTCATTCCGTACAGGGCTACGTCCACGACAGACCCAGTTACTCCGTACCTTAGTAGATGGAGATTCCCGTGCATGAGAATTGAAACCTACGGAAATTACCCGTCATGCTTATGGTCCAGCATGCAGAAAGTACCTAGAAATCGCATGAAACGACTAAGAATAGCAGACCGCATTTGCAGTTACAGAATTTGAGAATACAGGGACTTCCTCCCCCCCCCCCCCCCCCCCCCTTCCTGGCCCGTGTCCGAAGCCGTTCCCCGCCCTCCATCCTCCAATCTGTTTGTTGGCTTGGTCAACTCACCACACCACAACGTGATCGTCAGTCCTGGTCGTCATCCCGCCACGATGATGATCCGTTGTCGCGTGTCCTCGTCAACAGCCACTCTCGTTGCCAGTCGCCACAGCAGAGGGACTACTTACGGTGTACGGAGTACCTAGTCTTCCTGATACGCCCCGTGCCGGTGAAGTGAGCGCTGACCGCATCTCATGACGGGACTGATGGGTTGAAGTCTGAATGTGGATCAATAGGTACTGTACTTTAGCCGTTAGTGGTCCTTTGACATCACGTCTGCTGATCCATCCACCAAGCACACTTTTCGTCATTTCTTGGGGCGGTGATCTATCTTGCGGGATTAGCTTCCGTTGTTGCATTTCTATATACAGTAGCATGTTTACATAGTATGTATATATTGAGTCTCCGGGTTTCTCAGAGACCACACTGCACGGCGGACGGAGATTTCGCACATAAGTCATAGATGACAAATGGCATGTGCTCCGTATTGGTATAATAATTAGATTGTTTATTTATTAGTGAAGGGCGTTGATTATCCAACCAATTCTGACGGAGTAGATTAATTAATAACGGGTCCGCCGCTGTCAGTACTCCGTAGTCTCGGCGAAGGATCTTATTGTGGACAACGGAGTACACCGTATGTGGACTGTGTGGACTATGGTTAGACGAAGAGAAGATAGATACCCAAATAAGTAATCTAAGCGTTCAGATGTTCTTATTTCGTTTATTAACATTTTTACGCTATAGGTATGGTGTAGATGGTGGGGTTGATAAGTCCGTTTCTCCGTCTATCTATGCATCTGCGTGTCTGTCTATCTATAGAATCCTTCATCCTCTACCTAATCAAGTAGGAGTAGTCCGAGTCTTCCCTCTGGGCAGACTTACTACAAGGACTCAGGTACGGAGTATGGACAATAATATCCTCAAGTACCGTGATCATCCGCTTCGATGAACAGAGAGAAAGAAATAGTATCGGAGAGTCGCCGACTCCATCATACACAATATTAGAACCCTTTTGTAGATAGCAAATATGATTTCTATATACTGTTTTATTATGACCTCAACATACCGCTGAGAAGGCTCAGGCAGAACTCTCTTTTTGGGCAGTGTGACGGTCTCATCATCACAGTTGGCCTTACAACTACGGTCGGCCTCAGCACTATAGAAGGCCTATATAGTGTAGTAATTATATGATGGTAAGGTCAACTATAGTAATGGAGCCGACCGTAAAATCTACTATAGTAGTTAGAGCCCGCGCCGATTTCGCCGGTGTTACTTTGGATGGGCATGGGCGGATACTACTTCCGACATTGGAGATGACGGGAACGTATCCATGGATGTCAGTCGGCACCTTCTGGAATAATCTTCTCCATCCTCATCCATCCTCTGTACCCAATCAACTGTTATTCATCCTACTCCCTCTTCCTATCTTACGCGAGTGCGTCATCCTGCTTACGATCCCTAAGGGCTGTCGCACTGCCATGAGAAGTCGCTTGCCGCAAGTATGACCTCCGACAAACGAAACAACAAACCTTGAGAACTCCGCATTCGACACAGAGAAGATCCTGTTAGGAATACATCTGGTCTAGACAGGCAGGTAAAACCCTTGCTTGCTAATTATTTTTGACCCTCTTGCCCTCGTTCTTTGATCCAATACTGATAAAAAAAACAGAATGATCAGATCCGTTTCCCTACACGACAGGGCCTAAAATGTGGTCGGGATATTTGCAACCACCTAGATCTACGTAATGTTCTACGTTAGGTGTTTGCATGGATGGTTTCTACACCACGGTACCAGAATCTCGTCAACAACGAAATGGAGCAAACCTGCATTGGGAGACCACACAAGCTATTTGCATATGCCCAAAAGGAAAGCCCTTCTTTTCTCCGATCTGCCATTTGCCAGGGCTTGCATGGGAAAACCCAATACCCTCAGATCCAACTTTACAAGTGGCCAATCGAACCCTAGGAAGAAAGCCCTTCCCTGTGTTCTTTCTTCTATGTCTTACCCACGGCACTTCCGGCGCTCCCCGTCTTTCCCTTGTTTACTTCTCTTTCTATATTCATGCACGCTTAAACGGCTATGGGATCACCCGTTTTCTCCCATCGTTTGCTTCCATCCCCCTATCTCTCTCATCGCGTCAAGCAAGTGTTTATAAAAAGGATGCTTGCTGCTTCCTACGGACGATGTCCATTCTTCAGTCCCCATGTTCCCCTCTCGTCCGTCGACCTCATACTTTCCCTCCAAGCAAGTTTTGATAAGACCACTTCTCCAGCTACACCCACCACTTCATCCTCCGTTTCCTCACATTGCTTTCCACACGGTCGAGCAATCTATACAACGTTGCTTTGCCTAGAATGGAAAACAAGATCGAAAAGATGGAAGATCAGCTCTCCCATTGCGGAACAGAACCGAAAAAAGTGAGTCAATCTTCGGGGTCTTCCTTGTCACTGCCAGCAGAGGCTAACCCTTCGGACGAGATGCTGGATGTGGTGATTCGGGAGAGATATGTACTGGACACAATTCGCGCCCCGGAGGATTTCGCCCATGAGAAAGCCCACGAAGCCGCGGGATCAGCAACCCTGAGCGAACTCCCCAACGGAGATGTGGCTTTTGGAAACCCCAAGGGCCTTGAGACCCTGGCGCATGCATCTCAGTTCGAAGAAATCCACAAAGAGTTAGGCGACCTGAAACAGGAACTTGCTAAGGTTAATGAGAAACTCCGCGACCATGACCGACTTCTTGGAGACAGTAGAAGTTGGATGACAGTCAGAAACCGGATTTTTCTCACCTTTCTAAGATATCACAGCAAGAAAGGTTCTTCTTTCATATCAAGACTCGTCGATCCGTTTGGCTCGAAGCAGAAGCAACAGATCAAGGAATGCAACAAGCTCATCCACGAAGCGGACATGGTCACAGATATGCGAATGGTTAAGATGTGTCCCGAGAGCAGCGAATATCATGATGGTTTCGACATGTTCGACATGTACGAAATGATTTATTCATGTTCTCTCTCTGTTGCGGAGTGTCTAGAGGCCAACCGAATGACATACGCAATCAAGACAATTGACCAAATTGCAAGCTACGGACTCAGTGAAGAACATAGAATGTCTCGCGGTCAAGGAAAAGCAGCGAAAGAGTTAGAGTTATATCTTCAGGGAATCAACCCAGGAAAGGGTATTGCCCCGGAGGAAGCTCTAAAGCTGCAAAGTATTTGTGACGCGTTTCAAGCGGCCAAGGAATAGAATGTTTGATCTCTCAATATACTCCCATAGTTCTTGTTGATGTCACGCTTAGTTATGATTAATGCATTAGATATCTACTGAAATACCGTACCATTTCTTCACGTAGCAGAATTCCCCTTGGATTTCCGAACCTGTTCACCTCACTTACTCGTAGTTCAAGCCCAAATCAATCTATGAATACCGGTAACCCAGCCGAATTATCCTGGCCAGAGGACTGTCACTTCTTCGTCCTGGGAGAGCCTAGCCGGGGGCTTCGGGGCACTTGTATCTTCAAGGCAAAGAAAGACCTTGTGTGCAGTATTGACAGCTAGCCGCAATATTTGCGAATATTGAAGTATGTGGTTGTCTATTGGTAGGCGTCGCAGCTGACTGAAATAACCACTTGAAAACCGGATTATAGAAGTATCTGGACCTAATCAGATTCAGAAACGGTGGTTCTAAATTGTGATGGTCTTTCGACATGGTCTCCGTGAAATGGGCCATGAGTGTGAACCAGAAATGGACGAGGCCGTGAGATGAAGCGGAGGATGGGATATTAGAAGTTAAGACGGATACTGCTATCTTGAGAAGTTTTTCTTATTTAGAGAAGAAGAAAAAAAAGAAAAAGAAAGAAAGAAAGACATGAAACAAATAGAGCCGATCGTTGGGCGCAGAACCTTCTGATTATCGCTACCACGACTGTGGTCATTTTGTTGGGCTTCTAGTATGTTAAAAATCTCCTGGAATTGAGGAATCCGTTCTGATTTTCATAATCCCAATCTTTCTATCATACGTAACTTGCCAGAGATTATTATTTGACACAAAGTTCATCGACCAGAGAAAATTTAACGACGGCGCGCGGCGAAGGTAGTACTTATATTGAATATTATTATATTCCTATCGAAGTCTCCTATAGGGAGATCATTAGAGAACAGAAAAGGTCGGGAGACGGGCATCTATCCTTTCTATATTTATTCGGCAATGCTTCCTCTTTCTAGCAGCGCTACGGCTTTATTATTGGCAGTTGCTATCGTAGCTAAGAAGAAGATATTATCAGCGTTCAATTTAGATTTCTCGCTTAGAAAGCAGAAAAGCTTAACCGCTAGATCCCGTAGAGTTAAATGCAAAGCTTCTAAATAGACTGAATAAAATGTACTGTTAGACTACTATAGGTAGTTAGGTAAAAAAAGACGGCGTGAAAGCCTTCTACGGGTAGATACGGGGAAAACTCCAATTACTCACTTACATGTAGATTAAGCCCTATTGGATCTATAAACACCCGTAGCCCATCTAGATAGCCTGGTCAGAGAACTGGAGGCCTTAGTCAATCAGATGATGATGCAGAGTCCGCGCCTAACACCAGCCGTATTTGGATGCCATACCCCCCTATCCTATCCGGCCATAGCCACGTGCGGTGTGTTCACCCTCGTGTCGAAACATCCACCTTGACGTCTTTCCGTTCGGATAGTTCCACCACGTCGTCCAACTTTGCGATCTCAGCCCCAATGCCAGAGCACACATACTTATCAAATTTCCAAGTGGGAACCTTTTCCTGGAACATCTCATCCAGCTCTTCCAATGACCGTCGGCTAGTCTCCGGTACACAGAGCCACACAAAGAATAACGAGACGGCCGAGAACGCGCCGTAAATGAAAGTGACCCGCCCACCAATGGCACTCTGCACGTACGGATTGACAAAGTTGATCGGAACCGACGTGAGAAAGCTGCCCATGGATGCCAGGAACACCGTCCGCTCGCGAAGCTGGCCTGTTCCAATCTCCCCAGTGACAATCCAGCACCCCGGACTCAACGTGAAGCCGTAGATGCAATACCACAAGATCAGCAAAGCGGCACAGGCGTTCTTTGCTTGCGAGGAGAGGTCGGCGACCGTCGGACTCGATTCAATGGCGCCCTACGTGCCCAGCATTGTCGCAGCGTGGCCGACAGAGCCGAGGAAGAGGGAGTTGCGACGGCCCAGCTTGTCGAGCGTGATGAACGTAATGAAATGGGCCACAAAGGAACACCCGGTGACGAGGACGTTAGTCTTGAGGGGGTCTGGGAATCCCATCTGCTGCATAAAGGTGACGATAAGATTCTGGATGAATGAGACTCCTTGTGCTTGTTGGAGTATTTGAACGCCCATCGCCGCAACCGTTCGTCGGAGATTGGTGCCTTTGAAACAGTCCAACACCATCGTCGCTTTATGGAGCTCTCGTTGTTCGTCGATTTGAACTCGCAGCTTTTCAATCTCTTGCGGGATCGTCTCCGGGTGGTTGGATAGCTTTTTCATGACCGCTTCTGCTTCCGCAAATCTACCCCGGTAAACGAGATATCGGGGTGACTCGGGGAGGAAAGGGTAGGCGAGCAGATAGCCAACTGGGACGAATAGTTGGCAGCAGATCACGATCCTTAAAATCTTGTCAGCTTTTCGTTCAAGCATGAAGGAAATTGACAATGTCTATACAGATACTGAGAGCTATCGCTTCTGTTGCGGGATAGGTAGACAACAAGGGTTGCCATGAAAACGCCAAGCGACGTGAAGAATGAATAAAGCGACAGAAAGGCGCCTATGCTCTTAGGCACCATTCCGTCAAATAAGTGTTATACAAGACTTACCTCGAACACGCTGGGATGAACATTCCGATAAGTATGTTGGAACGACATTCGAAGCCAACCCAATCCCCGAGTAAACGATGATTCTCCCAACGGCCAGCTGCCAGAAAGACGTAACGGCACTCGCTTCCAAGATAACTCCCACGATCATAAGGCACGACAAGGTCATGAAGCCAATCTTGCGACCAAATCGTGAAGTGATGACTGGCGCCAGGATACAACCAAGGATGATACCCGCCGAGCCAGTTCCGGTTCCCACGGACGTCTTGTCAGAGGGAATCGCCCATTGATCACGATCCGCGTCATAAGCTCCATACTTGCGCTGGAATTCGGAGAGGCCCAAAGCTCCACCCCATCAGCCGTTGTCGAAACCAAAGCACGCCGTGAGGCCAATGAGGACCAGCCGCCAATTCAAGTCCTGGTATAATGGGGTCTGTTTGAGTGTGGCCAACATGATGTAAATCCTGCTGCACTGTCAGATGGCTGATATAAGACAGAATGCTAGATTTTAAATTATAGAAATCTTCAATATAAGCTTATATAGATATCCAACCCCACGGGGAAGGATCATCAAGCGGAGGAATTCAAGGCCTATCTCTCAGAACGCGGGGAAGATCATCAAAAGAGGCAACGCGAGCCACAGACTGCTAATTGAACTCTCTTGGCAAGATATAATCTACCACCTTAATCATGAGAAGTTTACTATGACCTAGCCTCTGTAGTCGATCATCGATGCATAGGCAAATAGTCAGCTCTTATGGGAAGGGAGATATCCAACTGGTAGGGTCAACAACGGTGTATCGCCTCCCTCCCCCCGCCCTCATATTCATCTAGACAGATAGCTAAGAATGATATTCCAGCCGAACCCAACAACCGATGTCACAACAACTCTCCATTGCCAGGGAACCCATAGAAAATTGACAAGAGCCACTGCGGGCCAGATCTTCCAACCGGCCTTCAAGATTCCGACAATACGAGATTCAATCTCGCGGAATAGGAGACTTGCGCTTTGGAGCCTTGCCCCTGTAGTGCAAGTAATGAATATGGCGTTTGTAAAATATAATCCAATAACAGCTTCCACAGGATATTGGACCAGTTGAGTCGATTTCGCGGAAAAGATTGAGCGTGGGGGGTTGATTCAACGACGACATTTTGAGTTGGGAAGAATCCCTCTGAAGTGCGCTGCCAGTACGAGACTAAAGGCGCCGAAACCATCCCAAGTATAGCAAATTCACCAACTCGAGCCCAGTCTGTTTCGGTGGGTGTTTCCGCTGGCCATTGTGATAGAGTCTGGGCCGTGAGGTTGGCGGCAGCTTTCAGGACAGCCGATTGAACGGTAACAATCAGAAGGGAGGGCATGATGGTATGAGATGGAATAATTGGTACTTTCACAGAGCTATACTTCATAGTGATTGTAAGTTTCATCTTATAGCAACGGCACACATGTCACCCCCACGTCCCAAATAGGCATCTTGAGCCATCCTTTCCTGATCCAGTTGTGCAGGACCGGCCCTTATCTATTTAGTGAGAGTGAAGGATTCCGCTATTAATTCCAACTAGAACCATCAGGAATATCTTATTCCATCCATCCGTCATGGCTGGGTTCCGAAAGTCACTATCCTTCTTTGCTGCATGTTGGGCTCTTTTGTCCACCTCCGTGGCTCTTCAAGGATGCCAGCTCCCAGAATCCCCACGACGCCGCCTCTTCCTGCTGAACGATATTGCAAACGAGCCAGATGATGCACAGTCGTTAGTTCGGCTGCTTGTATACGCCAACGAGTTCCAAATCAAAGGCCTAGTGGCTACCACAAGTTGGTGGCTCAATGACACGACCCGTCCTGATCAGATGAGCGACATCGTAGGCGGGTATGCCGAGTCGGTTGAAAATCTCAAGAAGCATGCCTCGGGATGGCCAGAGCCGGATGATTTGCTCGATCTCATCAAGTCAGGTTCAAGGTACGGGATGAACGGGGTGGGCGAGAACCAGAACAGCGAAGGTTCGGAGCTTCTCGTCGCGGCAGTGGACAAGTCGGAGGAACCGCTCTGGACTCCTGTATGGGGTGGTGCCAACACACTCGCGCAGGCACTCTGGTATGTGAACGCGACTCGATCGGCCGAAAGGTGGACGGCTTCGTTGCGAAACTGCGTGTGTACTCGATCTCCGACCAGGATAACAGCGATTCGACGGAACTGGCCGAATCTGTTCTACATTGCGAGCGTGCATGACTTCAACCGATATGCGAATGCTGCATGGGGAGGAATTTCGGGCGACGAGTACTATCACTTTCCTAGCAATGCAAACAAGGACGTCATCTCGAAATCGTGGATCAAACAGCATATCCAATCTGTGGGACCTCTTGGGGCCCAGTATCCAGATGGAGAGTTCATTATCGAAGGTGAGGTCCATTTCGCCTTGACGTACGCTCAGCTACTAACTGTACAAGGTGACTCACCGGCCTTGCTCTACATGATCCCGACTGGCCTTTCGGACCCAGAACACCCAGAATGGGGCTCTTGGGGAGGTCGATACGGTCCTGTGGCCTGGGGCGAAGGACATTTTGCCGATAGCATCGATACCATTATCAGTGAATCCGGGAGCACAATGATGGGTCCCCACGTCACGATCTAGAGATGGCGTACTGCATATCAGAACGATTTCAAAGAGCGAATGCAGTGGACTGTCCAACCCACGTTTGAAGAAGCAAATCATTCTCCTGTCGCTGTCGTGAACGGCAGCTCGGGCAGAGAAATTCTGGAATACACAGTCAAGCCTGGCGTGAAGATCATCCTGGATGCAACTGCTTCTTATGACCCAGATGGCGACCAGCTCTCTTTCAAGTGGTGGCAATATTTGGAGCCAAGTTCAAACCTCAACACTCCAAGGCGGGATGTGTTTGTTTTGAAGTTAGATGAAACCGACGCTTCGAGACTTTCGGTCGAGATACCCAACACTGCGATTGTGCGCATGCCGGGCAGAGGAGTCCATTCATATGCTGATAAGCACTTGCACATTATATTGGAGGTATCCGATGGAAATACTGTCGCTTATCGGCGAATAACATTGACTATAAAGGGGAGATTTGCTGTGGATGAATCTGCCCTGGAGAACTCGGGCCATGATGAATTGTGAAAACTACTTCAAACATGATTACTTCTGTACATATTCTGCTACTTGTATTCCATATATGTCCCTTGATTTTGAACCGATGAGATTCTGGCACCATGAAACCTTGATGAACTTAGGGCGAGGACCAATGACAATGGCCTTTACTTTCTGAAAAACTTGAGAGAGATCATGTATTCGGAATCCTCTATTGGATGAAATGGATTGGGTGTATCCAATCCAATGGTCAGCCCCCACTGTCAGGCGCATTCTTTAGCGTATGGAGTCGGTTGAATCAATCTTCTACAAGCTACTCTCTACATCAAGGGTTGATGTGGTAGACAGTCAGATAGTAAGACAGCAGTTCGTATACATAATATCATAGGATACCTCTTTCTAGGAAGTGTTTGAACAATTAACAGATTTATTGGTCAAATGAATCCAAGTATATAACCTTCCCTCTTGATATGATATCTATACCTTAGAATTCTTAGTGATCTATAGTTAGACTCGGCCCGCTCTAAAGCAACTGGTCTTTGTCCAAAGGAACCAAGTTTCCCGACAATATTTACACGTTATGCAAACTGTCTCTTACAGTGTCTAACTTGATTAATTGTTATGTCTTGTTCTATAATACTTCCCAGATAATATATATCAAAGTTCATAGGGATACAGACCCCCTTGGTATATTTACTGGATTTCCTGCCAAGACACGAGAGACAAGAAGATCGAGGAATGGTGATGGCAGCCTCAGGAATGCAATATACCCCAAGCGGGTTAGCGCGTCTGAGATCCGACGCGCCGCAAAGTCGCGGCGGAGGCTGGCCATCCGGAGACCTTCATTTATCTACTCCTACCCCGTACTCCTATGACATCTCGCTGTCTATTCTTCTTCCCTTGCTCGATGGACTGACCATCTTCAATCTCATCGCATCCAATCCCTCCTGACAACCCAAAAGCAAACCCCATCCGACGCGTCCAGTTCCCGTCTCCGACCCATCCCGCCACTCGAACCACGGTCTCGATCCTCTCCGAGATACCCACTTACCTGACCTACCTACCTACGAACCTCAGACGGGACCAAAAACTCCTCCAGACAAGATGATGTTCGCTACACCCATGCATCAACAATTCGTCCCCTTCACGCCCCTCCGCCCATCTCCTCTCTCGCCGCGTCGCGCAAACACCACGACCTCGCGCCCCATGACGACAACAACCACTACTGCGTCCTCCCCGACGTCGCCGTCACCGTCGCAATCGCAATCCCAATTCCACTTCCAACCACAATTCCAGTTCCAACCCAAACAACCCACAGATCCATTCACATTGCCATCGACCTCTCCTTCCCCCTCCCACTCCGCATTCACATTCTCCCCTCACCAAACACCCACATCTCCCTCCCCTCGCACATCCACAGCCACAGCCCCATCAACCTACGCGCACCGCTACGCCACCAAAATCTCCAACCCGCTACACAACCAACCGCGCTCCTACACGGCATCCTCGACGCCCACGGCGCGCTCGACGCGTCGCAACGCCTTCCTGAACCGCGTCAAGCGGGAGCGCGACGCGGGACGATTCGAGAACCGGGGCGAGCAGCTCGCGTTGATGGAGCATGTCGCGGAGGAGAAGAGATGGGGGGAGGTTATGCGGCGGAGGGCGGAGAGGTTAGCGATGGGGGAACTGGAATTGGATTATGACTATGAAGGTGAAGGTAGTGGTGGTGGTGATGTTGCAGAGGGTGAGGGGCAGGAGGTGGAGTTGAGCGTTGAAGGTATGGTGTCTATTTCCTTTCCTTTTCTATCTAGTGGGCTATGGCTAACTTTTGTATTCTCTGGTCTAGACGAAATCGCTCTAGAGGAGTACCTCAGACAGGAGGATGCGGCGCACATGGGGCCTTGGGGGTCTGGGTCTGGGTCTGATCATGCAGTAGCTACGGACCCCGGTCAGCTCGGTCAACTCGGTCAGGGCGGTAACAATGGAACCAAAGATGGCGGCTCGTTCAGTGACGAAGAGTACGATGATATCTTTATGGATTTGGCGCAGCCGCCTAGTCAAGATATGGATATGAGTGGGTGAGGTGAGAGGTCATGTCAGATGTGATTATTCGATTGCTTGTCTTGTGTGTCGGATTCATACGGAGTATCTATTGCTTGGGTTCCTTCGGAGAGGCTACTCTGTCCCGGGGTACTGGTGATGGCGTTTTTTGTTTGATGTTTGATTGTACATAGTACAGACGGACCGGGTTTATAGACTGTGAATAAGGGTATCGACATATATGTACAGTACAAAGGTGGCAGGTTAATGAAATAAAAGAGAGCCTAGCCTCATGCAAGATGACAGTGTCCACTACTCCGTATGTCTTGTGAAATTACTGCTGCGGGCAGTCCGGAACACCTCCTTTCGAGTCGTCCCAGGGATTGGCAACCAGTTCCTCGGGAGGGTTGCCGGCCGATTGCATCTGAAAAGTCCAAGTCAGTTGACGTTATCGATTTCGGGCTGAGAGAAAAACTCACTGCTTGCATCTTCTCCCACACGTACTCGCGACACTTCGAGTCCTCGTCCGTGTACCCCGGTTCCTCGAACTTGGTCACGATCTCGCTGACAATGCCGGCCTGCATCTCGTACCGACTCATGTCCTCATCAGACACCTTGCCCTTGCCCTTATTCTCCGCGATCCACGGTCCGAATTTCGTATGCAGCTCCTTCATAGGCTCGTACAGCATCTCCTTGTTCGAGAGCTGCTCCATCATCCCCATAAACATCTTCGCCAGATCCCCGTCCTCTCCGTCTCCCTCACCGGCGCCCGCACCCGCCTCCACGGCCTTCAGTAGCTGCGCCAGCAGATCATCCGAGATGTCGTCCTCCGACGCCGCCGCCGTCGCCTTATCGCCCGACTCTTTCATACGGTTAATTGTCCGATAAATCGCATCGTTGAATGATTCCGGCGCCGGCGCTCCTCCCTTCTTATCGCCCCCCGCAGCAGAAGTCGACGCAGCAGCCGCGGCACCCGCACCCGCAGCGGTAGCAGCGCCCGTGGCCGCCGCCGCGCCAGCTCCCAGATTAGCGCCTGACACGCCCTCTTCGGCCATGACGTCGGCCAACAGCTGCTTGATGAAGTCGCCCGGCGGGATGCCGCTTTCTTCGAGTTGCTTGGTGAAGGCGTCGGCGCCTTGCTCAATGTCCGCGAGGTGGGCGCTGTCCGCGGCGGATCCGGAATGCTGGCCCATCATGTTCGCCATATCTTTTTCGAGTTGCTTCATGAAGGCCGCTTCGTCGAAGTCGGCATCAGCATCGAGAGGGGCGCCGCCTGACGCGCCGGCGGCGGTAGTTGTAGTAGGAGCGGCGGCATCTTTGGGCGCGGTGGGTTTGAAGTTATCGAGGACGTCTGCAGAGGGTAGAATTACATGTTAGTTCACGTATGCCAAGTGGATGATGACTGAGATGGATTGATGAGGCGACGAAGTTCAGTTGTAGCGGCCATGCTTGGTGGATGTGCGCGGAGAGGATTTTGGCGGGGTTAAGTGGGTTTGGTATCAACCTACCGTCTAGCTCGTCAAAGTCGGAGTCATCATCGTCGTCATCATCTTGCGCGGCAGTCTGGCTAGGTTGTTTCTGGGCTTGCGATTGCGTTGAATCTGTCGATGTCGATGGGGGATTCGTGTTCGCGTTGTCTGAGCTGCTCTTCTCCTCCGTTGTGGTGGTCTGTTCGGCGGGGAGTTCCTCGCGAGGATCGACCGCGGGCGGCGCCGAGGAGGCCATTCTATCTGACTGGTCGAAGTACCGGTTGCAGATGCAAGGAGAAGGATGTAATGAGCGGAAAGGATGCAAAAGGGAAGGGAGTTCGAGATGGCGCTGGGATGGAATGAATCTACTCTACGGAGGAAGAGGATCGCATGTGAAGATTGAGAGAAATGGAGGAGCGGAAGACATGACTAAGCCGAGAGGCGGAGAAAGCCGACGAGCCGACCGCCGCGGTTGTTCGACTATGGGATGAAAGTGTACAGAGTAGTAGTTACTTCATACCGGGAGGTCCTCTGTTCTAGTACTGGTATAAAAGAATTGGGATAATCCGACTGCAGGGTTGGGGACGGAGAGAACGAGTTCCAGGGAAGGCCATCGTGGCCAAGGAACAACATACATACCACCTCAAAGTATGTACTTCGTATCTCGGTACTCCGAGGCGTCCGACGAGCTTCTAGATCCTACTCTGGAGTCCTCTCATTCCAATGCCAAGTCTGAAGTCATACTCGGTGTACTTTCCAGCTGGTTACATCGGTCGTCGGTAGGTCGTGGACTACCCAGCTAGAGGAATCTGTCCTGTCGATCCCTGCCAAGCGACCGGCTCGATCAGACCATCGCCCTGGCCTCAGATGATCGCATTCCATCCCACGGTGGCTGAACCTCGTGATGTCCTTCTCCCCGGTGAGAGCTGAGAAGACAGACTGGCAGTGCAACAGACGCTAAGAGAGGGACTCGCACTCGGTACCGGTGTGCCTGTATTGTGTACTGTACTCTGTTCAGGGGCATTCCCGGGGTACTCTCCAGTGGTGCTCATCCTGAAGCGACTCGAGAGTCGAGACTCGAGAGAATCTACTACTCCGTAGTCCGTACTCCAGTCCATAGCAAATCACCCCGGAAATGCCTCCCCCAAGTCACATGTCATTCCACGCGAGACCTGAGACAGTTATTATGATATATATTATATAATAGCATTGAATAGCCTCGAATAGAATACCGTAAGGGCCGTAACTGCCATACGGAAAACTCTGACGGGGGCGAGTGACGGTCGGTCCCAAGCGGAACTTCTCCGCGGGCAAAACGCGCCTCCATTCGACGCCTCTCCAACAAGCCATCTCTAACGAACTACTCCAACTCTCGTGGTCGGAAGGGGTTTTGACTCCGACGAGGGGAGCCAGCCAGGAGATACAGTACATGTTTTGCAACATTCCTTGGTGATGAAGGCCGACGTTGGTTGCTCGTTCGGTCAGAGTCGGCCTGTTGTTGACCAGCGTTCCAGGCTTCCAGCTGGTTGCCAATTGCCTGTCACCGACTTCTCTCCACTCGTTGCCTGCATGGGGTCAAATAGGCGAAACGGAGGCAGTGACGAGTCTGGTGCCTCGAACTAAGCGGATCTTCGGCCGGGTCTGACCTTGAGAAGTGGATCGCGTCGTGCCGTCGCCGAGAGAGAAGATTCTTACCTGTACCTGCGAAGGGGAGAGGGGGAAATGATCTCATCTGAGGGGATTCTGTATTCTGTCATTTTTCATCTTTCTTTGTTTTCTTTCACTTTTAAAGTCTTGGGAGGTCGATAGTTGGAGGATGGAGGAAGGACAGAGGGACGGGTAAGGAAAGGAAAGGAAAGAAATAATAATAAATAATGTAGAGACAAACGGAACCCCTCATCCGCCGTCGTCTGCCTGACCCAAACCGACACAGCGAACCTTTCTTTCTCCATCGTTGGTTCCTCCCGCACTTTTTCTTTTTTTTTTCTTTTTTCTTTTTCCTTTTTTCCCTCGTGCTCTTTTTTTTCCTTAATAACAATCCGGTTCTTTTTAGTAAATAATTTTACCTCACATCTTTCCCACACCTCCCCTTCTTCCTCCCTCTTTGCCTGCCCATCTCACCGTGCTGGTTATCTCTTTATCCATCGTCAATTTCCTTTATGTCACGCCTTTTACTGGCCCTCTTGCTAATCTCTGGCTTTACTCGCACGTCCCTTCCATCCGCCCAGCCGCGCGTTTCTTGCGCCTGATTCTTGTCTATCCCGTTGATTGTTCGCTTTAACCCACCCCGCCGGGGGAAAAAGGTTCCTGTTCTACGTATTTTTTTTTTATTCTTTATTTTTTTTTTTCTCCGGTGGTGTTTCTTGTCTACCCTAGAGCTGGTTAATCAGTCCACGACCATATCGGGGGTCGGTGTATCTGGGGTTTGATCGATTCCATTTTGGTCCCTATTCTTTTTTACCTTCTTTTTGATTTTTTATTTGATCTTTCTCCTCGCGGATCAGGTGTGATTCACCACACGTAAGGGGAGAAACGACGTCATTATAAAAAAGAAAGGAAAGGAAAGAAGACAGAGGGTGATAATCGTGTCTCCCTCAATATAATCCCAATGGTCTCTATGGTGGACACGTCGCATTCAAATCAAAATGACATGGAGGTCGTACCTAAGCCCGAACCTCCCATCGAGGGATCAATCAGTTCCGCCGTGTCGACGCCCGAAGCTGAGGGCGAGATCCTGACGCAGGACGTGGCCCAGACGCAAAAGCGAAAGGGAGGAAGGAAACCTGTACGTAAGAAAAAAAAAAACGAAGCAGCATCTTCCCCCTTTGTGAAATCCGGGGCCCCGCATTTTATCCTGGATTGTCGGCCCTTTTATCTTCTTTCTTTTATCTTCCTTTATCTTGTTTGCTTTATCGCTCTATCATTCTATCGTTCCTTCATCCATTTATCAGCGGCGTTATGCATCACAGCTCGTCCTGATTGATCGATTGTCTCTCCCTTATCACCTCACGCCCCCCTTCCTTTACCCCTTGTCCTTCTACCATTTGTTCCTTGTCTGTTCTGATCTCCGTCGGGCCCCGATCCTTTCTACTTTTACTTTCATTCTTTTTGTGTCTTATCTTTCGGTTTATTGACCCAGCTCCCTAGATCTATGCCACCTCCGAAGAGCGTAAGCAACGCAATCGGCAGGCCCAGGCTGCGTTTCGTGAGCGTCGCACTGAATACATTCGCCAACTCGAATCTACTATCAAGCGCAATGAAGATACCCTGCAGACCCTGCAACAAAATCATCGGACGGCTGCCGACGAGTGTCTGATGCTGCGCTATAAGAACTCTCTTCTAGAGCGTATCTTGCTTGAGAAAGGTACGTCATAGTCCCTGACTTTTCTCTGTCCCTTATCTTTCCTTCTTTCTTCATTTCTCTTACGTCACATTCAATTCCATCGTCCTAAATATCTGTTCCCTTCGATCTAACTTCCATCAGGTATCGATGTCCAAGCGGAATTGCGCCTGAAGGCCGCCACTCCCGGCGGCGGCAAACCCAACCCCATGGCGGCCAAGCCGCCGTCCTTAGAACGGGCGGCAATCAATCGAAATACGGCCCAGCGACATCCGACCGGCATCGCGCCCAAGGGAGAGCCGTTTGGTCTCTCACAGAACCGTGATGGTGCATACGGCATACCGTCGCCTCAATACCAAGGCACGCCCTCATCGCACGTGTCCTCCCCGTCCCATGCCAAGTCCCCGGGCTTTGGCTTCCAGGGCGCCATGTCGCCGGTGGGCGTCGATCCACAACAGGCGCAGCAATCTCGGTCGCAGATGCTGTCGCATTCTCGAAATATCAGTCAAGCATCTCCACCTATGAGTGTCGCGCCGTCGCAAGCAAGCGAACCCAAGTCCGCCGTGCCCGGAACTGGTCCTCGCGCTGCTCGCGTTTCCTCTGCATATTATCCTTCCCCATTCCAAAAGCATTATGACCAACTGGGTAAGTCGATCGCATCTCATGAGAACCAATATTCCAGGGCAGGCGGACTAACTAGAGCGATCAGAACAAGAATATGACGCCCAAGCGGACCTTATTGATGATGAGCATGAATCGTCGGTCGGAGCGTCTCCGTATGTGTCTGGCTTTAATCCGGCAGCATCAGTACCCTCTGGCTCGCATTCCATGGGAGCTCAGAGTCTCGGGCACTTCAATCCTCACGCGGCGGAAGGATCCAACGGCGCCTATAACAATCCAAATCAACTTCTCGGCAATTACGAGCCCATGTTAGATGCAGATCCCTTCGGACTCAGCGCCAGCATGCATTTCCAGACTCCCTTCAGCTACGAGCAAAATAGTACCCGCCATTAACTCTCAACCTTGTCATCTTTGTTCGGTTTGTTCTTCTTGCGTCACGATCCGCTCATGATCCGCCGACTTTTCATATCATATCAAAAACGACAGCATCTGTCGGAATTTCTTTCTATCATAATTTCTTTCTATTTTTTTTCTCTTCTCTTTACTTTCTCATCTCTCCTCCCATGATCATTCTATCCTGATCTTGCATCTTTCGTCATGGAACCGGAAGACAAAAGTTTTATACTTATATTACTTCGGAGCATTTTCTCGGCGCACGCGGTTGATACCATTTGTTTCTGCTGGTCATTTTGTTCGATGCAAAACAACCCCACAAAAGAAAGAAGAAGAATGGTTACTTGATTTGATTTGATTTTCAGCCCGAAAAAGGAAAAACACCAGAAAGACGGATAACGAAACTGAAGATAAAAAATTGTTGGACCGGAAAGAGACAGGGAAAAATGGACAAAAAAAAAACTGCAACACGAGAAACAAAACAAAAACAAACTTTGATATGAGACTTACTTCCTACTTTATCTTACATATGGATACATTTGATTATCATGTACATGATTATTAGCAATAATGTTGATGTTGGTTCAGCCGAGCTAGACTGTGTCTGTTCGGTCGACGACGAATGTTTTTCTCTCTACTCTACGATGAACATGTTGATAATTCTTTCCTTTAACTATCTTTTTCACCCGCAATTGCTTGATGAGACGCCTGAATACCGTATGGACGGGGGTCCATCTCATGGGATTCTAGGCTTGTTACTTGTTGTTCTCTAGGTACACTTACTAAGTAATACTTTCCACATGATATCCCATTCCAATTTCAACCCCTAATCCTTCACCGTTACACCATAGACAGTAGTTAGAAAGATGAGAAAAGTAACTACCTACCCACCTCCATAAACCCGAACTGAAAGCCCGGCAGAACGCAAACACACAACAACCTCCCTTCCCTTCCCTTCCTTTCATCCCCTCTCAAGACCATCCAAACAAACACAAACCAACGAACCAACTAGCACAGCCCAGCTCCGGGCCGTTTGAACCGGACCCGTATAACAAACCCTGCCGGTCTCACATGTACATAAAGTCATGTACATACATAAGGAAAGACCTTTCCTTTCGATGCTGATCTGGCGTTACCCATGGAATGATGTCATGCCAAAGACCACCTCTACGGAGCACCTAACTACACCCTAGTGAGCCATAGATGGGAGCTTCGATTCAGCGATCGACCCTCTCAAATACCTACTCCGTCCGGATAGACAGCGCGGAGTTGTATATTCCTGCCTGAAGGGTAAGGCATAAATCACCACAATGGCTGCCTGACCCATCAGGCATCTGAGATTGGAACCAAGTCACATGACCTAAAGTCTAAAAAACCACAACCGTCACGAGATCATCTGGGTGTGTACAAGATAGAAGATAACGGGTTCTGTATGGGCTTTACGGTTTGTAGGGCGCTGGAATCACCTGATCCTCGGTGTTTTATGTGAAAGTTACGTATCTGGTTAATATAGGTGCTGGCTATCAGACTCTCGTCTCGAATTTGGATTATTGGCGTTTTTGAGGCCGTGGGAGGGGGGTTTGTATCGTGGGGTAGATTTGTTGGGGAGGTTTTTGGGAGGAGGGGAGGGTTGGGCGGTCTGGGTGGCGGTGTCTAACTGGGACGATGGTTGCATACAGATGAGACAGGTCTCAAGCCCGTGCTATTTATCTTTCTTCATTTGTCTAAGCGGGTTAGGTATTAGGACGGTGAAAGTATGTTTCTTATGCAATATGCTTCGCTTGCTATATACAATGTACGAGCCTTCGTAAACAAAAGGGTATTCATGTCTGTATCTGCAAAGGATCTCGATGATCATGGCCTGTCCTATCACCGACGATGAGACGCCAGACTAGTCGAGCCACTCACACTGAGGCTTCGACTCGTCGTGGCATCGTCTCCATCTTCCTCCGGTGATGCCATCGCCACGCCAACTCGGAAGATACCCTCGCACCACTCTGAAAACGTATCGACGTCCCAGACGGCGTCCTCGCGCCCTTTACCCTTCCGCGTACTGACCGCGTGCCCCTTGCTCTTCTCTGTGGAGATGTACTTGTCGAAGAAATCCTCGTAGATCTGGATGACGCGGTCCTGGACCGCGCCGACGAGAGTCTCCCGCATGCGCGTGTCGTCGAGGTAGTCGACCAGGCACTTGCGGAGGGCGGGGACCTCGGACTCGATGGTGCGGCAGGTGGGGAAGATGAGTTCACCGCGCTGGAGGTTCCGTGTGTCGATGAATTGGGCGGGGAGGGAGGCGGTCATTTTCGTGGCGAAGCCGTCGATGAAGTCGTTGATGACGGTGCGGAGACGTCCGTCCAGCTCGACCTTGGCGTCGAGCATGTTCTCGACGACCCGCGGGAGGAGGCCGTGCCCGACGAGTCGCATCAGGTTGCGCGGGTTGAAGAGACCGCCGCGTTCGCGCAGCTCCCAGAAGGTATTGGTCATGCCGGAGAAGTCGAAGGAGACCTCTGGGGCGACATATTCAATGTCGAAGGCGACGATTTGCTGTTTGAGGATGAGAAGGTGGCTCATGAGGAAGAGTTGGCTGTCTGTGGCAGATTTGCTGGACATGAGGGAGCTCGCGTAGTGGAGGGATAGGATGGTTTGGTGGACGATTTGGTGTGCTAGGTCATCGAAGACGGTGGACTGGTCGTACATTTATTAGTTTGGGCGCTCATAAATTATGGAAAACGGGGATAGAGAGAATTACATTGACTAGTCGGTATATCCGGCTCAAAAGCCATATGGCCTTACGCAGGGTTGGATACCAGCCACTCAAGGCGGTTTGCGATTCAAAATCCCACTTGGAGTCTTGATCCGGGGGCGCGTCGGTACCGTCTTCGGCTTGCTTGCCTGGAGCGGATAGGTTCACCAAGGCATCTGCAGGCGCAACCTTCCGGCCCGAGATCTGGCCTTCAGTGACTGTGATTGAGACCGGTCGGTTGCGAGCTGGGTAATCGAGATCTTCCGGCCGGGGTTTGTACCGTTCGATTTCATCGCGAAGGAAAGCCTGCGCTCGGAAGACGAGGCGCGTTTGAACATCCTCCAGCGCAGGCTGAATCAGAGAGGAGAAATCGAGTTGGTTGACATCTGTGTGCTCTGTTTCTTCCTCCTGATCGAACAGATAGCGGGTCTGGAGTAGAGTGCAGAGTTGGCAGAGTCGGATGATCTTGTCTTCGTGAATGATCTTGGGTCGGAGGTGATCGTAGAGAGGTTCGGATAGCGTCTCCAGAAAATCGTATAAGCCGCCCTGGCCATGGAACCATTCTCCCCACAGATCAAATTCGTCCAAGCACACGCCGCGCACGTAGCTGATACTTCCGCGGGCGAAAGCGACAAGGTCCTTTGAAGTGCTCGGGGCCTGCGCGATATCATTGAGGTTCTTGTGCACCAGCGGAATGATGAGTTTGCCACGCGTGGCAGCATAGTTGGCATGAAGTTCGTTAAGAAGACTCTGGTATTCAGCTTCCGTCCCTTGGTCAGGGTCCAAAGGAGGGACGGCTCTCTTTTGGATTTCAAGACCAATTTGCTTCAGTTCTGGTGCCCCAACCCTGAATTTGGCGTAGAGTAGGGCGGACATCGTTGTGTCATTGAGTTGCTTGTCCGCGATCTTCTTGGAAGCGCTTAGGTACACGTCACGCAGGGCGGCAACAAAGTGTCCTCGGATGAGGGTCAGAGCACGGGTCAGAAGTAGCCTGTACCTAGACCGATATACACTGGATTCCTTTTGATCCGGCTGTTCGAGAGTCAGTAAGCTTTCCTTGAACGCTGCTTATCCGGGTGATACGAACATGCGTCTCCATATAGTCCAAGCACTCGTCTAGCCGTCTGAGCATATCCGAGAAGTCCTGCCCGCGAACAGTGTTGCCCGCACCCGGCGCATTGAGCCTTCTGGACGCAGGGTCTAGGAACTCGTAATACTGGAGGTTCTCCTGGATGTCTAACGCCAATTCCGAGTCCCGTTTTTGAGCAGATAAGAGACCTTCGCATTGTTTCTGAAATTTAGAGGTCTGCAATTCCACCGCCTGGAAGTCCTGGGACAGACTGCTGAGAACGTCGAGGGTAGAGGAGGTGTCGGTCAAGAGGGAGTCGAGGTGGGATTTGGACATCTGTAATTCATGAAGACACGCTCTAATCCCCATAATGGTCAGCCTGGCTCCTTTGCCTAGCGTGCGCCCGCAACAGCACTTACTGGTACTCATCGTAGCTAGTTTCCAGCAAACTGTCCTCCACTTCGTTATACCATTCGATGAAGTCTAGCTCATTATGAATTTCCGCAATCGCATCCAGGCCCTCTGGCTCGGCTTTGGTCTCCTCCGCCTCCTGAGCCTGGAACTGCTGAGGCGGGCGAGACGGGACTGTTTGTCGACGAGATCGCGGTCCCTTTGTCTGCTGGCGCATTGTGAGGGTGTAGTCGTTTGACGATCGTGAGTCTCTGCTCTTCAACCTTCAACCCTATAATGAAAAGAAAAAGTCCCGCAGTCCGCCCATCAGCCACAACAAAACGGCGGGTCTCTAATGGTCAAACTTGTCCTCCGCTGGCCGCTTCAATGCGGTATTCTGCCGCCGCCCTCCGCCTCCGCTCCGACTGACGCAAGTCTCTCGGAGCTGGACACTTTTGCCTTCTGTTTCTGCGGGGAAAGCTAATTACTGAGACTCACCCACTCTTGCTTCAGGAGTACACATTATGCACCTTTGAGGAGACTCAGGTCACAGGGCAATATGTGGACAGCTCGCTCGCGACAATCGGCGACGACCATCGTCGCCACCTCTCGCCGTCTTGCTCGAAATGGTCGGTCTGCCATACGGGAGCAAAAGAGATATGCCAGCAATCGTCCGAGGGTAGGAAGCCAGTCTGGCTCTTCGTCGCATTGGTTTCGCAATTCACTGGGTCTTGCAGGAACAGCAACTGCCGCGTTCGTGGCCTATTCGTACCTAACGAGCCCCGGAATTCGGATCGAGAACCCATTAGACCCAAATGCGAAAACCCTGTCGAAGGTTACTGGGGAATTGGGTCCCGAACTCATTCAAAAGAAAAGGAGTGTGAAAAGTCCGGGTGTCTATGTGTGGGGAACGAATACCCACCGTGTTGTTGATCCGGACTCGAAGGAGACTGTGGTCAAGACCCCTCGGAGGATCTCTTATTTCGACGACCAGGTGCTGAGGGATCTGAAAGTCGGTGATAAATCCGGTGCTGCAATTACTGATAAAGGCGACCTGGTTCAATGGGGCAAAGGCTATTCAGAGACGGACTTCAAGCCTACGAAGACTCTTACTGGCAAGAACCTAACCTCCTTATGTATGTCCAATGATCGGATTCTTGCTCTGTCCTCCGACGGAAGCGTTTACTCCCTGCCGATTGCGAGGGACGATCAAACCTCTGGTCGTAAGCTCAAGGAAGGCTCCTGGGTGCCCTTCTGGTCCGGAACGGCCGGAGTAAGCTATCGGCTGCTTCAGCCAAGCCTAAAATTGGGCGAAAGGATCACTTCTATCAGTGGTGGATTGGAGCATGCCCTTCTGCTTACAAGCAGTGGCAGAGTTTTCTCCGTTGCCTCATCCACTGAGAGCTACCCTTCTCACGGACAACTAGGTGTGCCGGGTCTGACATGGGCCACCCGACCCCAAGGTCCAGTTGATACCTGCCATGAAGTCACGGCGCTCAAGGGATTCAAGATTGCACAGATAGCCACCGGAGACTATCATTCCCTGGCCCTTAGCAAGGATGGCAGCGTATTTGCTTTTGGCGACAACTCATTTGGTCAGTTGGGAATGGAATTTGATCCGTCATTGCCATTCAGCGATACTCCTACCGTGATCCCCATCGAGAGGCTTTACCGTGGTAATATCTGGTTTCCCAAAGCCACCAGGATTGCAGCTGGTGGCGCCAACAGCTTCTTCACTGTGGACGCCAAACGGATTGTGGGCCCCGGAGAAAATCCTTCGGCAATCCGTGATCTAGACCGTATCACCGCCGACACTTGGACCTGTGGCCGAGGCATTTGGGGTGCTCTCGGGAATGGAAAGTGGGTTCATCTGCAAGATTCTCCCACCAAGGTGAAGCCATTGAGTGGTCTGTTTGAATACGATGAGCGAAAGAAGACACTATCTCCCATCCGGTTACACGAGATCTCCGTGGGAACAACGCATGTTTCGGCAGTCATGGACAACAAAACCCATATGGACGCTTCTCCGACATCATCTTTAGACAACGACAAGGATTGGGGCTTTGATGCGCTCTGGTGGGGAGGAAACGAGCACTTTCAGCTCGGAACGGGCAAGAGGAGCAACCTGTCCAAACCCAGCTACATCCTCGCACCTCACGAGGGTTCCAAGGAAGACAAAAAGGAAGAGGCGCGACTCCAGATCATGCCTCGCCATAAGAGCAAGGTCGGTTCGCGCACCGTCAGTATGGAGCAGCACGTTGTGTGTGGAAGGCATGTTTCTGCCATCTACTCTTCTGTATAATCGTTCCCTGAATATAGGGACACATTTGTATTATTCGATGTATTAAGGAGTTCTGTATCATGTCATCAAAATGAACAATCTCATGTGTTGAGCATCCATCCTCGTCGCATGTAACTATCGGTTGAGGCGTAGAGTGCAAACCGAGCAAACACCGTTCGATTCCGCGGAAGTAACGCTCGGACCAACGCTTATCCAAAAAATTTCCCTGCGCAAAAAAGAATCCAGTCCGACCAACTATTTTCCACCAGCCAGGAATTAGTGCACCATGCCCCGTGAAAACCAGAAACGAGGCCGCCGTGCCGCCGAAAAGGCCGAAAAAGATGCATCGAAGCGAAAGCGCGACGAAGCTCCCGAAGATGCCGCGCCCAAGCGATTGAAGCCCTCGACGGACGAGATGGAGATCGAGACCCCCGAGTTCAACGAAGGCGCCGACTACATTCCCCTCGAAGAACCTCAAGATCAAGAACAAGGACAGGATGGCGCGCCGTCGAGTGACATGCCGTTCTACGGTCTTCTCGATCCCGAAGAGCAGGAGTATTTCTCCCGCGCCGGCGAGATGCTGGAATTGAATCAGTTTCAGGACGCGGAGGAGCGGCGACTATTTATCGATAGCGTGTACAGGGAGGCCAACGGCAAGGAGTTGAAGATCGCATGCAGTCAGTCTTGCTCCCGACTCATGGAGAAACTTATGTCGATGTCCGACATACGCCAGATCCGGAGATTGTTCAATAAGTTCCTGGGCCATTTCCTGCACCTCGTTCAGCATCGGTTCGCGAGTCATTGCTGCGAAACACTGTTCATCAACGCGGCGCCTGGTGTGACGCAAAAACCATCCAAGACCAAGGAGATCAAAGACTACGGTGATGAGGAGGACGAGCCGGAACCCGAGCTGTCGCTTGCGGAGATGTTCATGCAGGTCGTCCAGGAGCTGGAAGGAAACTGGGGATACTTGTTGACGGAACGTTTCGCATCGCATACAATCCGAGTCCTTCTGTTGGTTCTTGCAGGTGAGCCGGTCGATCTCTCAACAAGCGACTCGGTTGTCGCGAGCCGAAAGAAGGAGAGAGTGGGCACCGTGAACGCCGAAACGACACAGAATGGAGATGCTGCTCCGCAGAAAAAGGGAGTGCCGGAGAAATTCGAAACCACATTGAAGAAGATCATGAGCGATATGGTGTCTGTGCTGGATGATACCTATCTGAGGGCATTGGCCACCCACCCCGTGGGTAACCCCGTACTTCAGGTGCTGGTTTCTTTGGAACTGTCCCATTTCGGAAAGTCGAGTGCGAAGGATCCGAAATCAATCACGAGAAGACTCATTCCCGACGAGAACTTTGAAGAGGGCTCCGAGACGTCGAATTTCATCCGGGGTCTGCTGTACGATCCCGTGGGATCTCGCCTTCTAGAAACCATTGTGCGCTGCATGCCTGGAAAACTCTTCAAAAGTCTTTACAAGAACTTCATGCGCGATCAGATCGCCTCGTTTGCTCGCAACACCACTGCCGGATACGTTGTTCTCCGGGTGCTAGAAAGACTTGGAAAGGACGATCTTCAGAGTGCTATGGAGTCGATCGTTAAGCAAATTCCCAATCTTCTTGAGCGGTCTCGGACAAATGTGCCTAAAGTGCTGATCGAGCGATGCGTGGTACGAGGCGTCAACACGGCGCCGCTTGCTCAATCTATGGAAGCTGCCTACGACAAAGACCCCGCCAAAAGACTGAATCAAATTCTACGCCTCGAGGAAACCGCTCAGGACAACGAAGGACCCGAATCGCAATCGAAAGATCCTGGCTCTGGTCAAGCATCTAACGCGGAGAAACTGCACGGCTCGCTGCTTGCCCAAACGATGTTGACAGCCCCCGGACCGATGAGCGGACTGATTTTCTCGAGCTTGCTAGCCCAGTCGTCCGAGACGCTCCTACAGCTGGCCAAGGACCCTACCGCCTCCCGAGTCCTCCAGCAGTCTCTTACTCTCCCGACTTCCACGCCTCAATTCCGCCGACAGTTTACCACGCGGTTCACTAGTCATCTAAAGGACCTTGCGCTCGACAGCAGTGGATCCCACGTCGTGGATTCCTTATGGACAGCCACTCAAGATCTTTATTTCGTCAAGGAGCGAATGGCGCAGGAATTGGCGCAACATGAGTTTGCACTTCGAGATTCCTTCGTCGGTCGCGCCGTCTGGAGAAACTGGTCCATGGATCTGTACAAACGACGACGGGGAGAATGGGCAGCTAAGGCTAAGGGCATTGATCGTCAGGACGGTTCTGGAGAACGACCGAAGTCGAAGATCGAGCTGGCACGGGAGAGGTATGCTGCGAAGGCGGGGGAAAACAAGGCAAAAGACAACCCGAATTTTGTGGCTGTGAAGAATAAATAATCGAAGGATGCCTGAAGGATGGATGGATGATTGAATGTATTTACTCTCAAGCTAGATTTTCTTCGATCTTGAGGCCTGCATGGAGTCAGGTGATTAACCGCGGGGTGCAAAAATAAAAAAAGAAAATTACCCCAAAAGTCTTAAAAGGATCGTACATACTACATACAATCAACACTCAACATCCATAGAGATGATCGCCAGATCCACTCCAGACACCAGTGCTTGTCAACCATGCAGTGCCGTCCATTCGACATGATGTCAGACCCGCTCGCCCTCTCGCCATCTTTTCTCCACCGAGATCGGGAGGGGCGTATCCTCGGGTTCGGTCATAGGTAGAGGAATTCTCCGGCTTCTGAAGTCTCATAAAATGCGCAATTGATTCACCGCAATTCGACCCTTATAAACTCACATCACGTTGAACTGCTCTACAAATTCCTGTTTTCAACTCGAGCATTGAACAGCATAGATGGCCGTGCCCGCAGCGTCTAGTCGCGCAGACGAAGTGCGAAATGTGAGTCAGACTACCTGAGCCGATTACTCCCAGCACCCATTGGTGGAATTTGGACCTGTTGCTAATCGTTTAATCCTGGACCAGCTTCTGAGCGCCGTCGAAGACCTTCTTATCCCTTTTATCCGCTCCGCAGACGAAGACTCCCTGAACAAAGTGCAGCAGTTGAAAAATGGCGTGAACGGATCCAATGGCTTGAACGGAGACCACCAGCACCCGAGTACCTCGTTGGTCGACTACAAGAAGCCCGACGAATTGCAAAAGATTCTCCAATTACAGCTTCCAGAGCAAGGTACGGGGCAGAATGGCTTGGTCGAAGTTCTCCAGAAGGTCCTGCGCTACTCCGTCAACACCTGGCACCAGGGTTTTCTCGACAAGCTGTATGCCTCGACCAATGCCCCAGGAGTCGCCTCGGAGCTGATCCTGGCGGCTCTGAACACAAACGTTCACGTGTATCAGGTGTCGCCGGCCTTGACGGTGATCGAGAAGTATACCGGACGGCAGCTGGCCGAGCTCTTCGGGCTGAACGGCCCTCGAGCCGGGGGTATTTCGGTGCAGGGCGGTTCCGCGTCCAACACGACGTCGATCGTCATTGCGCGCAACAACCTATTCCCAAGCACGAAAAAGGATGGAAACGGCGATTACCGGTTCGTACTGTTCACCAGCGCCCACGGTCACTACAGTATCGAGAAGGCGGCGCAGATGTTGGGTCTTGGAAGCAGCTCGGTCTGGTCGGTTCCCGTGGACAAGCAGGGCCGGATGATTGCGTCCGAACTGGAAAAACTGGTTCAGAAGGCGCTGAAGGAGAGTCGGACGCCATTCTACGTCAACGCGACTGCCGGATCGACCGTCATGGGGTCCTTCGACCCCTTCAACGAGATTGCCGCCATCTGTAAGCGATACAACCTCTGGTTCCACGTCGACGGCTCCTGGGGTGGCTCGTTTGCCTTCTCCAAGCGGCAGAGGGAGAAGCTCGCCGGCGCCGAAAAGGCCGACAGTATTGCCATCAACCCGCACAAGATGCTCGGGGTCCCCGTCACCTGTTCCTTCCTGCTAGCCGCCGACCTACGACGATTCCACCGCGCCAACACCCTCCCCGCCGGATACCTATTCCACAACGAAGACACCGAACCATCCGACGAGGACCCAGCAGGTGAGCCGGATTCCGAGCTGGCCGTCGACTCCCCCGAGGTGTGGGACCTGGCAGACCTGACCCTCCAGTGCGGCCGACGCGCCGACTCCCTCAAGCTCTTCCTCGGCTGGACCTACTACGGCACTGCGGGTTACGAACAGCAGATCGACACGGCCTGCGACATCGCCAGCTACCTGGCGACCCTAGTCGCCGAGCATCCCGACTTTATTCTCGTCAGCGAGAACCCGCCCCCTTGCCTGCAAGTGTGCTTCTATTACGCGCCGGGCCGAGAGTTCGTGCATCCGCGCGGCATCGTCTCGAACGAGACCGAGCGTGGCAAGGCCAACAGCAAGGTCACGGAGCAGGTGACGCACGCCATCGTCAGCCGGGGATTCATGGTGGACTTTGCGCCGCCCAGCGGCGACGAGGATGCAGTCGGCAACGGGAAGTTCTTCCGCTGCGTGGTGAACGTCCAGACGACCAGGGAGACTGTCGAGGCGCTGGTGCAGGCTATTCAGGACGTCGGTCCTGGTATCGTCGAGCAACTGAAGAAGGCCCAGAACGGGTCGGTGCCATCGAGGAGACCGGGTGAGAGGGGCCATGGACCTGTGGTCCACAATGCTTGATCTACTAATCTTGTATTGGGACCGTCAGAGGCTGATAGGTTTGTTTTCGGGTGGGCTATTTCGGATACATTTTTTTGGGTGTGAATGTTAGAAAAGATCTTCCATAGAGTATATATATATATGTATAATTGATATTACGAACACGGGTCAAACCCGCAGGGCTATTGGCATAAGGAATAGAAAAGAAAATAGGGGTAGTAAAACCATACGATTTATATCAATCACACCCACACTCGTGAAGTCATCAGGCCAGCCACTAAACAGCCTCCCTTAACGAACCAACTAATTACCGATCTCGGCGCGTCGCTCAAGCACACTTCTAGCCTCTGACTCCGCCAGAGTTTCAACCCCTAGCTCAGTAAGAACCTCCCTGGCGCTTTCATTGTCTTTGAACAGCCTCTTCTCCACTGCCCATAGTCCGAGTGCAGAGTCGGTACCTCCAGCAAGAGGATCAGGGGCATTGGAAGAAGCAGACTCGCCTTCGGGCTGCGATGCGTGGGCACTAAGTCCCAGAAGAAGTAGGCCCTCGGACAATTTCTGCAGCACTTTCGCCGAGCCGCCGGTCGGGGTGGCAGGGCCGAGAGCCACGTCGACGACGTTGCAGAGGTGATCGACGTCGCTGATGAGTTGCGCTGCGCCTGCTGCAGAGAAGGTGTTTTTCATGAGGATGGTGCCCCAGAGGTAGGTTTGGATGGCGAGGAGGACCTGTCGGATGATACGGCGCAAGGGCGCAATGCCTAATGTGCGGGATAGGAATGAGATCTCGGTGGACAAGGTACGCATGGCGGGGGTGAGATCGGAAGACGGGGGCACAGGGCCGGTGGAGGATGTCGAAGGCACTGAGATGGTTGTCCAGGTAGACACGCGAGAGTATGGCTTTAGGGTAGATCGCACGTTGGAGGTGAGAGTGGACGTGATGATGGATTCAGACCGCAGTCGGAGACGACGGTATGCGGAAGCGGTTTCGTCAAAGAGGGCTCCTTCCGAAGTCGCGCCGTTGTTGTCACTGTCCTCGGAGCCGTTGTTGACAGCCGGAGAGGTCCTGGAGGCGACGTCCGCCACTGACATGGAACCGGCAACGTTTTTGCCTCCGTCGCGGTTCTGCCGAACCCGCTCTTGGAGCTCCGACCAGAGCTCGACGAAGAATACCTCGTTGCTCCAGTCCTCCATCTTCTTCTCGAGGTATTCGGCGCTTCCGAAGACCCTGCACAGTCGTTCCAGCCCTGCAACTCCTTCCACGCTGGCACCGTCTGTCCCTTGCACCGTGCGACCGATGGTGGATGTCATTGCAAGGTAGGCTTCCAGGGCGGAGTACAGGCGTTCGTGGAATTGGTCGAAGATTGTGATTTGAATGTCAATAAGAAAACGCAGCTTCTGGCTGAATGAGGATAACGGCTGATAACGCTCGGTGATGGTCTCTAGCAGGTCATTCACGCGAATAGCTGCCTTTGTGGGCTTAGTCGCTGAAAGCTCGACGCCATCATAGTCAATATGACCACTGTCAGGCGTATCCACAATGTCCTTATAGCGAGCCAGAGCAAATTCCTTCTCGACCTGGAGCCAACGGTCGAACCATCCTTCCTTAGTCAAAACATCCCATGTAATCCCCTTCCAGTTATCGTCGCTATGAGGGTCTGGTAGGTAGTTCCAACTCTCTCGAATGTCGTTGTCGAAAGTCATCAACTCATGAACTAAGTGGCTTAAAAGCTGCGGGTGCTCGGAGATGTGAGGAAGGAAGCTTGCGATTTTCTGCCTAAGCATAGGCAGGAGAGCCGTGATGTACGCATGCGAGGCGTCGTTGAAGTTCCACTCTAAATCGGACCCAACAGCCTGGGCCTTTTCATCGAAGACGGGCTGGAGGGAGGAGATGAAGAAGCCTCCGAAATTGTTGATCAAGTCCAGAACATGAGACAGGAAGTATTCCGGCTGTAGAACACGTTAGACGGTAGATGGTCGAGTACAACTTAGGGTATAACATGCCTTATCGAGCCGGTTAGTCGGTTTGTTGCCACTGAAGTGGTATTTGAAACGAAGCTCCAGAGGGTGAACCATGACCTCCAACGGAAGCAAGATAGGCGGTTCAACGTTCTGGTGGTTTGCGGTAACGTTGCGACTCTTCAGTTCCCTAGTACAAAGTCAGACACAAGAATAAGATGCGAAGATAAAGGGGGTCCTCGTACGGGGTCTGCAGGTCGAGTAGCAACTCAACGTTTGTTTTCCACTGCGACTTCAGATCCTCGGGGAAATGCAAATCCTTCGATGGCCATTTCATCTGCTCCAACGTTCCTTGAAATCGTCTAGTAAAGTCGCCCTTCAATTGTTCCCTGAGGGCCGACGCCAGCTTTCCGACGTAGTCGACGAGATGGGGTGCGGCGCCTTCTGCTGCAGGCTGAGCTTTGACTAATGATTGGACAATATTCCGGAGTCGGGTGTAGGGTGGGATCGCCAGCTGGGGGGCGGTTTGAATGTTCTTCAGGGCTTCCTTGCTGTATATTTTCTTAGCGGCGAGGCGGATGTGGGATGTTTGGATGATAGGTACCTCAGCTCTTCTGCTTCTTTGAGCAGCGTCACATATCCTCTAGAGATCTCGAGTCGCCGAAGTTTCTCAATTCCCTCCTCGAACCGCTTCGCAGCCTCGTCGCTAGCATCCGACTTCGTTATCGCTTTCAGGCGCCGGTCGATGTCAGCCTGCTGTTCCTTGAAGGCCTCGGCTCGCTTTCGGGTGGCTTCTGCATGATCATTCGAGGCCTTTGTGGCATTTGACAGGACTTCTTGAGCTTCCGCTAGCTATCAAAGATGCGTTAGTTGATAAAAGTTGCGACCGCGGGGAAAGACAGTACCTGTTTCCGCTGCAGGTCATGTTGGGCACGGAGACTCGAAAGTAATGAGTCTAGACTTTCAAAATCCGCCGAGACCTGGATCTTGTCATTCAGGTAGTCCTCGACTCTCGTCCGCTCGTGCGGAGACAGGATAGACGTCGAAGAGGCCATTGTTTGAGGGTGGTGGTAGCAAGAGACAAGTTGCAAGCCGCAAGGTGTCGCCCATCACCGCCTCGGGTGAATTGCCGACCATCGCAAGCCAACCGCCAACTTCCATTTCGTCATCTCTTCTTCCGTCCAGGCATCATGGCGCCTGCTTCAGCCATGACCCCCTTTGACTCCTGTTATTCTGATAGATGATGCTTCACAATGTCAACGCCCACCAAAAAGCGAAAAAGAGACGTGTCGGAGTTCTCGCCGCCGCGCAATCGGAGCATAGCGTCATTCTTCCAGAGTCAATCTGCGGCCAAACCAGAGCAGCCGTCTTTACCACCCGCCGAAGATAACGAGCAGACCCTCTCCGACGAAGCTCTCGCTCGCAAGCTTCAAGCAGAATGGAATCAAGAGGAGGATTCAGCTCCGAGCATGGAGGCCGATACTCCAATCAACGTGGTCGCGACCGCTCCTGCGATTCTCGATGACGACATTTCGCGACCGAGCAACCCAGAAACCAAGAATAATAGCACATTGTCCTTACAATCGTCTACTGGTACAGAAGATACGGTGTCTCTCGCGGTTCCTTTCGATCAAAGTCCTCTCACGTTCGATTCGAGGAAATATGCGGAGGAGTTGAAATCGCACTGGGCGGCAGAAGGTGGCGATGCCTCTTACGCCCTGTTGACTCGGGCTTTCGTTCTTGCCAATGCGACGACGAGTCGTATACGCATCGTGGATACCTTGGTGAACTTTCTGCGGGTCCTAATCGAAGGAGATCCTTCGAGTGTTCTCCCCGCGGTCTGGCTTGCGACAAACTCCATCTCTCCGCCATACGATGAGCTGGAGCTGGGACTTGGCGGGTCCTCTATCTCAAAAGCGCTTAAGAAGATCTACGGACTCAACAGTCAAGGATTGAAGTCGCTCTACGACAAGTACGGAGATGCAGGCGATGTTGCGTTCGAAGCTAAGAAAAAACAGAGCTTCACGTTGATCAAACCGAAGCCGCTCAAGATCAAGGGCGCATATCAGTCACTCGTAAAGATCGCCGCCAGCAAAGGTAGCGGCAGTCAAGAAACGAAACAGAGAATTGTGGAGAAGTTATTGCAGGATGCTCGGGGTGCAGAAGAGAGTCGCTATATCGTCAGGACTTTGGTACAGAATTTGCGAATTGGAGCTGTCAAAACAACAATGCTCATCGCCCTTGCTCGAGCATTCCTGTATTCCAAACCCGACGGTGCGGAATTTTCTATACCCTCCCAAAAAGAGCTTGCTCGTCTCAAGAAAGAAGAGCTCGCGGAAACCTACAGTAGTGCTGAAGAGATTGTCAAGGCTTCGTATGCCAGGCACCCCAGCTACAATGATCTTGTCCCCTGTCTTCTCGAAATAGGGGTCACGGAAGAGCTCCTGCTGCGATGCGGACTACAGCTTCATGTGCCATTACGACCGATGCTAGGTAGCATCACGCGGGATCTTTCGGATATGTTGACGAAACTGCAAGGGCGAGATTTCAGCTGTGAGTACAAGTACGACGGACAGCGCGCCCAAGTGCATTGCGACGAAAGCGGGAAAGTGTCGATATTCTCTCGTCATTTAGAGAACATGACAGAGAAGTATCCAGATCTTGTGTCTTTAGTCCCTCAGATCAGAGGAGAGAGCGTATCCAGCTTCATCCTAGAAGGCGAGGTTGTTGCGGTGGACCAGGATACCGGTGACCTCCAGGCGTTTCAAGTCCTCACCAACCGAGCGAAGAAAAACGTCGACATCGGGACCATCAAAGTAAACGTGTGCCTCTTCGCTTTCGATCTGATGTACATGAACGGGGAGCCCCTGCTTGACCGATCTTTCCGCGAGCGCAGGGAGCTTCTACGGAGCCTTTTCGTCGAGATCCCGAAACGGTTCACATGGGTGAAAAGCATCGATGCAACGTCCGGAGACTCCGAGACGGTTTTGGAGTTTTTCAAGAGTGCCACGGATACCAAATGCGAGGGCATCATGGTCAAAGTTCTTGACAACCTACCCAAAAATGGGAATGGGAACGGTGAGGTTTCTATGGACGGCACCAAAGAATCTGAACAACAACCACGGCCTTCATCTAGCACGGAAGACAAAAGGTCTGCCAAAGGTACCCGACGCAAAGCCCTGCTGTCCACCTACGAACCCGACAAACGCCTCGATTCGTGGCTCAAGGTCAAAAAAGACTACAGCACCTCGTCCGAAACCCTCGACCTCATCCCTGTCGCCGGGTGGCACGGCCAAGGCCGAAAAGCCAAATGGTGGTCACCCATCTTACTTGCTGTCCGGAACCCAGAAACAGGTACCCTAGAAGCCGTCACCAAATGCATGTCGGGTTTCACGGATAAGTTCTATCAAGCCAACAAGGACAAGTACACGGAGGGCAGCGCCAACGTGATCTCACGACCCAGCTATGTCGAGTATGCCGGCGAGCCGGACGTCTGGTTCGAACCGCAGGAGGTCTGGGAGATGGCGTTTGCGGATATCACGCTGAGTCCGACTTACACCGCTGCTATCGGGCTGGTGAGCGACGAACGGGGACTAAGTCTCCGGTTCCCGCGATTTCTCAAAGTCCGGGAAGACAAGTCCATCGACGAAGCGACCACGTCGGATTATCTGGCTCTTCTTTGGAGAAAGCAGTCCGAGAAGGCACGACAGGAAGAAGCAGAGCAGCCAGTGCAGGAGGAGAACCTGGAGGATTGAATTGTCTATCTCCCACGAGCAGTTCGAATAGAGCAATTGCGGCTATTGGTTAGCTGGTTGGTTTGGCTCTTTATTTATAATGGATCTAGATGCGACCCTACTATATAATCGATAGAACCCAACCACATCATTTGGTTAATGTAACTCAAACCACATATCTAACCTACCTAATGAGGAACAAATACCGATAGTATCCCATGGTCGAACGCCCCGCCATACGGAGATGCCACAGATCATAACATAATTGAATCCTCAAGCGATGCCAAGTCAGACCAGTGATCTACAATGCACATCCTAATCACAACTTGTCATCAACCAACAATTCACAATCCGTGATCAACCATCCAGCACCTACACCCTACACTAAAAGTAGGCATTACTCATCAACAGATAAAAATCACGTGGCCCTCAACCAAATCTCCCAAACCGGAAACCCATCGGAGAAAAAAACAAAAAAACCCGCCCACAAAAAACCAGAACACTAGCGTCCCAATCTAACCACATCCGTACTATCCCCCCACCAAGCTGCATTGCACTATCCCCTTTCAGTCATAGCTCCAACGCGAAATGGACACGGTTTTAGGTTCGACGCGTCTAGTGCCGGTTCTGCGCGTTGTTTTCCCCTCTTTTTTCTTTTTTCTCTCCCTTCCAGTTAATCCACTCCCGAGGGCCGGTACGTGGCGTGCACCACTGAGCGGGAGGGGAATTTGCTTACGGACTAGCTGGCATCTTTTATGGATACAGGCTGAAATCAATTAGGTAAAAAAGGAAAAGAAAGTGTTCAAGAAGCCGTGAAGAAAAAAAAAAAGGGACCCATCGAGTGGGGATGTGTGCTAGTCGGTGAATTTTCTTCAGGAATGACGCAATGTTTTTCCTTTTCCTTTTTGGCACATAGGTCAGATTTAGTGGTTGATTTGGGGTATTGGGTTATTCATAAACAAGTGACATTGACATCCAGGTTCATAGGTATATACAACTGAATAGATGCTACTGCATGCACTGTGGATTGTGTGGGCATACAGTAGTCCATACGCAACATATCGTGCGATTCCAAAAGAAAAGAAGAATAACCAGGAAATTGGTAAAGAGTGTGAAGGTGGCAAAAGAGTGTTTGCACAAAAGAAACGGTATGCAGCAAATTAAACATAACATAGGAAACAGGGTATGTATGCACAAAGAAATGCATTATTCAGAGCATCGACCCACTTGAGGACTGATGGTCGGAGAAAACGTGCCGCGATAGGTAAGTAAAATGAAGTAAAATGTGAAAGATCAATCCAATGACCAGAGCATCGGGAAGGAGAAGGGAGTAAGACGTGTGGCAGTATCCGACAATGTATACGTAAATCATTATTTAGTCGTGACAAGATCCATGAGCAGATTCATGGTCATTTCAAGGGACCGTGATGTTTACGGTCGCAGCTCTCCGCCAAGCTGCAAGACTTTGCTGGCATCTTTGACGCGGGTTTTGGGGCTGTCCGCCCCGGGCGGCAACAGGTTGTCCAGGTTGGACCTCCTTCTGTCTTTAGCGGTCAGAGGTGTTCTGGAAGGTCCTCCAGGCGTACGACCCCCAAATGCAGGCTGGGCCGGACTTGGAGTTACGTTGACAAAGTCAGCAAAGTTGAACTGCTGATTGGGGGTGCCAAAATTGGCGAAGACCCCTCCGCCTCCAGGAGTTGGAGTGAGCCCCGGCAGAACGGCGTGTTGGCTGGGAGGGGTCGATGGGGGGAAATCCCGGGGCTGAGGTTTGGCAGAGACGCTGGCTGGCGTGGGAGAGTTCGCCAAGTACAGCAGCAGGTCTGCCCCGTCTTCGTGTCGGAGGTTTCGATCGTTGCGTGACAAGCGAGCATGCTTCGGCGGGGGAGTCCGAGGCGGCGACGAGCCCACCATGGAGCTGACGTGCTGGAAACTGTGTACCGGGAGATCCGGGTCGTTGTCGTCATCGGACAGATGATGATATGCAGGCGAGGAGAATTCGGGGATGGTCGCCGTCTCCGATATAAAGGGTAACGGGTGATGCCGACTGGGAAGATGACGGTTCATCCCCGGAGAGGACTCGGGCAGATGATACGAGCTCTTCCACGACACCCGTGGAGCCTTCACGGTACGGTCTGTTATCGAATCCGACCGAAGACGTTTTCGACTGGCGGACAGCATGGGCTGCATCACTTTGGAATTGAAGGTGGCTGCATGTCGGTTGCGGGACGACCTAGGCAGTTCCTTGGAATAGGTGGAGGTTCGCAAGGGAGGCGAGGTCATGGGGGTCTCGCAGCGACTCTGCGAGATTTCCGACGACGAATCCGAAGGCTTGTCACTCCCCAGGGAGATGTGTCGACTACCATTCTGGTCTAGGGCGTGCAGACGGCCGTTCTGGTATTTGACTTTGGCGAGGCCCAGGCGATCTTGAAGACTGAGGGACACCTAGATTCATCACGAGGAAACCATGCATTAGACTCTTCCAAGAAATCCGGAGGCCAACAATGTACAAAAGAAGGGGGAGGGGAGAAACTATAAAAAAAATGACACTTACCTGAGCAATGTCAATTTTACGGATTGTCTTCTCCGAATTGGTCGGCTGAGGTAAGGCCATTGCCAGCTGAAAATCGGGCTAAGCAGCAAAATGGACGAGGGTCGAGATCATAAACCAGCGGTGGGAAGGGAGTTGGGGGGTGTGCGAGGGTAAATGCAAGAACCAGACTGCAGGGAGGAAAGGGAGCTGGAGAGCGAGGGAAGTCGAGGGAAGTTGAAGTGAAGGTAAGGGCGGGTCAAAGAGAGAAGAAGAGGACGAAAGACTGCGTTGGGTTTAGTTTGGCCGTCGGGGCTGGCGAAGGGAGAAGTTTCGGCACTCTGAGAACTTCCCAACTTAATTAATTATTCACCCAGACACGAACTCCGGGGAAACGACGGAACTAGGGGTTCTTCTATTGATCATTACATTGTGATTCCAACGGATCCATTATGCCATTATGCTTGGTTGATTGTCTTTAGTCTTCAGTCTATGCTCTATCCTCATGCATCTCCCTTCATGGAATCTGTCAATTGTGCGACCCGTCGTTCGTATTGGTTACCAGCAAACCAGACACAGACACAAGATTTCGCCGTTTTAATTCCTCGTTTCGGTGATAATAAACTTGGAATGCTCAAGAGATGTTTATCTACCTAGGTAGGATGTGGAGAGTCGACGCCGGTTCAGGTACCGTAGATTCCCCCGATCATTCCTCATCCCTGAAGGGATCAATCGATCAATCAATCAATAAATATCTCCATAGTACCTCCGTACATCGAAGAAAATTCCGACCCGGAGCTGTTGCTATGCCAGTCGAGAATTTCATACTTTAGCTCGTCTCCATCGCCGTTCTGGCCCGCAGCCACATCGATGCCTGGCATGTCCACTCTGCCTTTCCGGATTCCGACCAGCCTCGGACGGGCGTAGAGCCGTTCGGAGTAGACACTTTCAGTTTCAGGGACGTGGAGAGTCCGATCGAGTCTGAGATCTCGTCGTCCGGTTTCAGGATCGATGAACGGTGAATGGCCCCGACTGGTCGCCACAATGAAGCTTAAGCCAACCCTACGGACCGATCTAAGTAAACAAAACCAATATTTCCCATCTCCTCACCTCAAGTAGGACATTTTCATCCCTTTCCTGGGAGCGGCGACTGAGACTGAGAGGAAAGGACCGCCAACGCACAGATCGCTCCCTATGTGTCAGCCATGAACCAACGGACGATCAACACCCTGATTGATTCGGTTCCTATTCAAGATTCTCATGTAAGATCCCGAGATTTGACAGCACCAACTTGTCAACTTTTTTGTCTTGCGGGTTGGGTGCTGCCTGAATGCGGCGCCAAGAACGATCAAGCACCTATGCGGTGGAGTCGAATTCCCCTGCAATGATCAAGTCCATGCCCGAGAAAGTTAGTGAGCAGAAACAAGGAACTGGAAATGAATGACGTGGACCAAGAGGGGGAAACCCAGGATAGACCGATACTGCAGGACGAGTCTTGGGCGCGTTGTCTTCTACTTAAATCGCATCTTTGTTCTGGACCGCCGATCGGAGGAAATCTTGACCGTAGGGCAGCTGCCAGTATTGACAGACAATGAATCAAATTCACGGGAAGAAAAATAAAATAAAATAAAACAACAGCCGCACTGGTTTGTGAGAGTCGAGATCGCTAGAGCCTAGTCGACCGTCTATTTTAGCCCGGTCTGAAAGGCTTGGAACTGGGCAGTTCCTGTTCTAGTCCGATAGTAGCTCTTTAGCACGACCGAGAGCAACCAAGGAAAAGGGATGAAGAAATGAGGGTCCAGAAATATCCGATGAAGACTCGCGCTCGCAATCTCGCAGTGTCAAGGAAAGATCTTGTATAGTCCGTAGCTATGGCCACCGTCCAGAGCGACCGCAATCGTACGGAGGATTGGCCAAGCATCAACACGGTGTACATCTTGATTGGCGATTCCACATGGAACGTGAAAATAGACCTTATCGAAGCGCGACAAAATTAGCAAGGCAAGCCTCCACTCGGGGTGAAACTAGGCGCTATCTCAATCCTGCGGTTGGCCAGTAAACGTTGGCCTACGTAACGCGCCCTTGTCTATTCGCAACAGGCAGTGCAACTTCTGTCGACCCACTTCTTGCATCGATGTTGCTGTTGTTGGCTTAAACAAGCAGGGAGAGGGGGGTTGATGCTGATAGTCAAGGTCAAGTGGACAAGACAGAGAGAAGAAAGGAAACAGGAAGAGGGAGAAAAGGAGATATTCATCCTCATTCATATCTGGAACATCCCCCTCCACTCAGTGCTCATCAGACACTAAAACCACGTAAAGGGAAAAGAGAAAGATTTGATAACAGAGTAAGCTTCAAATTTTTTATTGTCTAATTTTTTCCTAACTTATTTCCCTGTTTGTTGAAGTAACAACAATAACTCTCCTCTCTTGCTATCTATCGTCCTTCTTTTCCCTCTCCTCTCCCCTCTCTTCTCATCATCACCCCTTCTATTTTATTTTGTTTTATCTTTTCTTCGTTCTTCGTGGTACCTTTCAGATTCCCATTTTCAATTGTTTCTAAGTAATCTCCACTAATGAACTAGATCATTCCAAATCAATCGCAGCATACCAGCTCCACGACAGCCTGCCCCTGAGCATTCTGCGGGGTGGTTGTACCCTTCGTTCCTGTCGCATCCGCAAACGGTCGCCCTCGTTTGCCTCTCCTCTCGATTACACAAGAAAACACGCAAGCTGTTTTCTGTTTCGCTCTCTTCTCCGATTTCTCCGATTTCCCCTCCAGCAACCTGCTGGTCTGGTTTGTCGCTCGTTTTGAGAGGAGAACGGAACTGAACAAAGTACTCCGCGGTTCCTGACGTCGTGCTGCTCTCCTTCCTTTTCTACTTCCACCGCGACTTGGATCACTTCCTTCTTCGGTCGCCTCGACCAGCTCCTTCATCATGCCGTTTTTCACACAGCTTCGTCGTCGGTCCCGGGCCAGCTTTCGTACCAACAGATCCGCCGAGTCGAAATCCAACGAGTCGCAGTCCAATGGAGAGATGACATCCGGTAAATCCTCCTCAACGCTTGAGACGGCCTCCTACAGCTCGGTCACCCCGCCGTCTTCCATCAAACCTACCGCTTCGTCTCCGAACCTGCCCTCGTTGAGCGAAGGCAATGGTAGCGTTAATGGCTCGCAGCTGCAGGTGCCTACCCAAAGACCCGGTCCCCATACTCTCCAAAACCAGCGCAATAGTACCGTGATGGTAGGTCATTCTCACACCTTTCGCATAATAAAAGCTAACTCTCCTTCAGAGTGGCAGCGCGATGTCTGTCAACGGTGCGGCTCGGTCGCCGACTCCATCCTCCCCCTATGCACCCAGAATTATCTCCATTTCCGACAACTCGTGGGTAGGTATTTGATCGTTCTGATTCATCATTTTTGTTTGCGCCATCGACCCCACCCCAAGAAATAGAATAAAGAAATGGGTCAGATAAGGTTCAGCGGACATTAGCCACAGAAGAGCTTACATTTTCTCGCTCCTTTCTTGTCTAGGTACATCAGAAAGTCCTGCTGATCTACGGCCAAATCGGAGACCCCAGACAACATCCGCTGGACGGAAGTATCACGGTCTATCACCACCAAGACGCCTTCCCCTCGGTCAGCTGGCCCGTCACATCTTCCCACTTCAAAGCCCTCGTTCATCTCGTTCCCGGTCCTAATCGGTTACGCTTCGACTTTGTATCCACTAAACTCTCGTCCGGTAGCACGCATCCCGCGATTCATTCGTCGTGGCTCTGCGTCAACTACCTCCCGCTGGTTAACGCCCCGCCTCTACATCTGGTCGTCCTACTGGGCAAGGACTCCGACGGAACCTTCGATGCCACGCCGGAGAGGAAACAACGTGAGGGGAATGGACTCGAAACTGCCATCAAGAAGTACCGCATGGCCGCCTACCTGTGGCAATCGTTCACCGGCGAGCAGATGTTCCGCAACAACTTCGGCAGGCGTTGTTTCCGTTTCGAGGAAGAATGGCAGACCGGCACCTTGAGTCGACGGGATATCGCCAATGGACAAATGCGGAATGAGGCCAAGGTTCACGTTGTGCGCACCGATAAAACCGTCGCGGAGCTGAGGGATCTGAACATCGCCCAGCAGTATGGCCCGGCCACGAAGAAGGATGAGCTGTTCCGCATTGCCAAAGACGCCGTCAGGGACCACTTCCGGCCCCAGCAAAGTCAGAAGCAGTATGTCTCCGTTCTGCTTTTGGATTCTCACTGGGATACGGGCGCCCAGACTATCACCGGCCACGCCGCGTTAGGCTCCGGCGGGGACGATATTAAAATGGCCATTTTCGGCTCTCACAGCCTGCAGAGCTATCCCAGCAGCCTAGAAGAAGTCGTGGATGCTTTCTCCGATTGTACCAGGACCAACACGGACTACGTGGCGAACGACTGCGGCGAAGCAGGGTCCAGCTGGGAGTCGGCCAATATCGGGATCGGGGCACACCTACACGAAGTCGGCCATCTCTTCGGGAGCCCCCACCAAGAGTCCGGTATAATGCTGCGAGACTATGTCCGCTTTAACCGGTCCTTCACTACGCGTGAGCCATTCTCGACTCGGACGAAGCAACAGGGTCTCAAACTATGCTTGCCTCAGGACGAATGTGGTTGGCACCGACTGGATGCGCTGCGCTTCCGTTTCCACCCCTGCTTCCGCCTTCCCGGGGACGCTCCCGTGAGCTCCGACGATAGCGTCCAGGTCTGGCCTGTTGAGAACGGCAAAATCATGATTACCGCCTCGTCTGGAATTGCGTTTTTGGAACTATATGCAGAAGACGATCAAGTTTGCCACAACTTCATCGAGTATATCAACACTGAGTCGAGCAGCAACGGACTTCCCAAACAGATCACGGTGACGGAGAATGAGTTGCGGCAACGTGTGTTTGGCACCGAGAAGGAGAAGAAAAAGAAGGTCAAGATGTCGATCATCTCCGGTGCGCTCGGCTGCCACACCGTGGATTCTATCAGCAGTTTGAAATCCAAACTGTCTCTGGTGAAACTACCCAAGGGTCACACAGGTTATAAAAGTAGTGCATTGGGATTCTCTCAGATGGAAGGGAGTCAGCCCCAGCAGATTTTGCTGGATTGTTCGTTCTCAACTAAACTATTGACCTCCATCAAGGTTTATCACGGAGCCGCGTTGGACGGTCTTGAGTTCTTCTATGAAGATGCCACCAGCCAACTCTTCGGCAACAGAGGAGGCAAACCTGGGGGCGATGATTTTGTGCTTGGTACGCATCTTGACCTTCGGAGTCGGAGAATCACCGACATCCCCTTTTCTTCTACTCGAACATGAGAGCTAATTTGCTTCCTAGAAACTCGACGTGGAGAGATTCTACTTGGATTTTATGTCCGAGCTGGGGCTTGGATTGATGGCATCGAGTTCTTGACGAGTCTGGGCAGGAAGTCTGGCGTTTATGGTAACGCTCAAGGAGGCTCAGGGTATGGTTCATACTAGTTTGTTTTTGCAGATCATTGTCGCTGACCAGGGAATCTTTACAGACACACATTGATCCCGCCTCTAGGTTACAAAATTGCCGGTATTTCAGGGTCCTGTGGGCCTTGGATTGATGGCTTCTCGTTGATAATCATGCACTGATTTGATGCATCTGAGACGAATGTGTTATTTTTGCCTTGGATCCAGACCCTCGGACAGAAAGCTGAACTAGCTGATCCGGTTACCCTCCTTTTCCACCTCTATACCACTATACCTGTCTTTCCTTCGAGTCGACGCTGGCGCGTCTGAAGGAATCGTTGCCAACTCCGCTGCAACGGGCATTTTGATCGACTCGGATATTAGTCTCCTAGAAGAGACCTACTTGACTACTTAATTGAGAGCAGCACCGACTTTATGGCGCACACTTCGGGTTGATAGACCCCTCAAACCGCCAGGGCCCGGTTCCCCTCCAGCACCTGCGTCGTCGGCATCGAAGTACCTTTTATCATATGCCTTACGCTCTCTGTCCACCCCGGTAATTCCTCGGAGGCGCGGCGATATATCCCTCGTTCTTCCTACTCTTTTCTCAATTCTCTTTTGTCTTGACGGTCCACACTGTGGGTTTCCACGGGAGATGTATGGGCAGGTTGTTGAAGTAATGTGTGCCTCTAAATAAGCGGGACTTATGAACACGGGCAGTTAATTCTAGAAATATTTGCAAAAGGAACATAATTGATAGCCGGTCGACGGCATGTTTAGCCAATCGCCTTGTATGTGTCCTGCGCCTGATCGCTCCATCTGTAGTACTGCGCCGTCGTAGGTGGTACCCAAATTTGGCAAGAAATTGGCCAGGAATTTCTTCGGCACCAGGCTTGATTACTTCAGAGTGGCAGATTCAGCGTACTTTTGTTCCAGGAATCTTCTACGTTAGGGGAATAGTGAGTACATCACAGCGCCTCTGTCCAGGAACTCTACGATATCCATCATGATGTGTCAGAACAAGTGCGCCGGTCTACTCTATGCACAAATAAAGCAATTGCCCTGCAAGAAATCCATCCAGTTCCATCATCAATCAACATTACAATTTCCGGGGGACATGCAATGCAAGCCCCGCGGAGGCATGCAGACCAAGCCCGTTCGTCAACGGCTCAACCCAAAACCCATCCATATGGAAGGAACAGAAAGGGGAAAGAGGCGAAAAAAAGGAAGATGCGCTTCGGTGTTGTTTGTTGGACGGGCTTTGGTCGGATTCTCGCTCAGACCCATACATAACATGCCACTTAACAGGCAATGGACATACCATACCACCCACACACACACACAGTTTGCTCATGACAGGGGAGGTGTACGTGTCGAATTCCGGGGCATGATGTTTGTTTGCTTCATTCCCCTGGAGGGAGGGCGTGAGTTGCACGACAGATCCCGAGAGCATTGGGTAAGATGAGAACATGCTGAGTTAAGCGGAGCGGACTGGGAGGGAGGGAGGTCCGATCAGGTGACTGCGCGGGTGGAGGTTTATTCTCCGATGCGCCGCCACATCCCTCCTCCGCCACAAGGCCTGTCCCGCGTACTTTTTTTTTTCATACTTAATGTACACATTTAGTATGTAGTATGTACCATCTACCCCGGTCAATATCATACTACCTTGCAGGGATCTCCTGCAATCACAGGCATTAAAGTTACCTGATTACATGAACGCGTTCTTTGGATCTTCGGCGGTGCGCTGTCATTGACCATGCGCGGCCTTGGGAAGGAGGAGGAGGGAGGATTAGTTTATGAGTAATTAGCACCTACTTTGCCTTTTGGTCCTTTGTTTGCTCAGTAACTACTCAGAATATCCGTACAGACCGCGGAGATGAGATAATGGAAGAGGCACAAACAGTCCCGTGCGCGCGATGAGAACATTGACGCCATGTACATTGTACATACAACCTACTCCACTACCATATAGATGTCCGATTCAGCCTGGTAGGATTCGACTTCCTAGCCCTTGGGTACCTTGTACCACCCTATGTGTAAACATGTAAACATCAGTCATGGAAATCGACACAGCCCTCTACCGAGTACATAGATGGACAAATGACGATTTGTTCGTCGCCCATCTCGTCCGGAATAACAGCGACGGGTGAATACTGAATAGGAGAGACGGCGGAGGAGCGCGACCGGTGGCGAGTAAATGTATGTCATATTAGATAACCATCCCACCCCCTTTTTTCTTTAACTTCCTTTTTATTTTTCCTTTGGTCGAATGATAATTGCGTCGGAGTTGAGATGCGGAGACGCTCAGACATCATCAATCAGCCTACAACATCATATTAGGATTTGGATCCCCAACCGAAATCGAAGTCACAATCAGAATCATACTGCCTGCTCGGCATCCCGGACCTTAAGCCACACATTTTCCCCACGCAGCAGTGGCGACGACGGGATCTGCCCACTTAACTGGATGCGGAAAGGTACCGAAAGGGGTCGATTTTTTTTTTTTTTTAATTCTACCTTTGCGATCATAGTCCGTACATAGTACATACATACTCCATATCTATTGGCGAGGAGGACTCCTTCCTAACAACCACTACGCACCGATGGAGGGGCGGGATATGGTGACGATCAGCTTAAGCGACCATGGGTATCCCGAAGACGTTCTGCTCGCGTTCCACGGGTCGACTGGAAGCATGCACGGCACATGGCAAGCAAGCCGTACTCCGTATGTGAATCAGATGTGGTAGCTAGCGCCATACCCAGGTGGGAAAGAGAGGAGTAATAGGTACTTTTTGTGGCGTAGATAATATTGATTGATGAAGCATCATGGGTTCCCCTTGCCTCTGTCCCGTCTGAGCGAGTCGGCGTTCAGGCAGGAATGTAAGGTATGCACGTTGTTTATACCTGAAGTACTGTATTGCTGGACAATACATACTTGGGTATTTTACCGCATGTTGTATTTTTCGGTGCGGTAACAGTGACCATACCTGCCTATCCGGATGTACCTTAAGGGATCTACACCATATTATGGTGTGCCTTATGGTCCATAGACTCCGTACCTTACTCTCTACCTAGGCAGCTTGTGGTTTCTGTGGGCATCAGGAATTTAGATACCCTTACCTAACCGTGTAGGTACCTACGGGAGTACGTGCACTTACCATTGTGCTGGGTCGCTCTGTACGGACTACTCCGTACGGAATACTCCACTGGCTCCCTAGGGTGCACTACCCACGGAGTAAGACCTATCACTTTTCCTTTGACATTTCGAGGGGAAACAATCCATGTCGGATGAGAGGACAAGCCGTTTTCGGGTTCTCGCTGGATTGGTCAGAATGCAAAATGAAACTCGTTCGGGCAATACTTGCTCTGCGGAGGGCTCTCGTATGATAGACTCATGGACTGTCAGTCTAATCTGCTCCGTACCATGATCCTTCTCATCATCTAATTAGTTAGTCAACTATCTTGAACCATTTGACCAAGGCGAACCCACTTTCGGAAGCCAAGCTCTGTTGTTTGTGACGTCACCTGAACCGGTACTAGAAGCCTAGAATCGGTTCAAACTATAGCAGCGGTTTCATCCGCCATGGTTGTGAAAGGTTTTTGGTGTTCATTTGGAGGTCAAAATAGAGTCTCCGCTCCATGGGTTCGCCGGTTGAAGCTATCCACCAGAGTTGTCTCTCTTGTTAGATAGGGCGACCACCACTCCGAAGGCAGCAGGGGTCTTTGATTACGCCAAGGGGAGCCACTTCGACTGGGCACAGATAGGGCTGAGAAGTCGGAGCTCTCCTTCTCTAGGAATGGATAGATTAATTGAGTGTTATACCAACAAATGCTGGCAGACCATGACAAATCTCCAGTGCGAGTGTATTCACGTGGAGCGCAGCCATGGCTAATTTGCTAAGCTGCCTGTCCACTGTAGGAGGCTGCACGTCTTCCGAGGTCTTCTCCGTTGTCAACCAAAGTCCCCCCTTGAGTCGGAGCATCTTTCCGACAAATCACAGTGCGCGATGGTTGCGTCCGATCGCACCATATTCCTAAAGACACATCGACGGATCGGCAGTTATGAACGGTTGCTTCGATTCCCTGCGTGATGCATAAGTCGGCGGTGATACTTATGTTTTCTTTTTCTTTTTCTTCTTTCTGCTGGCTGTCCTCCCTTATGTAGGCACCATAAGGTGAATGGGAAAGAGCCAAGATGACGTCTCGATGCAGGAAGTTCCTGACAGTCGATTATTTGCTGCAACATCAGCCACCAGGCCGGCCCTTTCCAATCCTGGAGGTGGACCTTGTTACAATCCCAGCAAACCACGGCTCGAAATTGGCTTTCGGAGGGCGCCGTGTGACAGCTGCTCTGAGTATGAGCATTCTCGCTCTCTGATTGGCTGGGACGACATCCCGACAATGAGAGCTGGCGCTTTCCCTGTTGGTCTTAGCGCATATCATCATACATATACGCCCTGCGTACAATACCGCATACAATAATCCAGATTCACTTGCTCTAGGTACTTCGCCGTTGGAGGTGTTGCCGTTAGGGCTCATAGTCCTCCAGCAAATTGATATCAAGGGCAGTCCCTATTATCTAAGTCGTACCAGATATTTTTGCTCTGTGCCTTGCGTCCGCATTCTGTCATATGGAGCTCTTACCATGGGTGGTGGTTGTTGGGAGCTTCTGGTAAAGTTTTGGCTTCCACTTCGTGCCACCCGCTGGCATGGCCCCGTCCCCTTGACTTTAATTCCTGTTCTGGTAGGAGGGAGTGAGTTACTTTCGACGAATCGCATCTTTTTGAATATACTTCCATTCAGTGTTGGCCTCCCTCCCCGAGGAGATATGAATGCTTTTGAAGTGTCAATGGTAGGCGCCCTGCAATCAAAACCTACCTAGGTATGTATGTACCACCTAGCTCACCCCTAGAAATACGTCATTTCCTGGCTTGGACAATGAACTCTTCAATTAAGCTTCCACAACTCCGTCGGTACTACCGTCGAACCGTCAATCGCACATCTTCTACGGACCTTTGAATGGCACGGATCATTCTCTGTCCGGACCTAGCCCTACTCACATGTACGGAGTAGAGTAAGCCATTTCCTAGTCACCCCAGTCAGCCATGCAGTGGCATGCACGAGCCCAGGGCACCTTGAGGTACTGGCATTTCCAGGGGGGTTGGGTTCATGCAGCCTGACTGCGTGGCAGCTCCCGTCCTTCTCAACCAGACCATTCGCCTCCTTGTATAGATAGGGGTCCATCAGTCGAGACTCGACATATACCCGGGAGTGTTCAATTATCGGGAAAGAAATCCAAACTCTACGATGACTCTTTTCCCGCACCTTGCGGTTGTACGGGAATTGCTCAAGGTTGAACATGGCTTAGCTAGTGCCGTTTCTAGACATGGCACCCGGGTGGCATCTAACGGCATTCTTCCCCATCCAGCCATGTCAGTTGCTCTGACTCCTGCGGGAGCTACCATTCCGTTGGGATGTCATGACGACACCGATTACAGATGTGGCTGAGTCTACCAGCAATTCTAATGGATGTCGTGGAGAGCCGTAACCAGTCTACCTCCATAGATAGCTTAGCGAGGTACGGACTTAAACTCGGTGTCTGTGTGCCTGTGGAGACCTTCCTTTTCCTATCTCCTTTTTGTTTCCATTTGGCTTTTTTTTTTTTATTTTTTATTTTGATTAATCGTTCCCCCTTCTTCTCCTCGGTTCCATAAAGAGGATAGTGTTCCTCTTTCTCAGAGGAAATAGCAACCATACTTTTAGTATTAGGGTTCAGTTCGTGAATGCTGTGATGCTTGATGAAGAAGTACGGTGACCTTCCGTGTTTCAAGCATGCGCATAATGCATTACTGTGTAACCGTTCGAGGTCAAGTGCGGCAGGACAGCATTTCCATTGAATTCAATGCGGGGGAGCTGAAGTTCGTGCCGATTGGGTATTTGTGAGTTGATAAGTATTAACCAGGGGTTACCTGATCCGTGACTCTTTCTTGTAAGGTAAAGAGGGAGGTATCTGCGGTGTAGGGATGTACCTGTAGGTAGGCAGTGCCTACCTGGGCTACCTACCTCTACCTACCTACCTTTACGGTGTACCTACCTTAGGTTACCTACAGTACAGTAAATTACAAATTCCCGCTGTCTGTACGGTACCTTGGGATGAAATACGTGGAGGTATTGACCCAGTGTACTGTATTTGGGACCGCTCCACCCCCCTCTTTTGCTCCCCACCGATCCTGGCCTTGACCCAGAAAATCAATCTCCATTAAAAGAAAATTCAAAAAAAAAAAAAAAAAAAAGGCACCTTCTCCCCCCTCCACTTCTTTTTTTTTTCCCCCTCACCAAAAAAAAAAAAAAAAGAAAAAAAAAAAAAAAAAGAAAACTGAAGGCTCCTACTTTTTTCAACCAAATTCACAATCTCCATTGGAACCAAATCAAAAGAGTTTCTCGAATTCTTCCTCATACCGCATTTGATTTCTTTTGTCATCATCAACGGTCATTGCACGTCACCACACCTTTCCATGTGGCCCCTTTCTGCTGCTTTTATTAATAACCCAAGTATCACATTCTTTCCAAAATCTTCCGACCAGCAAATCGTTTCCTCAACACTTTGGGACTTCCACTTTCTTCGGTCGACTCGAGGCTCCCTTAGAATCGAGTATTCAATATTATTGGGGGCTCTGCTACCGTCCGATTCCTAAAGGCCCAGTTTTCTCAGCCTGGGAAAAAACTCTCCCACCCCTCCCTCTCACACTCTTTCTCTCCCCTTCGTCACCATCGACTTTGGAGAGATTCTCCCCCACTAATCTATTTCTTACCGATTCCATATATGGAGTACATAAATCCTACCCCGTCTTATGTGTACTATATATAGTCTCGGGTCCTAAAGTATTCTTCCCTTGTTTGACCGTGTTCGTGGTTCCTATGATTCTCCAGCAAGGGGCACTTCTGCTGTAAACCAAATACCGGCCGTATCTCCATCGCCCTCACAACCTTCAAAGCGCCTTGTCGTCTTCGGATCGGATCTCGAGCGCCCAAGTCCTCGCGACTGCGATTTCACTCGGGTCATTGCCGCTTCTTTATCTTGAGTTGTGATACGCTGGCTATCTTGATCGCAGTCCAGCGCTTGGCGGTCCAACCGCGCAATCCAAACAAACCGATAAATCCGCAATCTCCTCCACCCTCGACCTTCCCCTGTTGATTGCTTCTCTGCGACTGTTCATCCTGCAATGAATGCTATGTCCGCAAAATCCTTCATCTTCAATTAACTCCCGAAACACCCCTCGGTTCTCTTGCGCAACCCACCCAGGTTAACAGAGCTTCCATCTTATCATAATGTTCAATAGCAGGTAAGTCGGCAGTGACGCGGGTGACGCCGGGGCCTTCGGTGTCCATGCATACGACCATCTTGGCTGATTACTGGGGCGACAGGAACAATACGCAGAAGCCCGGTGGCGATCTCATCGAGAGATTCCAGAAGACTTTCCCCGACATCATTCCCTCACAATCTCACCGCAATGTGGCTTCCCTCAATCAGGTCCCTGGTGCACCGATCACTCCGAATAGGTTTGTCTTTTTCTTTCCTTTTGGTCTTTGCTGGCTGCGCCTTTCTTGTTCTCTGATTCACTCTGCCAACTTCATACCCTTGAGAAACCACAACGGTGTCTAATCTTTTCGTGAAATATCTTAGGGTCGGTTTGGAAAACGACGGCACTCTCCCCGGCGGCCACGACATGAGATTCGCACCAACGTTCGTCGACCCGAATTCCCTCTCGTTTATGAACTCCGTGAGCCAGCAGACGGGCGGCTACTATACGCCGAATTCCGGTGGATTGGGCACGGTTTTTCACAATCAGGCGGGCGACCTACATACGCCCAACCTAGGCCTCAATTTGATGAGCCCACTCTCGCTCGGACATCAAGTTAATGGCACAAATATCTCGGCCGACAGTTCATCCATGGGGCTAGATCCATTCAGCCAGCAGTTTATGCCGCCACATTATCACAATCCGCAACACTTTGCGCAGCAAGCAAGTTTTGCGCCCGGCGCATTGGTCCACCGTGATTCAGGTTATGATGCCATGGACGAATCTGTGGATGAACTGTCTCTAAAAGATATGGAACTGCAGGCAAATGCATCTTCACAACTCATCGGATCGACTGTACCGTCCTCGGGACAGCTAGACGCTGAGGCCCCTGGCGAGAAGTGGGTGCCTCCCTCTTGTTTCCAACTTTCAAGAGTCTTCTCCGGTTGTGTGCTTACCATGTTTTCTCAATAGGTTCCGCTATCATGTCACACTACGTGCACCGACAGCCATGGTCAAGGATTTCAATGAAATCCCGGTCTCATATCTCAACAAGGGCCAGGCCTACTCGTTATCCGTTGCCGATACAACTCCGCCTCCGCAAACTGCACAGCCGGTCAAATACAGAACCTTCGTCCGTGTTTCTTTCCAGGACAAGGAGCAGCGATCGAAACCAGCCGCCTGTTGGCAGCTCTGGAAGGAGGGACGAGGCTCTAATGAAGCCCATCAACGTGGTGGCAAACTTCAGGCAGTGGAGTATGTGGATCCGATTCAAGGAGGCATCGAAGACCATAAGAGCAGGCAAATTCAACTTGAGAGCTCGTCCTTTGATGGCTTCTGTGTGACCTGGACCGCCAACCCGGCTACCGGCGCTCCGGACTGCGCGATTTCCGTTCGATTCAATTTCTTGTCCACCGATTTCAGTCACTCTAAGGGTGTCAAGGGTATTCCAGTTCGGCTTTGCGCCAAAACGGAGATGGTTTCCCCGGACGAGACGGACGACAAAGACTCCGAAGTCTGCTTCTGCAAAGTGAAGCTGTTCCGGGACCATGGTGCCGAACGGAAGCTTTCGAACGACGTTGCCCACGTTAAGAAGTCAATAGAGAAGCTGAGGCAACAGATTGCGCAAGCTGAAATGGGTGCTGGCAATTATGGCAAGCGGAAACGTGTCAATGGATCGGTATCTCTCAAGGGCTCAGACGCGCGCCCTTCCAAGATCACCAAGCACAGACGAACCTGGTCAATGGGCTCCCAGGACGGTCCTGATAGGATGTCTATGGAAGATGATCTTCACGTGAAACTGGCGCTGATGCAGGAAATGTTCACGTCCACTCGGCCCGTGAGCATTCTGTCACTGCGCGGCGACGAGCAAGATGACCCGGATCTGTTCCCTGTTCAACTCTCTGATGCGCGCGGCCCTAGCAAGAAAGAGAAAATGGGATCTCAGTTTGGCAGTGTAGATGGGTTGAGCTCTCAGAATCTATCTCCTCTGAGCAGCTCCATGTCGCTGAACTCCCCATTTACCTCCACCAACTTGCAGCAGTTCACATTCGACTCGGGGGGCCGCGGGTCTGTCGGTGCTTTCCCGGAGTCTTCTGAGAGCTCCGATGATAAGTCTGTCTTGAAGCACCCTGTGAAAATTCAACGAGCCAGCACTTCGGATTCCAATGTGTCCTTAGGCTTCATTGAGGCGGTAGATATCGATCCCGCCTACCGGCCCCCAGCAGAGTCTCCACCCAAGCCCAGTAAGTTCCCTCCCAATAGTATTCCGTTAGTCGGGAGTAACCTTTGCTAACAATTATTCTAGTCGCATGTTTCTATGTCCGCTTCCCGCGAAACGATAAGCATCAAGACGACTATTACAGAGCTGTCTACCTCACCGAACTGACAGTTCGGGATTTGATGGAAAAGATCTCGTTGAAACAACATATCGACCCTCGACGCATTGTCCGCATTCTTCTCGTCAAACAGAACGGATTGAGAATCATGGTAGATGATGACGTGGTTCGTGAACTTCCCGACGGTCAGGATATGATTGCCGAGATCTCCGACACATCAGCTATCAACGTCGCTTCCAGCGTCGATCAAGAAGACTCTGCGAGCGCGGGAGTGGAGGTCAAATTGAGATATTAACGCCGTTCACGCCACGGAGCCTGCTTTTACGTCTCACGTTTTCGTTTGCTTCGATAATCCTGGTTTTTACGCCTCGATAGCCCAGAGCACACAGCGTTCTGGGATTTCTCTTTCGACCGGCGCCTGGTGCGCAGGGAACGGGTCGGTACGCTACAATCGACCTCGATGTCTCCAGAAACTATTTTTTATCTTTTCCTTTGTCTGTTTGGTGTTCGGTCTTGAATCTCATTGTTTTTCGGGGCGTTGTACCGGGGGATTATAAACGTGTCTCCTAACAATGATACCCTTTGCTGCGAGTTCTTTTCGTTTCGTTCATCATTCTTGTTTCATAACCAAATACCTCCAATATTGTTTTTTCACCTCCATTCGCGTTGTGTTTATTTTTTATTCTTTTTCATTTCATCTTTCTTTTTTTCTTTTTCTTTTTCTTTTTCCTTCTTTTCCGGTTTATGTTTGGGAATACACGACCAGGGGCGCGTTATTCGATCTCGACTCTGTACTTTCGAGAACTTGCCTCAGGGACGATGCACACGAAAAAGATACCCTGTTCCATTTTCGTCGGATTTGCATTTTTTTTTTTCTATCTCTGGCTATCTGTTCAGTGCCGTTCTATTTAATGTTGTCTTGGTTCGGGTTTCACGTGTTGTGCCGTGGCTACACTGTCCCAGCAACAGACTTGCCCCATTGAACACAGGTGGCGGCGGTCTTTGCTATGATTTGAGGTTTCTTGCTGCTTCTTCACAAACTGTCTTGCGCACCAGAATGGATGACATGGATGTAAATGTCCAGGCCACTGGCGGTTGTTCAGGGTATTTTTTGGGTCACAAGAGGGTTAGATTATATATGAGCCTACCTCCAGAATCGATTCAATTGATTGTGAACAAATTTGTCAACCTTTTCCTGTCCAATTCTCTCAAATCCCGGTAATGAATAATCTTCCTCGCTACACATGAAACCGGGATAGTATTCAGGTTGTAATGGAGTAGCACGCACGAACGGAGACGTTGCATTCCACCTAAAGAATCAGGACATTTCGGGAGTCCTCGGCCAGACTTGTCCCCGCCCCTTTCCTGGAGCAAGTGGAGAGGAGAATGTTTCCGTGTCAACGCAAAGCAGCGTTACTGGCCGAGCCGGACAGGCTTGTAATTGGAGGTATGGCTGGTATGGAGCGGCGTACATGTACCTTACGTACACCGTGTAACCTGAGGTGGAAGATTAGGTATCCCTAGGCGTAATTACCAAATTTCCTTTGCTTCCATTGACACCTTGAAATCGAAATACACACGGACTAAGACTCCACCTTTTCTCTGGATTTACTTATTGGTCGGGCCCCGGACCGAAAAAATCAAATTTTCCATTTCCGGTTTCCAGGTTTTCGAACGTTTCCTGAGACAGCCTCCATATTTTACCTGGAAACGAAGAAGTCGGTTAGGAACGGGCGGGTGTCCCGGACTGTTTCCATCCATACGCAAGTACCGAGCGAACCTGCCGAGCTTGTCATGGTACCGTATCATATACTTACCTACCCTCTCACTCAGCACTTAACCTCCCCATCTTGTCGTATATCGTAGGTATCTACTGACAGTACTGTATGCTGGAGAGGTAAGTCCGGGCAGCTAACTAACTACCTAAGATCTGCAGGCATTTCCAATTATGACCAATATCTGTACGTCCGGGTGTGAGCCGCGTCTCCCGGCTTCTCCGTCTTGAGACTAGGGACTAGGGTGTTGGGCATACCTCCACTGACCTGACCGACTAGGCTACTATGGGGTACGGAGTACGTGTTACACACCGATAGATTCTGCAGATGGTAGTTGCTCCGTGTCAAATTTCAATGGACTCGCGCGGCAGGTCGATGCGAGAGTGAATAGAATCCAAAAGTGGTATCTTCAGACTATAGTATGGCGTATGTACGGTGTACCCTATAGACATGCAAACATGATCTTCATAAAAACAGAGTTTATGGTTTTCATCCGCAATATTGCCGCCTCATCTCTAATTCTTCTATTTTTACAAGATCAACCGCTCCAATCTACGCACATCTCCAACGGTCAGGTTATCTCGCAGTCGATCTCATCGACGGACGCATACCCACCAATCGCAAGTACCTGTGTGCCTTGAAGATAGCACCCCATTGCCCGGGCCCCTGGCCCGAAATCGACGAAGAAATCTTCAACCAAAGATCGTGCATGGATTCATCCGGTCGATCCATGGCCTCGGGACTCGGATTGAGAACCGACCTGCCCTATCGTATCCATCGAGATTGAGATTCAGGGCAGACTAGGTTTCACTTCCTCCCCTATGGACCTGAGACCCCGGGGAGGAGAAGAAAAGGTGGAAAGGTGAACCATCGAAGCACTGCCCGTCGTAGTGCGCAATACGTGGTAAACCGCCGAGACGGACACCGGGGAGGAAAGCTGTGTAAATGACATCATAACCCGTTTGAAACCTTGGTTCTAGAACAGCCCGTTAGGACAGATAAACCGGTATGACATCATAGCGCATGACAAAAGCGAACTACTTTTCCCAAAAACCGGATTTCGAGCGATGGCGCGCCCCACACGGGACGTGCCGATGTGGCTCTGGCCATATGGTCTGGTATTTTACTTTTTTAGGCCTGTTTGCGTCGCGGTTTCGTTACGTATGCGTGTTTTTTACCGTCGGTATGGTTTTTTTGACGGGGGTATGGCTTCATTGGGGGTGGTTGTCGTTGCTCGTGAGGGTTGCGGTTGGGGTTTTGGATTGGCTATGGTTAATGGAGTTTGTGTGATGATGGATAGGGTGTTGGAATGGTCAATGTCAGTGAGGATATATCATTCAGTTTAAAACATACATGTCGTGTAGGTTATTGCGACCTGTCTCTGCCTGCTACTCGTGCTTATGAATATATAGTTCCGATCTATATTCGTATATCCATGTATGGACAAAGTACATACAGCTTGCGCAGGGACAGAAACACAGGCCATACCACCATCCACTCTAATCGGTATAAGCTTGATTCCTTCCCTGGCATGGTTCGAAAGTAATCAGCCACCGGCTTGCCGTGAAGAAACTTACTGAAAAAGGATCTGACTGGGGCGCATCGGCGTCCGATCTGGCGCAAGATCCCAGAATTTGCCACCCAGATTAGATTGACAGCTGCGGAGAAAGCCCGCTAGCGATCAGCCAGCCAGCCCGCTTTGTTTACTAGTATTGGGTCCCCACTGTCCAGTGTTTCTAGAATCCCGCGTGGAAAAGGCGGCGGTTTCTGCAGAGGGTTTGTGCTGAGGACGGCCTGTGCAAGCGGCCCTGACAGGTGACAAGCACTGGGGTGGCCCTGAGTGGTCCCTCCTATGTCTATTGGTTGCACATGTCCGCCTGTCGTGCAAATGTTACCTGGGCAATGGTGTACGGACGCAGGGAAATGGATAGGGGAAGTTACCAGTAGCCTTACTATCAAGGCCACCTTCTGCCGGTAGTTGCCTTGGTACTCAGGTGTACAGGCACGGGTGGCAGCAGGTCGTGCCTTCCATATTGGGAGGTACCTGTCGCACCTGCCCAAACAAAGGAACCTCCCTTTTTGGTCGCCGGCACACCTGACTTGCTCTTTCCTCTTCTGCTTCACTCGCTTCTTTTCTTTCTCCCCCCTCTTCTCCTTATCTCTCCTCTCCATCCACCTTCACGTTCGCTTCATCTCGATTCATCCCAATCCATCTGGTTTCCATCAACGGCCATCCATTGCTTGATTGTTCCACAGCTCTGTGTCTTTGTGCGTTCATCTGCTGCCTTTCACTTTCTGTTCGGGCCTTTTTCTGACTCCTGAAGTGAGTAAAATGGCATTCACCATGAACAAGTTTCTTGCCCTGGTGGCTGTTTGGTTCTTTGTGGTGGGGACTGTGGTTGGTGGTAAGTATCTTGAGTTTGATGATTTTTGGGATGGACTCGGATACTAATGATTGCAATCGGTCTCTTAGATTCTCTCAAGGAGCTTGGCAATGCTATCGATGACAGAGATGTTCCGGAGCGTGCTGTTTGTAAGTGCTTGTTGATTGTCCTCGGTTCTGTCTTTGTGCTGACTCCACAGATCTTGAATCCGGTCTTCTTCCTCGTGATGGTACGTTGCTCATCCAATATATGTTAAACCAATGGACTGTATGATTATTAACCTCTGTCTAGGACATCTCACTGTCACCATCACCGATACCGTATGTGAGACTCGGGTTCCTCCCACTACTTTGGTCACCGCTCCACAGCCCCCCGCTGTGACTCTCACTTCTGTGGCTCCGCCTACCTCGACCATCGAGAATACCCCTGTTCCCTCGGAGTCTCATAGTGGCCATACCACTGCGACTGTTCCTCCTGAGCCTTCCTCCATGTCGACTGCCGAGCACACCCCCGGTACTACTGGCCCTGTCATCCCGACGAGCACAGTTGTGTCCTCGGGTTCGCAGCCAAGTACTCATGTGGGCTCTCAGACCACCGGTCCTACTCCATCGAGCTCGCCTGCGACTTCGGCCGGACACCCAGGTAGCCACTCTGCCAGCTCCCAGACCACGGAGTCGGCGAGCACTGGCACGGCTCCCAGTAGCTCCCATTCTTCCACTGCACCTCCCCTCTCAAACGATGCATTGGCCCAGGGAGGCATGCAAGGCACACTGCTGGCTCTTGCCTTGACCTTCGTTGGCTTCATGGCGGTTTAGACTGTCTGTTCGCCACCCCAGCGTTGAATGGCGGAATTGAACGGCATCTGGTCTGGCTGGTTATGTTTTTCATTTACCGCTTTGATGATCTTACGTCGGAGATGTTTACATGATTCAGTTATGTTTTCTTCTTAGTGGGTTGCACTGACGACTACACGCTTTGCTCCCTTTAATACTGAGGCGGTTATTCGCATCTTCATGATGGGCCAGAGGCTTCTTCAAATCAAACTCTTAAAAGGTTGAACATTGCTTGCATTGTAGATGTTACACTACCATGGGTATCTCCTAAGAAACAAACAAATATCGCCTGTAGAGGCTGGACTTATCGCAAAGTTGAGATGGTAGTCAAAGCCGTTATCATCTTCGTATATGCACCTGCACTTGGAGCTTGTGAGTCAATGAATCTCACGATGGCAGGACGGTAACTCACGAGATTCAGATCAAGTAAACATCCTCATCTGCTTCGATCGCCTACGACCGACACCCCGCATCCCCTGAGCCCACCCCCCAGCACCAAGAAAGATTCAGTCCGTATAGAAGACCGTCTTCCACAATCCTATCCATCTCCCCCTACGAATCAACATGACTCTCCCCAAGATTCTCCATCTCCCTCGCCAGCGCACAAATCCGACATCCATCTCCGACCCGGTCCCTCAACAACCGCGCAGTCGTGACCTTCGGCCCGACAGTCCGGGACGCAGCAGCGGACAGTGACGGTTCGTCAATGGCTTGGGTATGTGTTCGAGACGGCGCCCATGGTCGCGGCGTCTGTGGCGCGGACCGACTGTCTGGTGACGAGGTGGGGGATGATGTAGTCGGGTGGACGTGCGAGAGGTGGAAGACGTGGCCGCAGGCGAAACCGATGAGGATTTCTTTTTCTGTTGGTGGGGAGGGTTAGTTTGTGTGGTTTAGGTGTTGTATTTGGGGTTATGGCTGGGGTGGGTGGGATGAGATGGTAAGGAGAGGGTGAGGTGAGGTGAGGTGAGGTGAGGTGAGGTGAGGAGTATGATATGGGATGGATTTCTGAAGAGGGAAAAGTAGGTGGAAGGTTGATGCTGAACTTACCATTAGCAATGAAAGGCTGCTGACAGCCTGCGCACCGACCCGCCTGCGAGGCCGAGGACGACGAGGCCGAGGCGAAAGGAATAGAAGTTCGCTCTGTGTCGGCGTCGCTTTTCACCTCGTCCTTGCCTGCAGGTTCGATCGACGGCAGGCCGGTAGACGCATCTTTCGTCTTCTCGTCTTCGATGATGTTGAATTTGATGCCGCGTCGCTGGCCCCGGCGCAGGGTGTCCATACCCACGGCGACCTCGCTCTGGAGTACCTTGGCAGCGCCCTGGCTGATACTGGCCTGCAGGTCGTGTTCGCGGATCAGTCGGGAAAGGCCCTCGCGGAGACCTTCGATCTCGAGGCCGCTGGGGATGCGTCGGACCAGCTTGATGGGGTCGATGGAGGTACCGGCCTCGACGAGCAGGCCGTGGATGAACCGCGGCTTGTCCATCGAGTAGTCGAGGAGGTCTTCCCAGAGATCCGGGTCGTCTTGGGACTTGGCGAAGGAGATCGCCTGCGAGACATCTTTCAGATCGGAGAGAATGAGGTTCAAGGCCCGTTTGGTCTGTCCGGTCTTGGAGAGGAGGTAGATGAGCTCCGGGGTGAAGTGGCGGGTCTCGCAGATGGTGACGGCTAGGTCGAAGGAGTACGAAGTGCTGATCTGCAGGAACTCCATCAGCAACGGACGGTCGTAGTCCGCGAAGAGCTCCGCCGCCGTGTCTGCGAAGTTGTCGACCAGTGCTTTCCCTTCATCCGCCGCGAGCTTGCTGGCAGCGTCCCGAATGTGGGCACCATGTCCTCGTCGGGGCTTGGCGGCGCCGTGGGGGAGCGATTCGCCTCGCCACAGGGCTCGCAGGTAGAAGTATAAGAACAACAGGCGATTGGTCGCTTTCAGTTGATCGACGACAATTTCCGGGCGTACAATACCCGTGTACGCTTCGCTGACGAGGAGCTTGATGGGCTCAGACGTCACTTCGTCGAGCTCCGAGACGGGCGCGGATTTCATCTGCGCCTTGGACACACGGATCATGATAAACGCCGGGATGTCGTTGGTGAGCTCGTCCAGTAAACGATGCTCTTTAATGAGAGCCATAGCCGTGTCTGCATCTTGTAGACGAATATAACAGCGCAATGCTTCGCCGTAGTGACCGCCGGCGAGATACAGTTTAGCAAGACACGCCATCAGAATACGCCAGTCCTCTGTTTCGGCCGCAACCACACCAGGCTGCAGTTGCTCTTCGATTATGGCCGCAATGCTGTTGGCGTCAAACAAGTCAAAGGACCACGAACCCACCAGCTCCCTGAGCCTCTGTCGATTTTCCGTGACATAATGACCCAGAATGGCCTGGTAGGTAGCTGGAGGCAGCGGCGGGCGCAGATCAGTCGGAATGACTGAAGAGATTTCGTCGACCTTGTGGTGTTTGATGAACGTCCAGATCCAGTGATCCCACCTTGGCGTGGAATGTATTGCTTTCACGCAAACTTCGGCGGCGACAGTCCAATTGTTCGCGTCAACAAGCTGTTCTATCCACAGCTCGCCAACCCGACTCTTCTCTTGCTCGGCGGGAGAGCCAACTGCCCGGCCGGTCGTCGTGATTGAGGATCTGTCGTCGGCGAAGAACTCACCCAGGCTGGTTTGCGATCGTGCGGGAGTACCGGGTACGCTGTCAATAGGCTGGATGGCAGTCCCTGTCCCTGCTGCCTCAGGATGCTCGTCAAGGAGATTCCAGGCTTCTTCGTATTTCTCGTGGGCCTTGAGCCACGCCAGGCGATCGGTCAACTCCCGCTTGAGTGCCACCACCGAGTCATAGGGGCTGTGTATGAAAATCTTGGGTCCTGAGTTGCCCGCAATAGCTTGTACCTCCTTCGACGCAGGCTCCTCCACCGAAATCCGCCGCGAGGCAAACGTGCTTGGCGCCCGACTAGAGCCTTTGTCGCCGCTGCTTGTCGTGCTGCGAATGCTTGCGCCTGAGCTGAACAGTCGTGCAGGATACATGGTTGCATCCCACAAACCAGTCCCGAGAGCTTCAAGTGTCCCGCGCTGAGAGACGGAGACACCTGTCTTCCAGGGAGGCACAGCACATAGGTGGTAGTCCGAGGACGTGAGTGTCTCATAACGGCTAACCGAAAGGGTGTCGGCGCTGAGCTCTTCTTTACTCTCAATATCGATGATGCGAAGCTCGGGCTCCAGGCCTCTTGGGCGGCGACGACCTCCACGAAGACTACCGTGTTTGGTCCGCTCCTCTTCCGAAACCTCCTTCTCCGCCTCGATGTATGCAAGAACCACCAACAAGGTGGGTGTATAAAGCGATATGCCGGAGATCACACAGTCGGTTCGTAATCTAGCATGAGATTAGCCACTGATCTACGTTCCGGGGTGTACGCTAGACTTACATCGTCGCGACTTCGACAGATCCAATTCTTCGATCCTTGTTGGATTTGCTTGGCCGATCAGGGTAAACGTCAATCACCCAAACAGTGCCGCCCCATCCTACCACAAGTTTTTCAACCCTTTCTTTGGTGGGGATTGCCTGGGCTGGGGTGGAATGGTCTTGGGACCCTTCCTGCGTCTTGAGATCCTCACTTCCCCAGGATCGCTCATCAACCCATTCTGCACGCGCTTTCCAGACACTAGCCATCTCCTCCCATCCTGTACGGTTGGGGCGATCAATGTGGCTGACACGCCTCCAAGCAAGTTCTGCATCGGCCGATTCCAGATGGAGGTTGGATCGCATGATCTTGATCCCTTCTTCATTGACCCAGACCACAAATTTCCCCGACAAAGACCACTTTATTGTGCTAATCGCACCCTCTCCGCTATGCAGAATACTGTCCTTCCCTGTGTTGCCTCCTAGACCTAAAGACCCAAGCCAGCTGGTAGCGGTGGCTGCAGCTCCCCCCATTGTAGTCGAATTTGTACTCGCACCCACTCGACCGCCAGTGGTGAGTATGAGATCGCCAGCGCGCCCTCCGGACAAGAATGTTCGGTCGGTTTTGTACTCTGGAGAAAGTGCCACCGCTTGAACGGGCCTGCCGAAGTTCCGCAAGAGGACATCTTTGGGGTCTACAAGAGACGCAACGCATACGTTTCCATCCATCGAGGACGTGGCAATGTAGATCGCATTCGAAGGTGTGGAAGCGACGGCCGATTGATGGCTTGACCTTGATTGGCCCCGAATACTGCCGCCGCTGGACAATGGCTTGGTCGGGTGGCTGAGGTCTTCGGGTACTCTCGTAAGGGCGTCTGGTTTGATGCTCGGTAGAGGTGGAGGGAAGGGTGAGACCGAAATCGACGTCACGCTCGCGGAGTGGGCATGGTACACACGCAGTGACTGGAACAGGGGGAGCGATAATACATGCTAGGAGAGCTGTTAGCTACACAAAGCACCCTAAGTCAATGAGGATGCCACTTACAGTATTGCCATTATGCGTTCCAATTATCTAGAGAATTCTCAGCGTCTGCAAGTACCCAGGAAATACTCGACAATAGCATACCATCTTGTCACCCGCGGCGAGAAAGGAGCTCGTTGCATCCCCGTTGCGATACACCGCTCCCAAATGCTTCGTCATGTATGTGTACTTCAACCGGGGCTCTTCTTCCTCCTCCTCCTCATCCTCGTCCTCTTCGGTCTCCTCCTCAGTCATGGTACCCTCCGTTTCGTCGTCATCGCCATTCGGATCCTCTTTGTTGCTCTTATCCTCGGTTCGGTGTTTGCGATGGGCGGTAGGTGAATGGACAATCTGCTCGGCAGATGCCTCCATCGTTGGGCTTATCCGAAGGGCATCCTCCGATGCCTCCGTCGCGCCAGGCGCGTCCATGGCGAGAGCCTTGTTCCGTGCCTGGGACTAGGTTGGGATAGTCGGGCTCCCAAACTACAGCGAGCTGCAGCTGTTCCGGCGGACCTTCGAAGCAGATGGTGACTTAATGCGATGACTAAGCCGCGGCACCTTCACAGTCTCCGCCCGGCCAACTCTGGAGAACCTCAATCGTCCGCCCCTCTTCTTCTTCCTTTCTTTCGGTGTCAATGTTCGCGAGACAGTCCGTCTGCTCGGCTTGCAAGAAGCCCGCGGTGCTGAGGCTTGTGCAGCAGCCCCGGAGTCAGTACCTTCATGCGTCCTCACCATTGAATCTTCCCCGCCGGAAGGACTTTTTCTCCTCCAATGCCTACCTCAATCAGAAGCAGGCCAAATCTGGCGAAGTGACTTCTGAGTCGCTTTCAGAACCACAGAAGCAGCGAAGAAGAAGTAGTAGGTTACCGGCCGCTTCAACCTCCCTGCGACGGGTCGCAGTCGAGGCACAAAGGTCGAAGGATGGCTTTGCATCCCGAGCCCAGCTCCGAGAGCAGGGCCTTTATCAGACTAAGGTACGAACACTTGCATATCTACACTAGACGAACAGTATGCTCATCAGGTTGTATCTACAGACCGTAACTGCCTACGCCGTGTCAGAACAGTTCGATATGCGGAAAGTGAGAACCATTCTGCAAGACAGAGGCTACGAGCCAGATCCGTTCGAAACCGGCCTTTACCCCCAAGTCGTTCACGTTCAAGTTCCCCTAGACTCTATTCGACGTGTGAGCAACCCGAGTACAACCGACCTGTCCCCGGAAGAGATCGGCGATATCTTTGTTTTCCCGTCTGGTACGGTAGTGGCATGGGGCCTTCCCGAAGGGTTCACATCTTTCCTAGCAACAAGGACTTTACTTCCAGCGGCTGAAGGGGCCCATGTCGACGAACTGGAAACGGAGGATCTTGAATTCGTTGAGGACCCATCTCGGGAACTCAGTAGCATCAAGGGCGACACCATCATCCTCGGGACCAAGCCCAGTACGAATGAGCCCGAGTCGCAGCAGTTGGGGAATCGACAATCCGTAGAAACGGTTCTCAGCAAGATTGCATTCTCCTCGGGGCTCGCTCGAAGTACGAAGCTGGCAGTTTTGGAGGCATTGCTATCGAATTACTTCGAGTCCACCAGACCTATTCCAACGATGCTGTCGCAAGGCTCCCGCCTTCCCTTTACGAGGGATTTCATTCTTCGCAAGACCGGCCAACTGCTGAGCGTTCGTGCGCAGCTGAACCTGTACTCGGAACTCACAGACTCCCTTCCCGACATCTTCTGGGACAGCCGACATGAGCTCGGATTAGAGGGATACTATGAGCAGGTAGGAAGGGCGCTGGATGTGGGAATCCGCATCAAGCTTTTGAACGAGAAGATGGATTATGCGCAGGAGATCGCCAGTGTTTTGCGCGAAAGATTGAGCGAAACGCATGGGCTCCGACTTGAGTGGATCATCATCCTGCTCATCGCCGTAGAGGTAGGTTTCGAGGTATTGAGGCTGTGGAAGGAGCGGGTCCATGAGAAGGAGCTGCAGGGTGAGGGGAAGACTGTGGACTGAGTGGCCTAGAATTATCTGTACAGCACATCGCGTCTCTCCTCAATATGATACCCTTTTACTTGTATGTCCAAATCGGGAAAGGAGCTGTCACGTATCTTATCAGCTGACCGCTTGCATGTGACGGCTCCTTCTGAGTCATCCGCCTATCAAGCTTCACGTGCTGCGTCATGGGGCGTCGCCTCACTTGGAGCTGACCTTCTTAAACTTAGAGGGACCGGCACTGTAGTCTATGCTCGTTCCTGAAATCTCTCATCGGTTCTGATTCTCCTGGTTTCAATCAATTCATCCCTACCGTCCAAGGCGCCATTGCAACAACGCCATGGTCCTCCCTATCAGCGATACCAATGACTCCACCGCATCGATAAGGCATCGCCTACTCCAATCACTCCCAGGACCCCAGCAGGTCCTGAAGGCCTTGACAGGCTCATTGAGCATACAGTCGCTCTCGGGGTCGGACATTGACACCTCACAGAACACCTTCCAGCATTGCTCCCAGCCGGAGCTGAGCTGTCAAACCAGATATCACGGCCAAGACACCTGCTGCTTCAACTATCCGAGTGGGCAATTCCTGCAGAGTCAATTCTGGGACGCTGACCCGGCAATCGGTCCGGAGGATTCATGGACAATTCATGGACTCTGGTGAGCCCTGGACACACCATTGCGCTGGGAGGCTGGGAGTCTCGGATATATATATACATGTTCGGGGACACTAATCCTCGGCTCTTTCTCTAGGCCGGACTACTGTGACGGCGGATTTGATCAATACTGTGACAATCATCGGAGATACAGCAACATCTCCTTGATCCTCGTCGACTCCGGTCGAGGCGATCTTCTGGATGAAATGCGACGCTATTGGAAAGACTGGCACGGCGACGACGCGAACCTTTGGGAGCATGAGTGGAACAAACACGGCACTTGCATTAGCACGCTGGAACCCCATTGCTACGATACCGACTACTATCCACAGCAGGAGGTGGTTGATTACTTTGATAAAACCGTCGAGGTTTTCAACAATCTTCCAACATACAAGGTTCGGGACTCACCGCTTCCTCTTCTTGCTCCTTGCCCTCGAGGCAACAAGCACTAGGAATATATGTGTATCTAACGAGGACAGACCCTTGCCGATGCCGGAATCTACCCGTCATACGAGAAGACATACACCCGTCACGAAATCCAAGATGCTCTGACCAAAGCGCATGGAGCCGAAGTGTCGATCCGGTGTCGACACAATGCCCTAAACGAAGCCTGGTACTACTTCAACATCGCCGGGTCCTTGCAAGCGGGCAAATTCGTGCCTTCAGATCCGGGTATGTTTGCTCCCTTCCTCGTTCCACTCCAGCATGATAGAGAAGTCACACCCATCCAATCTGATTACGAGAAACCAGATCTAACTTGATCTTCGCGATCCAGACGGCCAGAAATCCAACTGCCCAGCCAGCGGCATCTTCTACCAACCCAAAACACCCCGCAAGGGAACCCCGACCAAGGGTCCATCCGAGCCCACGGCCCCTAGCACGCCGTTCACAGGACGCGGTAACCTGGTCGTCTCGACACTCGGGCAACGCAGAGGCTGTCTGATTAGTCGCGGGACGTGGTTCACGTCGGGGACCTGCGCGACGTTCAGAGTCAAGGAAACTTCTGGTTCGTTATTTCTCCTCCTCTACTTCTTTAGTCGTTCATACCAGGCTCACTAACCAACCAACAACCTTGTAGACGAAGCTACCTCGTTCACATTACAATCCAGCATAGGGGCCTGCGCATTCGAAGACGATGTCTTCAGCTGCGGTCCCCATATCACATCGGCGACTGAGTTCAGTGTAAGTAGCGTCCAACTTACTTTACCTGCCACTTACCCTCTCTCTTCGCACACTCACCCACACTGCCTCTCTGTGTATCAATAGCCGACCCCAAAATTCAACGAAGATACTAACAACCAATTCAGGCCGAGGACACCAAACTCTCATACCGCGGAAACACCACATTCTTCGCAGACAAGGCACCCAAGGGCCCTGTGAAAAGCGAAGTATTTGCATCTGAAGCGGACCATCCGATTCAGTTGGAGATTAGCTGGAAGGGGAATTATTAACTACTCCGTAACAAGTAACATCTAACTAGTCATTCTATCTTAGTCATTGGCTCCTTCGGCTCTGCTCTGGCTATGGCTCTGGCTCCGACTCCGTCTCTGTTTCTGTCTGTTTCTTTGTTTGTGCATGGCTCTAGAAACTAGAAATTGTCCCTGATTAGACCTGCATTGCCTTATATAGGCGGTGCTTATACACTTGTACTGTTATTATCACGGTCATCGGTAAACAGATCTCGAATAGACCTACCTCCAAGGATAATCTACAAAAACCATGAATGAAGATATTCGAGTTCGTCAAACCGATGGATTCTATTGCTAAGTTAAAGTACAGGCCATGGAAACTACCAAGGGGAAGATTAAGTATCTAACAGAAGAGTTCGCATGCCGCCAAGGTCACAAGTCACAAAAAAAAACATGAAACAACATATCAAGTCCAACTCAAAGTCAGAGAGGCAAAGTCAAGTAAAAATCAAATCAGAAAAAAGCAAAATTCATTTAATACAGTCTTGAAATCATCGCAAAACGTAACATCGCATAAAGGTTCAAAGCATCATCAACATGGATAAGAACTCGATGATGCATCGAGTCATAAAGAAAACGAACGTAAAGGACAACATAGAAAAAACAAAAACAGACAAGAAATTCGTCAAATAAAGTAAAACGAACGGATGACCTGCAGAACTCCAATGTGTTGGCAATGTAAAAAAAGTTTCCCGCAAGTCCCAGAATTGTTTGTCGTACACGTAAAAGTCGCTTTGAGAAGATGAAAAGATCGATCGCAATGAAATGCATCAGATGGAAACAACATTCAAAGAAAAAGAAAGAAGATGTAAGAAAAAAGCCCGAAAAATTCTTTTGTCACAGATGTCATTCACAATGGGTAAACTTGTGTGTCGTTGAAATCATTTGTCGTTGGAAAAATTGTACATAAAATCTTGGTGTCGTGATCACTTTTGAAAAGCGTTGTCATAAAAAATTGGGGTTCGCTGTTTCGAGTCGTTGAAATCCTTAAGTCATGAGAAGGTGTATCTTGTTGCACGTTGGCCAGTAAGCCAGCAGAAGTCGTCCGTCGTTAGCTCGTCAGTCCCAATTTTGTTTTGTATGGTTATAGCTCTGTCTCCGCGAAGGGTTGCTATCCGTCAATTGCCATGAATTGCCAGGTCGCCTTAATCCATGAGAAACTCTCGGGTCATGACATCGGATGGCTGCTCGTCGACCTGGAACTGAAAAGAGAAGAAATCGTCACTCATAGGGGGACCGGCGGAGAAACCTTTCCCAGAAAACAAATCCATTCCAGGTTCGAAAGAGGAGTTCACGTAGTCCGGGAAGGAAGCCATGTCAGGGTCCGCCAGGTCGGGGAATTCATGCTTGCCGAAACCCGTTGAAGGAGCCTGACTGATGAAGATGTCGAGGTCGGGACCATGAGACGAGTCGGTCAGAATTGGGGCGGTATGAGGGGAGGACAATGCATGGGTGGTTGAACAGGCGTCCGTGTAGGGGCAGGCGTCACTGTTCGTCAAAGACGGCATGCCGTGTTCCTCGATGATCTTGTCCAGAGGGCCCTTGGAAGGTGACAAGGGGAGCATCTCATCCTCTGTGCTGGGAGTGACCGACCGCTCACTGTAGGTGGGAGACGTTCCGTGATCATGAGTACCACCAGGAGAGGCAGGAGGCGTGAAAGTGAAGACTTCCGGTGGTAGCGAGTAGTTGGGGTTGTTGAAGACAGGCATCTCTGTGGCAGGACTAGGCGCACGTAGACTCATGTTCTCAAACACCTCTGACGGTGGCGAGTTGCGCGACGTATCCGACTCGAGGGAGGCGAGGAACTTTTCGGCGAGTTTCTGGCGAGTCTTCGAGGTCTTCTGTTGCTGCTCCTCGGTCTCGGGACGGTGCTTCTTGGGACGGCCTCGCTTCGTCGTCTTGCGGACAATGCCCTTGTATCCGCCGATGCACATGCCTCTCTGTCGGTGTCGGGTCAGGGCATCATGGCGGGCGAAGACGTTCCCACACAGGCACTCGTATGGCTTGTCCCCGGTGTGGATTTTGGCATGGCGCTTCAGATCGTGGCCACGGACAAAGCATTTATTGCAATGATCGCACTTGTACTGGCGATCGCCCAAGTGGGTCTGAACGTGGGACTTGATGTTCTCTTTTCTGCCAAAGCGCCGTTCGCAACCGGGATGGAGGCACACCCACTTCCCGTCGTCGGGATCAGGGCCGTGGATGAAGGATGCGATCTCGTCCATGGTGACACCGGTCTCTTTGATGGATGCATGAACACGGTCATCCAGATTGAGGTTCTCGATCGAAGCGTTCTTGGGAGAAAGTTTGGCCTTCGACGCGGAGCTGGTGCTAGAGCGCACACTGGGGGACTTCCTCAGGCTGGGACGGCTAGGCGTGGCAGGGTATATCGGGAGTTTATCGGGACGTTCGTTCTCATCTCCGGGGCACGGCATGGCGGCAAGCACCGGGGAGGAGTGAAACGACGACGAGGCTGACGACGAAGCATACTGGCTCTGTGCGAAGTTCTCGGACTTGGGGATTTCAAAGCTAGATCCTTGCTGACAATCAAAAGTATCAAAGTTATCCATTTCAAATGACGCTGTATGGGGAGGGGAGGGCATTTCAATCTTCGGCTGCGTGAATGTTGTCCCAGCCACTCCTTGGAGTGACTTGGCACGTTGCATATACGACGACTGGGCTGAGCCCGGCATCGAACAATTCTGACCCTTGGTTGGCGTTGGCTGCATGTCGCTGTACTGAGCGAGATCCACCGATCTCTTGAATGGCGTCGTTGCTGGGGTAATCGGAACGTAGTCTGCTCTTACAGTCAGAGAACGAACGGCTTGGGTTCCGCGACAGAGGCCTTGCGTGACTTACGTGTGTTGGTGGGATGCTTCGGCGTGCGAGGCTGTTGAGGGATCTGTACATCGGACTGCATCGAGAGCCGTCTCATATCGGCAGGGACGGCGTTTGTCTGGTTGGCAAATGCAGGGCCGAGGTTGTCGTTTGAGTAGAGGTTCCAAGTGCCATTTTCCAGCAGTTGGCTGTCGAGTGGGTTGTTACACGAGACTTTCGAGTGATGTTGGATCAAATTGAAATCGGTGTTCATCGGCCGGTTGTCGAGATTTTGGCCGTCGAGTTTGATCATGTTCGGGGTGGCATACGCCATAGTTGATTGACTGTCCCGAAGACTGCGGTTAGTCAAGGCGCGCAGGTCTTCCTCGCATAGATCCTGGCACTCGGGCACCATCGGCATAGTCATTGGCAGCTGAGAAAATGACGGCTGAGCAGCGCGCATGTAAATCTGGTGTTGCTGTTCCCCGATCATATGCGGGGGTTGTTGGGGTCCTGTTACGCTAGGGTTAGTAGTAAAAGTGCCATCTCGCATGGCCTGCGGTCGTTGCATGGGCAGAGATCGTTGATCAAAGCTCTGTCCTCGGCGATGGGCATGATAGCGGTGCAATGCCTGTGCAGGGAGGGAGGGAGCTTTGGCGGCTTCGAGCGCGGATGGCGTGGAGATCTGCCTGCGATGTTGTCGATGCCGCTCATGCAGATTTCTCTGTGGATTGGCAAGCATGGTGGGCAAGATCTCGGAGCAAGTGTCGCGGATGGGCTGCCGATGTGATTGATAGATCTAATCCGACGTATGTAAGTCTCCGGTCAAGTCTCATGCAGGACGCAACACATCCGGGACTTCAGATGCATACCTCGAAACGCGCGACCAGGTTTTTTGGCTGGGCCAAAGGAGATGGATGATAGGACCGCCCTGTAGTTGTGTCAGTCGGTGAACGCACAAGTAAGAGCACAAACCGAGAAGGTTAGAAAGTAAAGGGAGGAAGCAAAAGCGTCAGTAAACTAGACTAGATCGCGCTATGCGTTAGACCTATCTAAAAAAGAAAAAAAAACGAAGAACAAAACGACGCTTTTGTGGTTGGAAAGCCTCCAACACCGACAAGTAACAGCTGTCGAAGCTTCGGCTTCCTGCGGAGAGACTGAAACTCGGTTCTGAGTGACAGATGGGAAACAGCGAGACAAAGGAAGTTAAGGTATTTAGAGGTGGGAACCAGAGGAAAGGTGGATGGGGATGATGAGGCTATCCCGATCTATCGTCCACGGTTCAGATCAACAATGGCGGCGTTGCTGGGACAACACCGCCCGGCTGAGGCGTCTGGGAAACCAGCGCTCCCTTGGCATCGCCCCGGCCACTTGTGCATCGTAGTGGATCGCCGGGCTCCCTGGCTCCAGCGGATTTAGTATTCCCAAGTGGTCCGAACGCAATTAAGGCAGCGTTAGTCACTGGCCGTTCCCTGCAAGGAGCTGGTTTTCCGCATCTCGCCCCTCGCGGTCCAGACAAACGCACCCTATCTTCAATTATCTATCATCGCTGCGTCCCTAGGATTGAAGGGGCGGATCTGTGGCCTGTGAGGGTTTGAGACACTATTTCACATGGTGCTCCCTTCCGCCGCAATAGTTGGGGAAATAATTGGACGCCCATCCGGCCAAGATTGGCCAATAAAGGGTGACTGGGGGGAGGCAAGAGAAAGAGGTAAAGGCGATGATGATGTTATTTTGGTGTTTTGGGCCGACACGATGTTGCTGCCTGAGGACCCAGGCTGCCATCCCGCGACCCGGTGATGTAATCGCCAAGACAGCGTCCCGTGATCTGAGCTTGAGTCACATGACTACTACCACCGGAAGAACAGAACGTCCGCTTATCGGGTGGCGCTAAGACCGATCAGGACAGGAACCGACACGTGACCGCACAACCGATTTTAACGCACTAAGCCTCTCCGCCGCTGCATATTTTCTCGCACACGATCTCGAAGGTTGAGGAAGACAAGTCTTGTCGAGGTGAGTTTGGGCACCCGTACCCCGAGGTTTTCTCTTGAGGAATAGGACTGGGAAGTTGTCTCAAGTCGTTTGATTCTTTCAGCCTCTGCCTCGTGCAGCGCGATAAGAACTTTTTTTTCACTGTCGTCTTGTTCTGCGACTGTCGCACCCAGAGTGAGGGAAGAGGCTCGAAACGGATCGACATCGACGAAAGACACTTCTCAGCGCCTCAAAATCCTCAAATCGAATCGCACAGACCGAACCAGCAAACTAACAATCGCAATGTATCCAGGCCTTCATCAAGATGCAGATCTTCGTCAAGACCCTTACGGGTAAGACCATCACCCTTGAGGTGGAGTCCTCGGACACCATTGACAATGTCAAGTCCAAGATCCAGGGTATGTTCTCTTCCTCCCTCTTTATCCTTGCCGCCGAGACCGCGTCGCAACACACCAAAAGTCAATCACGAAACTAACTCAACTCTCACCACAGACAAGGAGGGAATCCCCCCTGACCAGCAGCGTCTGATCTTCGCTGGTAAGCAGCTGGAGGACGGCCGCACTCTTTCGGACTACAACATCCAGAAGGAGTCGACCCTCCACCTGGTGCTGCGCCTGCGTGGTGGTGGTAAGAAGAGAAAGAAGAAGGTGTACACCACCCCCAAGAAGATCAAGCACAAGCGCAAGAAGACCAAGCTCGCCGTCCTGAAGTACTACAAGGTCGACGGTGACGGCAAGATCGAGCGTCTCCGCCGCGAGTGCCCCTCTCCCGAGGTATGTTTCTTTTGTCTTTGGTTACAGGTGGTTCTGCAGATGGCTAACTTCTCTTTTAGTGCGGTGCTGGTATCTTCATGGCCGCTATGCACAACCGCCAGTACTGCGGCAAGTGCCACCTCACCTACGTCTTTGACGAGTCCAAATAAGCGGACTAAGCGCGAGTCACCCCGCCTCTCTTTATTTCCGGTCATTTTCGGTGGAAGTTAGGTGGAGTCAGGTTGAGGAGTATTTATGGTTGACAAGATCAAATCATAGTAGCCTGCAATATGACAAATGAATAAACATGAGAACAACGTAACTGATACCTGCCTACTGCAGCTGGGAATCACCGGATGCACTCTGTAAACCAGTATGTACACTCAGGCAACGCAACGAATGTACTAAAAGCAGCAAGCGGCCCGAGTAAAAATCAACCAAAAGAATAGAACAAAACAAACAGAACGGAAGTAACTGATTCAACTGCAACCAAAGGAGAACAGCCTACTGCATCTTGGCTCTCAAGTTGTCGTACTTGCTCTCGGGATAGTCCAGAGCGTTGGCTGACTGGTCCAAAGCCCCGGTTCCGCCAACGCCTGCCACAAAGGTTCCGATCAAGCTGCCGTCGCCTTTGTTGGCAGCCTTTCCACCCCGATCGCCGCTGGTTTCCCACCACATGCCACCGCCGAGGTTGTTCTGCTTGATGAAGTTCACCTTCTGCTCTGCCATGCGGACGTTGTCGTAGGACACCATAGCGCGGGCGGACGGGTCATAGGACCAGGATGCGCCGGTCTGGTTATCATACTGCTCCGTTGCGCCAGCTCTGGGCAAAGCCTTGTAATCCCAAATACCATTCTCCCAGCTTCCCTGTCCGACTCCGGAGAAGGGGGTGCCGGGCCCGTCGGTATTGGTAAAGGCACGTCCGTAGAGGGGCATCCCCAGCACAATCTTCGACGACGGGACCTGCCCGACCTTGGTGTAGTAGTCCAGGGCCTGCACGGTCGAGAACGGCGTGGACGCAGCATTGCTGTTAGAGAAGTTAATGTTGGCCTGGTGGCCAGCCTTGGCGTCCCAACTGCCGGCATAGTCGTAGGCCATCAGATTGTAGAAGTCCAAGTAAGGAGTCATCTGAGCAAGCTTGAGCTTGGTGTAGTTCTCGGGGCCTATATGGAAGTTAATCGCATGGTCAATATATCCGTCTACAGTTCACTTACCAGCCGGGCAAGCGATCGTAAGAAGGAACTTCCGGTTGCCACCGGCAGCCCTGTTGAGAGTCTATGCTAGGTTAGTATTTAGTTATTACCCCTAGCAGCGGATCCTTACCTCGCGGCACTTCTGCAGAAGCAAGACAAAGTTCTGGGCCTGGGTTTCATCTATATTCCCGTCAGCACGACAGATCCCGAACATCGGCCAGTCAATCTCGAATTACCTTTAGGATATTCCCAATCAACATCGAAACCTGTGTCGAACATGTCAGCCATCAACGAATCATTCTATGAGATCCAGAGCAATGTTACCATCCAGTCCCAAATCTAACACCAACTTCGTAGCACTCTCAGCAAACCGAGTCCGTCCAGCGTCGGTGCTTGCCGGCTGGGCAAAGTTGGAGGAATAGGTCCATCCTCCGATAGAGAGCAAGATCTTCAGCTTGCGGTTCTGCTTCTTCAGCAAGTAGAACTGCTTAATGCAGCCATAGACGTTGGTGCCAACGTCGTTCCAGGAGTCCGTGGGGTAGTGTTTCTCGATGTCGGACCAAGTGTCGGACAAGTACCTGCGGCGGATTAGTCTGGGGTTGAAACGCCGGTGGGACAGTACGTCAACGTCAATGCTTACACTTCCCCGGATTCCGGACGCACGTTGGCGAAGGCATACAGAACGTGGGTCAATTTGTCAGCAGGGACATCCTGGGGGTTGTGGTTGCGTCCGTAGATCGCCTTTCAACATTGAATTAGTTAGTTAACAATCCCCAAAATCACAAACACAAGAGTAAAATCAGACATATATGCAGAGACAATCAACTCACCCAGTTGACAAAGTAAGCAACAGACTTCATGGAAGACATGGTGGGCTCCGACGAGTTCTCGGGAGTAGCTACGGAAGTAGTCGTAGGGCTGCTAGGATGCAGGGGGATCAGAGTTGGATTAGATCCAAAATAACGGAAAGAGAAGAAGATCACCACGCCGAGTACGACGAGGTAATTGAGAAAAGGAGGGAAAGCCATGAGTGCCAGCGACGTGAGTTGCACTTACTCTACTTTGGCTTGACAGATTCAGAATCGATTCTCACAGGAAGCTGCAGCAGTAGCTCCGTGGCTGCCTCAGGCTTACCGGGAGTGGTATGGTATGACGTCGGAATGAACTAGTCCCAAAACAGAAATAGCAACAAGTGGCGGTGCAAGACACGGCGTGGGGTGCTGTGGCTGGTGAGTGTTGACTGTGGCTGATGTGACAGGAACCGGATCTACAGATGGACAGGTTTTGGATGGCGAGATGATGTCCCCTTTTTATATCTCTGATCTGAGCAGTTCGGAGACACAGAACTGTCTCTTCCACATTGTCTTGTTGTTTGAACCCCCCCCGGGGAACAATTTAGTGGCGTAGTCATTCATTCCTCAGTCTGACCTTTGCATTCCGGATGACTACAGCAACGTCGCTTCGATGAAGAGCCAAAGTTGGACTGAGTAGAAGCGATTTCAATCACACAGAGAGTCTGTCAGGTTAGCCTCATCTGACGAGCGCCTGCCAATCTGTCACAAGAGCACCTTGAAAGCGACGAACAAAGGATTGACCATGTTGAGAGAGGGTCAGAATCTCGAGGCCAGACCAATGGCCGAGATACTAAGATCGGCAGGGTCTAGAAACCCCAAAGTTGCCTCTTCGCCATCCCAGCGACCTTAACCGACAAGCCGTGGCAGGGACGCGCATGATATTCAGGACCGGAGCTAGAGGAGCTCTCAAGGCCGTCATGGGAACTGGGGTTGCAATTTGCCGCCGTCGGGCTGACTTGGTGTAACATCCAAACTAAACGACCGAAGAGACGGGACGAGCGAGCCAATATATCCTTCCCCGACAGGGGGGAATGCTTGGTTTCGGTAGAGCCCCCTGACTCAAAAGACGGGATGGGCGACTGTCAAAGGGCTACATCGCATGACGCAGAGACCCCCGACTGTGTTACAGGGCGGGTGATGAAGATAGCGACCCTGGTCGAGGGTCCCGGCAGAAGGGAAAGAGATCAAAGAAAGAAACAGAAGTCCACCGAAAAAGAAAAAAAAAAAAAAAAAGATGTGATTAGGTCCCATCAGGAACAACCTTGTTCATCGGCCCCTCAATGCCCTCATGGTCGCAGAATGGGTCCCTGAAGCCGGGCAACGTGGCAGATGACTCTGAAGCCGAAAAAAGGGTCGAGAACGCACGAGGAGAAGAAGAAGAAGAAGAAGACTCCGGTTCAGCTGAGGTCTTCCTGGCGCGCCCCTCACGACTCTGGTCTCCGGGTCGCTGATTTGGCATCCACCGGGGCAACTACTGCAGGGCTCTTCTGCACGGCCACCGTCTGAGATCCCACCGCACGCGCCCGACTCTAATCGAACCGAAAGCCGTGGGTCACGAACTTAGTGCAGCGCTAGCAACCAGTCACTGGCGAGTACGGAGGTAAGGGAAAACGCCCCGGAGGAGTCCAAGTTTCAGGTTCAACTGCCATGCATCCGTGGGAGCGTCTTTCAGCTGGGTTGTGTTCGAGGCAGATCCACCGCGGTAGTCGGTATCGCCGACGGGGATTCGTCGCTTGACGACAACGGTGATATTACCTGCCATTCTGGGACTATTGTGAATTTATCACATCGTATGAGATCCGATTGAATTTTTATCAACTTTTTTTTAGTATCATTTTTTGATCTCGCTCCACATTTTCTACCCGTGGGGATCCACCGTGGGAAAAGTAGGGTTTGACAGGCAACGCCTCGGAAAGCGCAACCACATAAAGAATAGCAGTAGTATGAGCTGCCAAATAGAGAAATAAAATGAAATAGGAAACGATAATTCTCTATTGAGCTAGTCAAATTCAGACCTATCTTACCCACAAGACACAAATAACGCCGAAATTGACCCGGTTGAACTATGTATGTATGTACCTAAAGACATCATCTCATTCTCATCTGACTGGCACAGATCCAGAATACATACATCCAAAGATAACAAATGAAAACCAGAAAATGTAAATCTCTCGCAGAGAGAGTCATCCATCATCTAACATAAATCAAACCAATCAATCACTCGTAGGGGATATCATCACTGTGTATCAGAACAAAGAAATAAAAGAAAAACGCTTTTCTGCCCGGCAAGAATTAAGCGACCTGCGCTTGAGAATCATATCATGCCACCCCGATATTAAGCGTAGAAAAAGAAACGAAAAGAAAAATCAAAACCATCAATGCCGAGGCCCGAAACCGTTGAGGAACCTAAACGTCGTCATATCCTCTCATTTTGGCCCTGATTCTGCCAAGAGATACCAGGCGTCCAACCTTTCTCATGATTGGGTGTCTTCTTTTTAACTCTTCTTCTTTTTGTTTTAGTTTCGGTCTTTTGTAGTTCATGGATGCGAACGGATCCAATTCAGGATCATCTCCAGGGACGGATCATCGTCAAGCCAATGGCCAGCGCGCATATCGGCGGCTCGAAGATCGGCAACAACGTGTTGGTTCGTTACCTGGGCTAGTTCCTGCGCAAGGGTCAGTCCGGGTTTGTTTGAGATTAATTGAATCGAATGCAAGGATTGTCATTACCTGTCGGAATGTATTACTGATAGCCTTAAGTTGCGACGCATGTTGAGGACCGGGTCTCTGGCCTTGGAGGACGTTGGCGCGATGCATCGCCCATCGCTTTGCGGCCGCCGCTCGCAGGTAAATTCGATGAGCTTGGAATCGCCGAGCACTTCCGTCAAGGATGACCCTAGTTCATGACTTATGTCAGTGGATGCTCTTGTAGAAATGGCTTGTCTGTAGCCGCGCGCATACCTTCTTAGCTCTGCCTTCTCGGTCTCGGCAGTGCTGCCGTGGTTGGCCGGCATGCTGGGGCTGTAGTTGGATGACATCAGGTTCTGGGCGGCGGCCAGGGACTCTCGGATGACGACGAATCCTTCTTCGTAGTAGTCGTCGGCCGGAACTTGGACGTTTTGCTGGGGGATGTGCAAGAGGAGTGTGCGGTAGTCATTGATAATCTCGGCCAGTCTTAGGGCACGGGCTTCGTTGACTAGACCAGGTTATATTCATTAGTCTGTCATGCTTTCCAGGTTGATTGAAGATCTAGTTCAGGAGGGCAATTACTCACGTCCGTCTGCCATGGTGATAGTCAAGGTCGTTTTACCAGAAAAGGACCGAAAGACTCTATAACGAGAGGGAATTGGCGAAGAAAAGATAGAAAGCAATTGAGAGCCAACGAAGAGACCAACAACTGACTTAAGCAAATAGAAGCAAGTCTAGTACAGCGACGGACAAGAACACTAATAAAGCAGAACAAGAAAGTGGACTGAATGTTTCATCTCAGAAAAAGTCGGATCCATGGTTCGAGGGTGAGATATGCCTTTTTAAGGTTATTTCGATATCCACGGCCACGATGGAAACTGAGCGCACTATTTCCATAAGCAGAGCTTTCGGACAGTTCTGCAAAAAGAGGATCATCATTGTTCGTGGCTGGCTGCACCAATGGAGGCTGATAATGGAGAACCAGGACATCACAGCTAGAGACTGCAGCTGGGTCATAGTATCCGTGGTGGATCTATAGCAAAACAAAGGCGATTAGTCTTCGGACCATTTACGGGTTGTCTATTTCAGGACTAAAATTTATCAGGACTAAAATTTATTATTCATTTTTCAACAGCACAAATGATATAATTGCTGACATTCCAAGCGTGAAACGACGCAGCTGGAATGAATAAGAGGATGAAACCATGTCGGGTCTACATGTGCATAAGAAATAAAGGCCAAACCATAGAATGTACAATACGAGAGGGAGGCCAAGGGTTGTGGGCAGTGACAGAAAAGAAAAAAAAAAAAGAAAATCGAAAATAAAATAGCCTAGAGTAGAATGAAAAATGCAAATGAAAAATCCAACGGACTAAAACCCCACAAGGACTGAACGCAACAGCAGCAGGTTGCAGGATGATACATCCTTTCATCCCCTCCTGTCGAGAGAGCCAGACCGGCGGGATTTCTCATCCACCGTGGACTTCCTGGAACGGACTGGATCTCGGAAGACGGTAGGTGCATCTCGCAGGTGAGAGAGTGGGGGAGGGCAGCGAGGGCGAAGGAATGGATCGGAAAGGTCGAATGAATGGGCTGATTGATTGCCCGTTCGGCGAACTAAAGCAAGACTAAAAAGGGCCAGCTGGGCTGCTTGGACTTGGTTGACGCCACACTCTAACGACCTGCAAGTTCAGGCCCGAGGGAGACCGTAGGATTGAACTGTATCCGGACCTAGTGCTCAACTATTACTGTGTAATCACTAGTCAGTAGTCTGACCTCAAACAGTGATCAAACTTGGTGGCCACAACAGGCGAAAGTGTCAGATTTACTATTCTTGACGCGAAAGCCACACTTCACAGCTCAGCCACAGCAAGCTGAGCCGTGATCGCGGCCTCAGGCTGTCAGTCCGACGGGTGGCGATTTTCCTCCCGTCGAATCCACTCTCGAGATTGTCCATCCACTCGCCTTCCATCGCTTATCTCCTAGTTCTGGCTTCGCAGTAAGAATATGTAGTCCCTTCACAGCATTGACCTTGGCAGACCTCGCAGACCTGGCATCTTCCTTGACTCCGGTCGCTTCGCATTGCATTCCCTTTCCTTGCACCTCTCCTGCCTCCACGCATTGAGAGCTGGGGGAGAGAATATGCAGACTGTGTGTGTGACTTGGGTGTGACGAGCCCATCGGATCAATCCATCCCTCATGCTACTATGTTTATCTAGTCCGAGGGCCTATTTTTGAAATCTTGCCACCGGTCTGGAGAAAGCTACGATGATCTTCACGGTAGCTACGGAGAAGTTACCCATTTCGATCGTGCTTGGGCAAGCTGGACGCTGCAAGGACGGGAGGGAAAAAGGAAATGACGACATCCAATAACTCGCAAGAACTTGATATTCATATACTCTGGCGTCTAGCAACATGCATGCTCTCAACAATCACAAAATCAATTCGTTTAATCCTTCTCGCTAATGGCCTGCAACCGCTCGTCGATCTCGTCTTCCGTCAGAGCTCGGAACGCGGTGTCTGTGCCCTCCTTGCCGTCCGTCCGGGGACCGCCGACGATGCCGATTTCCAGTTCGTGCTTCTTGAAGTCGACGCTGAGCACGTGGCTCAGGGCCGTGATTCCCAGCTCAACGACCTCCTCCCAGCTGCCTTCGGCGTAGTCCTTGTTCTTCAACTTCTTCTCGAGGTGGTTCAGCGCCTCCTGCTGCTTGGGGCCGGACGCGGTGGCCTTGTATCCGGCGTAGTATCCTGCAGGGTCAGACTTGTAGAGCTGGGGGCCCTTCTCCGAATCCACCGAGATCAAGGTCATGGCGACACCTAGCGGCCGCATGTAAGCCTACAGGCAACCAGTCAGTCAGTACGTCTTCGGTTCTCGATCCAAACCGATGCAAAGGGAGGAAAATGCGCACCCTCTGTGTGTAGACCTGGTTGATGTTGGCCAGTCGCTTGGTAAGAACGTCGCAAGGCATCTCGTAGCCATACTTGTATCGGAACTCGGCCGCTTCTCCGCGAGCACGGTCGACGCTGGCTCTGGCATCGGCTATGGAACCGGTCATGACGCAGCCGACGGAGGGAGACAGGCGGAAGATATGCGAAACGGAGGAAGGGTCGATCAGTTTATCCTAGCATTTTTCTTGTATCAGACGTGGTCGGAACCGGGCGCTAAGGGCGAGCGTTGGGGCCTTACAGCGACTTTCTTCTGCGACAGCACCACGGCACAGTCCTTTCCTCTCACACCGAGCGAGGTGATGTTGGCCGAAGTGATGGCCTTGAACGCATATTCTAGATGAAGGGTATCACGAATTAGCCAAGTCGTCATGCCAGACCACGGAGGTCATGCGCGGAAAGGATCGAGCAACGTCAGAGAAGGCATCATTGCCAGAGTGAAGAACATACCGACTTGGTACAAGCGTCCATTGTCCGAGAAGATGGTAATATGTCTGTCGTAACCTGCGCTTCCTGCTCACGGAGGATTGTCAGTTCATCAATGAAGTCATGCACATCAGGGAAGGTGACGGCCCTACCAGACATGATGGTGGTCGAACTGTGATATCCGGGGGAAAGAAACGGAAAAGTATGGGCGAGGTTGAGGACAAGGGATGAGGTATTAAAGAGGATCCGAAAGAGATAATTGGGGATGAAGACGGCGGGGATTTCAGAGGACGCGTGCCAGAGGGTGCCTGGGCGAAGCTCTAAGCTTGGATTGAGTAAGCTCCCCGAAGGCCGTCACCGCCTTCTGACAGCGCATCATGGCAATATCGCATTGATGCTTCTTTGCAGTTCAACTGTCAATTGATCAATGCTTTACTCTGTCGGACTTGACGGCTCTATAAATAATGGTTTTCTACAAATACATGCTAATGTAGCGATGGCTATGACTTCCGGTCGAAAAAATAACTCCTTCATATGCCTAGCCAGGTATCAAACTTTTCGCTATGAACTTTTAGGGTATATTCTCTGGGAGAACAGAATAAGAAATGAGATACTGAAACGATGCAGTCCGCCAATGACAGAAAGAAAGCAATGATTCCGGCCTGAAGGACTGAGGAAGGCGTAGTAATAGATTCAGTTCTTGAGGTAGAACTAGGAAGACGAAGAATCACTTGAGCTCGTGCTGTCTGAGTCGCTAGAAGACGAGTCGCTGGCATCTTTGCGCGATTCCTTCTTGGGTTGGGGTTTTTTGGCTGTGTCATCGTCGCTGTCGCTATCGCTGGAACTGTCGCTTTCACTGCTACTCGAGATTTCAACGAACGCCGTGCGGTTCTTCTTCTTCTTTTTGCCAGGCTGGGCCTTCTTCGCGCCCTTACCCTTCTGTGCAGCGGGCTTGGGTTTCTGGAAGGTGTAAATGGCGCCATTGACCGCAAATAGTAGAAGCTCTGCTCGCTGTCTCTTCTCAACCTTCTTTACGGTCTCCCCGTCCAGCTCGTCGGCGCTGTGGACGCGATCCAGCTCGTCTTTCTTATCCTCGGACAGGTGCGCTTTGAAAGCGTCAACTGCCTTGTTGTAGCCGGTCGTGTCCTGCTTGGGGCTCTCTTGCGTTTCTTCCGTGCCGTTGGCTTCAGGCTCTGTAGATGTCGCCTCGATCTCTGCTTTCACGACCTCCTCGGCGATTTCACGTAGTCGTTGCTTCGCGCCCTCACTCTTCAGCCCTTGCAGATATGCCAGCAGCGCAGCGTTGTACTGAGTAGGAACGTGTTCCAGCGAGAGAATGTGCTTGAAGAGATGCGTCTCACGGTTCTTCTGGAACTTCCAAGCCGACCGGTGCTTGTAATAAAGGCTGAGATACGACAGGATCGGAGTCTCGTGGATTCTCGGCGATCCGTCACCATTCGTTGACTTTCCATCCTTGCTCTTCTTCTTCTTTTCCTTCTTTTTCTTTTTGCCGCCATCCTCAGCTCCACTCTTCTCGCCAGCTTTCGAAGAATCCTCGTCATCAGCATCAGCATTGGCATCAGATGCCGCAACGTCGTCGTGGTCGCTCTCCTCGCCATCGTGAACCTTCGCATCCGCCGAGAACGACACCCTCTTCTTCTTCTTTTTCTCCTTCTCCTTCTCCTTCTCCTCCTTCTCACCAGATTCATCCTGATCCTTACTCTTACTCTTGCTCTTCTTCTTACTCTTCTTCACCTTCTTCTTCTCCTCCCCCTCGCCGTCCTCCTGCTCATCATCCTCATCCTCATGCCGTCTCTTCTTGCTCTTGCGCTTCTCCTTCCCCTCCTCGTCCTTCTTGCTCTCCTTCGCCTCGATCTCCTCCTGAATCGGATCCTTTGCGTATTTCAGCTTCAACCCAAGCTTCTTCCACGCGGGGATGTTCGCTCCAGCGGTGGAGTCTCCTTCTTCGCTGGCCATTGTCTTGCTAGTTTCCGTCGTTCCGTACCGTAGGTGTGAATGTCGATGTCAATGTCGCTGCCGATTCGCGCGGCGCGGAGAGGGAAATTCGATTTCGATCGGACCAGGTCGGTCGCGCGGTTCGGAGGGGGTAAAGGACGTGATTCCGGATCGATTCAAGCAAGGGAATCGAAGGTATTATTGGGTATATTGGATTCAATTGACCTTTCTCGGCGAAGAGAAAGAGAGGAGGGTTTTTTTTGTCCGGAGAAAATTTCCACGTGAGTTGCGGCGGTCACGGCGGAGCGATCTTTTTTTTTCTCTAAGGAACTAAGGAAGGTCCACTTGATCTTGGTGCCTGAGGAAGAGACTTATCTACTCCGTACAGTTACACGGTCTAGAAACGAGAGAGTCAACTTGATAACAGAGTATGTTACTCTCTGACTAGGTAGTTACTAGCTACTACCTATTTACTACGGCTTACGGAGTAGAGTGATCATTCCGCAAAGGGTCGCATAGTTGTAGATGGACTTGTATGTACTGCCAGTCAAAGCAATCTACCTACCAAACCCCCTAACCAAAATGATACAAAAAATACTTTTATACCAAGTTCCCGCTCTTATCAAGGAAAAAGAAAGAAAAGAAAAGAAAACAGAAAGAAACTCCGGGGAGGAAGGAAGGAAGGAGCGGGGGTGGATCAGAAACCAAAAAGAAAGAAAGAACTGCCCGCCCCAGGACTCGAACCTGGATCTCCGTAACAATATGTTTAATAATAGAGAGGTGTGCTACCAATTGCACCAAGCGGGCTATTTTACATAGCGGGGATCCCAACTAGCTCTTCTGCGCGTTATTCGTATGTTTACCTGTTTTTCCTTTAGTGTCAGGACTCGATGGAGGCCATACCTCCCGTCGTCTGAGTAGGTATTAAAACAAGATGTATGGTGACGGAAGAATTCATCGTTTGGAAAACACATTAAGAGTGTATAAGGGAACGTGGTGGGTTAAAGGGAGAGCATGGTGGCCGGGAGCAGTGCTTTTCCAAGGATCATTCGAGAGAGAAAAGTTTTTAGTAGATTGGGGGAAACCAGCCTTTAAGTATCCGTACACCGTAAGACTACTGTACCTACTATAGCTAGAGGCACGCTATACCAGAACTAGTAAGTAACTCGCTGTCACCGCAGACTTACAAGTTACAAGTAACAGAGCCCTGCAGGATACTATTGGATCAATTGGACTCATAGTAGACTCTCCATCGTTCAAACGAGTCAATTCCCACTTTACAAGAACCATGTATAACCATAAATTCATCATTTGCATTATCATGCCATGCCAGCCAGCCATAGTGCCATGAATCTTGACTCAGTACTCCGTAGTATGAATGTATGTATATAACTTGCCCATTTTGCTCCCTCCCATCCTTGACTCCAGTGAAAAGAATCTCAGCCTGCCCATCACCCTGCGAACAATTCTTCACAAGCATAGAATGAACGAATCAAACAAAACGTGGAGTGTTAGAATTAAGTTCCACTTCCACTCGCATTGCCACCCCCATCAACTTCCCGTCTCTCTTTCTCCTTCTCGCGCTTCGCCTCTCGTTGCGAGCTGCTTTCTCCGTTCGAGGCGGCTGCCTTGCGTCGTGCTCGCTCGCGATCACGAGAGCTTACTCCTGTAGTGCGTCTCCTGCGAGCTGGTTCGTAGACGTCGTTGAAGTTCATGGCGACGCCGAGGAACCGCATGTCCGTCTCGGAATGGTAGGCAATGTCACCGAGGAAAACGTTCAGTCGCGATCGGAACTCGGCGGAGAGCTCTCGCAGGCGAGTCCGTAGAGAAGAGAGCATGTGGTCGTCCACGGAAAGATCGTGGTTCATGAGAGATGAGGGCGTGTCGGTGCCGTCGCCGGCGTTTCCGACGGTCGGCGTCGCAGATACCGAGGACATGGAGTTCTTGTGCTGTCCCAGAAGATCGCGCTCCGTGACGCCCCAGCGGCCTTGCGCTGTGCGAGTTTCGATTCTCGCGCTGAGTTCCTGTCGTCGGGTAAATTCGGCGACTGAGAAAGAATACAGCCCATCGACGGCGTCTTTGTAGGCAAGCATTATCTTCAAGATCTGATGGAGCTGCGTGAGGAACGTCTCTTCCTGATGCTTGTTCGCCGCCGACGTAGAGCCGAGGAGACCCTTGCGCGTGATGGAATTGAGGTAGGCGGTATGCGCCTCAATTAGGTCGTCCAGTGTGCATCCAGGCTTGGAAACTTGGGCCTGCAAATCGTTCCAGCTGGACTCAATAACCTCGAAAAGAATGTACCACTGTAGCTGGCAGACGAAGTGAATCATTTCGGCAATGACGCATCTTGCCCGCTTCCAATCCGGCCCGACCTTATCATCGACGCTGCCCAGGACACCCCGGGCGCCAGTCATGCATCGCCGCCACGTACTGCCTAAGGCAAACTCAACCCGTTTCACTCGCCAGAGAAAGTTGAACATTTTGAGGTACTGCGTGGAGGCCCAGGATGTAATGACGACATCTACCGGAGCATCGATCTTGTATTCGAGCGTGAAACAATCCCAGCCAATGTCACCGTGACTGAGCTCTAACATGCGAGCATCCAAGCGCCGAAGGACATCTGGCGAGTCGTATTGTGCGTTCGACGCACGGATAGCGTGTTCCAATTGAGCGGTCAAAGTGTGTCTATACTGCGAAGTGGCAGGCCGATCGAGGTTCGAGGCCAGCGATTCCATGAGCAAGGCAATGAAATCTCCCTGCCCAAGCAGCAAATACTTCTTCAACGCCTTTAGGTGATCGAACAGTTTGAATTTGTCATTCATGAGGTGAATGAGTTGCGCCATCGTGGTCTTGTACGCCTCGTCGATTGACGTCTCAAGACTGGCCGTATCACCATATCGTAGTTCTTTCGAGGCTTGTTTAGAGTATGCCTCTACCCAGCCAGAGTCCCCGCATCCATACCGTATGAAATTGAGAGATTTTCCGATAAGAAACACCTTCTTCGCGAAATCTTGCGTAATAATGGACGGCACCATCTCGTCGTCCAACTTGTATTTATCTTCCCATACACTCGTCGCAATGCGTCGCGGATCCGTGGCGGGTCTAAACTCGGGCTCAACAACGAAGAACTCCTTGAAAGGATCAGAAAGCTCTCCGTCGTAGATCCACAACCGGAGCATATCATAGAACGGCCTTGTAATATGTGCAAGAAGTTTCTCCGCAAAGGCGCAGACGAAAGGATCGCCATGCGAAGTCGAGAACCCATGGATCAAGGATATGAGTTGGCCGCCTTTCTTGTCTAGATCATTGTTAGATCCAATCCTTGATCCGCGCGTGGTAGAGACAGAGAGACTCAAGAATACTTACTTTGTGCCTCCTCGACAATGAGACTCATCAAACGTAACGCCATGGTGGCATCTCTTGTCCATACGGCGCATCGTTTCAACGTAACACCACTTTTAGCTGCGCTGTTGAAGTTGTTCGGGTCCTCCGAGGCGACCAATGCCCGCCGAATCTCTCCTTCCAAGGTTGCAATGAGGCCTAGATAAGACCGAAGCTCATTCGAGAGAGCTGCACGTAGACTCTGGTTGAGAAGACCACCACTATCATCTTCAACAAAAGCAGACAGCTTCCGATACAGTAGACATGGCTCGGCGATGGTATTGAGGAGTGAGATCATCGGGATAGGAAGCGACGGCGGCAATTTGATGACAGACGCCGACGTGAACTCGAGACTCGAAGAAGACAAGCCTTGCAGGTTGAACGGAAGATCGCGCAGCAAGCCATGTTCAGCGGGTCGAGTCAGATTCTTCTGCGCATCTGCAGTTGGCGGGCGCTGAGCGGCTCCCTGTTCCTCCACGGTGAAGTAACCTCGAGGGGTGTCATCCGGCTGGTCACGATGAACCACTGGCTCAGGGAATCTCTCGGGCTCCAGGTCTGCATCATTCTCAAGTCGTTCGACTCGTTCAACCCGTTCAGCTCGTTCCGGCCGTCGCAAGGACGCCTTCCGTGCCGGCAATTGCGACGCAGACGAGCTAATAGCAGGGCCTTCTTCGTCCCAATTATCCGCCATACGAGGCCCAGTCCCTCGTCTCGGCCGCTGACCTTTCCAAAGCATATTCTGCAAATTGTCCGGCTCCATGTGAGGACTCCGACTCCCTTCCCCATCATCCACAAACTCCTCCCCATCATCCGAGTTCGACAACCGATACAGCAGATACAGGATAGCCCATTTCTGCGACAGCACCGGCTGGGTCAACAAACGCGAGTACATATTCGAGAACCGCACCGCCTTATCCGGGCTAGCGTTTTCCCGCAACAGCTTCCGCTTGATGAGATCCGGCGCATTGTTGACGTTCTCTCCGCCAGCCAGACTGCCTCGGCGGGTTATGCCTAAGCCCGCCGCCGCACCGGAGGGCGAGGCTGAATCATTGGGCGCGTTTGCGTAGGCGTCGATGATGCGCCATGAGCGCTCGTGGTTCTCGCGATTCCGCTGGGCTTCGAGCGCGGCGAAGGTTTCGGTGTCGTCGGAGACGTCGTCGCCAATGGCCGAGAGCGACAGCGGGGGGGAGAGGGACTCGACCAGCTGGTAAAGGGCCTCGTCGACGCGACGTGGACGGGAGGGGTGGCGGGAAGACATCGTCGGTCCTTGGTTGCCCCGGTTTAGTCTTCTAAGCTCAAGTGTATAACCTGCAGTGTCCTTCCAGGTCGTTGGATAGTGAAATGTTAGGTACCTAAAGCGAAAAGGTCGGAGTGTGGAGCTTGTGTTGTAGGATTGTCAGGAGGGTGGTGTCTCAAAGGGGATCTGAGATTCACGGAAAACAAATGGAACAGCGCATGGCGCCCTGCGGCCTTTGCAACCCGGAGATATAATTGATCGCATAGACTTCACAAGTCCGACCCTCGAGCGCGCGTGGATGTTTTATGTTTGTCTGGTTTGGGCTGTTTGAAGCCACCCGCGTCGTGCCAAGACTTTCCACCGTCCAACGTCACTGGAATCTGCCGGTACTCGAGTACGAAGCAGTCTCGACTAAGTACGCATTAATCTCATACGCATTGAATGCCTTGAATTTCTACAGTAGGAAGATAAAATTGAAGATTTGAATTGATTGGAAGCCCCGGCATGCTCCATTCCTAGACGCCTAGAGACATGTTGACTTGAGCACAGTATAAGAATACTGTTGTAAAAAAGCAAAGAGCAAAACAAAAAGCCACCATTACGCCACCCCAGTTGTAAGCACCGCAGAAAATAGAAAGATGGATGGGAAACGGGAAAGAAGGGGAAAGCAAACCGTTCCGCGAATATCAAACAAACGAAGTGAAGTTGTCGCAGCCAATAGAACCTGCCAAATTATAGAAAAGAGAAGACGGCCACACAGAGAGAGGGGGAGAAAAGGACCAGCGTACAATCCTCCAGAAATTCGAGTTCCTTAAGGGGTCTAGGGATTGAAGACCTCCAGGACCGACACAAGACTCGAACGAAAGATAAAAGATAAAGACAAGGGAGAAAAGAAAAGCAGCCAAGAAGCTTTTGCGCCGAATTTGCACCTTCCGGTGATATCTCATGTCACACCATCAGATCCAGCCCGTGCGTTTTTGAAAATCGTATACATCATTAACACCAACCCCATGCCAGGGCGCCCTATGAGAAAAGCCGAAGCTGAAGACGATCATAACGTGGTGACAAGAATCCATTCAGTAAAGCTTGAGCCCGGGACACAGACAGCCGACAAAAAGTCGTAGCTTATACCGAGGAGAAGGACCAAGATCATGGCAATATTAGGATCGCGGTCTATTGAAAGTGTGCT